TTTGCAGGGGCTTCACTTGTAATATTTTCAAGAGTACACAGCAAACAAATCGAAACTCTGCGATCAACAAAAACGAAATCGCTGGAGCAGGACGCGTTTGGGCCTTTGGCCCAGTTTGGGGCATTTTTTTTCGCACCGTCGCTGCACTCTACCGCTATAGCATATAGCGCTGGATATGTACATGGCTATACTGTGTCCTGGCTATCATGTTCGACCTCATTCTCTCCCTGGTACCTTTCCACTTCCAGGAAGCCTAAGATAATGAAGATTGAGTGAGTAGAACTGAAATTATGATCCACAGAACACGAAAAAATTGCATAATATTGAAAATTTCCTTGGGCTCTTTAGAAAGGGTTGAAACGAGTCATTTTTTTGTGATTCGGTTGGAAACCCCCCTAGAGGTGACCCTGCGTACGCGCCTGACTAGTATTCACTCGTTTGACAGCCAAAGAGTATTTGTGTGGGAGGCTGGGAGTCTCGCACCTGACTTGGTCACGTTGCGCCTGAAGGTCACTAAGACGCGGCCAAATACGGTGGAGCCGTCGCAGTTCCATCTACTGTCGACGAAACATGCCCGGTATTGGCTATTCCGGTACATGACAGCCCATGCCTGTAGCACCAAGCCTGTGTTCACTTTTGCCAAAGGGATCCACCTTACTCGGCCTTATTTAAATAAGGTACTCTGTCACGCTCTCAACTGTTATCAGGTTAGCTCCCGCTCCATGCCCATTGTTGGAGCGACAGTCCTGGAATCCAGAGTTGCAAGTGAGGTGGTGATACGGCAAGCAGACGGTGGCAAAGTACGGCTTAAAAGCTCTACATCTGGCAAGTGGCCGGCATACCACCCCAATGGACATCGGAACAGTACACGTAGAGTAGCATCTCTACGTGACAGGGTATGAGCGCAAGTGAGTTCTTATGCTCTACTAATGTGCATTGATTCTGTGACTGTAGTTGGTGTACAGATCTCATCACATGTGCCTTAGGTGGGATTTGCTATTGTCACTGTAAAATTCAGCCCTAACAAACAGTGTGATGGATGAATTTGACTCCAGGTATCTGCTTTTGGGAATGCCATGTATGCATGTCTGGCGTGCTGCTGCTATACTGTTGTGGCAGCAGCATTTTGGTGCGATGGACTGTTCTTGTAACGGTGTACCTACCCATTTGCTGTTGCCGCATGCCGTGTTTTGTCAGTTGTGCCTGTTTGAAGGTGCCAGGCCAGCTTGTGTTGGTGCGTTCCCGTTAAGTTGCCAGGGCACCATATTTGTAACGGCGTTCCCGTTTTGCTGTTGTGGGGCTGTGTTTGTATCGGTGTGTTCTCGTTGAAGTTGACGGGGCACCACATTAGTGGATTGTGCCTGTTTGAAGTTGCCAGGCCAATCCTGTAACGCACACCCGTTTGCTGATAATTGGGGACATGTTTGTCCATTTTGCTCGAGATTCACATGGCTGCGCCAGTTGCCTTGTGCGGATTAGACTGTTATCTGGCACTAGTCTTGATCTGTTTTATTCAGATTCAGATCAGCTATTGTTCCTATACGAGAAAATCTGTGGGTGCACATCCAATTCATTTGCAGATTTGCGTGCTTCTCCTGCAACGGGCGTTTACATGGTACATGGTGTGTGGGCATATGTGTGGTGTGTTCATGCTGTACAGGCCAGTATTGCCAAGCACTGGGGACCTTTGGCAATCTGAAGAATGTTTTGTCCGAGAATCGATCCTTGGATCTGTGGCGTTGCAGTTGTGGTGCTCCCGACCCTCTTGCGCGATGGCCGCGGAGACTTGGCGAAAAGGTTCGAGACATACGGCATCTCAATATCTTCCACCACAATCAGTACATCAGCACCACCATCGAGTGTAGCGACATCAGCAATAGAAGACGCACATGATATCATTCACCCTTACGGCCTTAGCGAAGACCCGGGAATACCTGAGAAGATGTTAGCCGCAACTTTACTGGAAAAGTCGTCGGTGACAACGGCACTCCATATTTTAGCTGCATGCAGTTAGGTCTCTCAACAAGTGTACTCAAAGTTTTCAAGCTAATACACAAGCAAATTCACTAGGGGCCGAGTATATTTTCCTACACCTCTCCCTGTTTGTTGTTGTTATTTCTGCATTCAAATTGTTTGTGTACCTGTACATGTATTACAGTAGAGCCACGCATCCACGGCTGTTGTTTCCAAGGGGTCAGGCTCGTCAGTTATACAAAACCTTTCAGCAATCTGGCCTTAGGCTTAGTTCCTTGACTTCTTGTACCACTTTCTTAGATGCACATCCCACTGGATAGTGAGCAATACGTGTGTAGCAGAATCTGTATTCCAGAAAAGCAGAGACTTGAGTCTATTGACACTGCATTTCTTTTTAAAACGTTATTGGCTGTGGTGTTCCTAGAGGTATACACGTACATTCCTGGGTCCCACGTTCTGTGACGCTCGACTGTATTCGTAGTGCCTCAACAACTTTTAATTTTGTGCACTCGGGAAAACCTGCCTGAGGCTGTGAGGCTGCAGAGTGTTGGCTGTGTTTTGCTTAAAAAAAACCATCAGGTCTCCCCAGATTTTCTAGTCTGGCCCTGAATTTTGCCACTCTTCGGTTTCAAAACCTAGTGTGGTGGAAAGCCTAGCAGTGTTGTGTGTGTGCATGTGTGTATTTTGTACAGTGCTGGCCAGAGAAATCCAACCTCGATAATAAAGTAGCGCCGCGTTCGAGAGCACAGACCGGTCCAGTATGTTTACTACTAGGGCTGCGTAGCGCCCGGTGCAATTTTATTCATAAGGTTGGATTTCTTTGGCCAGCACTGTAGTTAGAGAAGTAGGTCCTCTAAGGTCCTCTGTTTGTGCGCAATTGTGGTCACAGTGGCAGTAGTGGGTGAGGGGTAGACTCAGTTACTACGAAGATGGTGTATACATGATGGTGTATACAGTCATGTAGTTGAATGTTACTTCGGGCTTAGACCCAGAGTTCTTGCAATGATGACCCCGGGTTTATGTACATGTATCATTCAGCTACCGTTGTCATAATGGCACTAGTTGATAGAACACCTGTATAAGTACAGGCTGTATATCTAGCATTTTCCAAAATAGCACTCCGTACTTCGAGGCTGCAGCCGTTTTGCATGCAACGTTGTATGTGTTGATCGGTTGACAGCATATGACAAAGCCGAGGACACACTAGTGTATCAGGAGCACTGTTTTTTAACACAGTGCGTCCCCCGCCTTGTCATGTTATTATTTATCAAACAAGGCTTACCTATACCAACATTATACATGTAGGGCTGTGCATGCTTTCAAAATTCTTCCTTGTTGAAGTAGAATACCGTGCTTGTGGGGGCTTTAGTAGTTCCTTTGCCAGATGTTCTATGCGTATCTCAATGACTTATCAGTTTCAGCACTCGGGCAAGGCACATTCGGGCCTACACATGTAGCCTTGAATTCTGGCTTGGAGGCATTATTTATCTATTTTCATGGCTGCTAGGTTCATCCTTAGTTAAAGGGGAAGTTAAGGCAAAAATTAAAATTTCACCAGTTGTAGTCTTCGGGGTGCTGAGTCGAATGGTCTTGGTCCGAGAAAGCTGAGACGCTCCCTTCCTACTCGAATCCCAATCGAACTCGCGCACTTCCACCGAAACTGGGTGACTGCGCCCTACTAGATGGGGATTTGTATGCAAAATGTCACTAAAAGCGCCATTTCGTTCTTATAAAAGCACGGATGACCGCGATTGGCCCATATGTTGTAGTCTTTTGGACGCTGAGTCGACTGGTTTTGGTCCGAAAAGGCTGCGATGCAGCGTTCCTCCTTTATTCCCAATCGAACATGGTTGAACAAGCGGTCACGTGCTCCTGGGTGCCCAAATCACCTGGTCACCACGCCAGTAGGCGACAACTTTCACACCAAGGTTCAACTCGAGTGACAGGACTGCACCCAAAAAAGGTCAAACAGGCTAGTAAGTTGTACCCTGCAGGCACGGTGACCAGGTGACTGGTGTACGCAGGAGCACGTGACCGCTTGTTCAACCATGTTCGATTGGGAATAAAGGAGGAACGCTGCATCGCAGCCTTTTCGGACCAAAACCAATCGACTCAGCGTCCAAAAGACTACAACATACGGGCCAATCGCGGTCATCCATGCTTTTATAAGAACGAAATGGCGCTTTTAGTGACATTTTGCATACAAATCCCCATCTAGTAGGGCGAAGTCACCCAGTTTCGGTGGAAGTGCGCGAGTTCGATTGGGATTCAAGTAGGAAGGGAGCGTCTCAGCTTCCTCGGACCACGACCATTCGACTCAGCACCCCGAAGACTACAACTGGTGAAATTTTAATTTTTGCCTTAACTTCCCCTTTAAGAGTTATTTCTCCGTGATTCGCTGATGAGTCCACAAAGGACGAAACAGCTAGACAGTACTAGTGCTGTCCCCAGATCGTGTATTCTAAATCCATAATACTGACGCTCAATCTCCAGACAGCTGTTTCAGCCTTTTTAGGTCCCATCAGTGGAGCTCAGAGCGGGAGGTTAAACAAATGGCAATACGGTCTATATGAAATGAACAAAAAAGCAATTTGAAAATGGCTCAAAGCATCAAAGTCAGCGAGCTATCTGCAAGACATGCACAAAGAGAGCTTTGCACGAAGGCAGATACATATTACATATACCTTTGACACTAACTAAAAAGAGTGCTCAATCAAGTCAACGCAAGGCAGCGTAATGCGGTGATCGAGTCTATAAAAAGCTATAGTGACATGTAGCCAGGCCCCCAGCACAATAAGCTGACTTGCATCATGCTAAAATCGTTCACACAAATCTCTTATAATAATTATTATATAGATTGCAGGATAGGGTGGTTGCACCAGGAAGTGCTGTCTCTGCGATAGTGGGACCAGCCAAGATTGCAGTACAGTCGTCCACCATCAATCCAGCACTTCATTGGCCCACGCCCTTGATACACCAGCATGATTTCCGGAGTTATTACCATTCATTAACACATGCCCCCCCCCCCCCCCCCAGTTCTTCGGCACCTGACCCGAGTTCTATTTGGGCCGCACTACTTTGTAGCAGTCATACTATAGTACTAGAACTGGATGCACGTGATATCCACTGGAGCTGGCGCTGGCCATGAGCTGACCCACCGCCGTGCCTCCCAGTGTCAATTTTGCTTATGTGATCCTACCACAATCTGGAACATTATCAGTACTCGCCTCTGTTGACTTGCCAGCATTAAGCATGTATTCTCCTGCAGGTGCATCTTTCACCTCCTTCTAATGCGCGAGCACATTTTCTGTGGAGATTCAACGACACATACACCAGAAAATACAGAACGGAACAGTGGCTGCCAATGCGACACAAGTACCACATAGACCTAAAAACTCATAAGTACCCTGGGAGTTAGATGCATTTACGGGCAGTATGCCAGGATTTGCGCAGCTAATTTAAAATCAGATTAGCAATGCTGTGTGCTACCTAGGCGGCATCTTGGACTCAAAAACCAACCGATTGTGGTCCAACCCAACCGACAGCGTTGTCGGTGGGTTCCGATTGGCAGGTGTTGGATGGACGTATGATCCATGCGTCCCCACAAGCAATGAGAAGTTAACAATGCCACTAAGGATATAATATCGCGGACAGCAGTACAATGAAACTGGGCCATTCATTATCAGCAATATCAGGGGTATATCCCATCCGATAAGACGTACAGCTCGTGTATGGCGGACTTTACAGCAGGTCCCGACATAGCTTGCCCCGTGCCCTTTACCACTCCTGGGCCAAAACTGTTGTACAATATTCGAGAGGGTCTAGCCTAGTGAGTGTGAACAGAACCTGGCAAACCATATCTCCAAGTGATTCACATGTTGGTATATTCTCCGTTATCATACATCAATTCCGAGCAATTTGACACCCGAATATTCTCGCACCACTACTGCTGAAGTATTGACCACAAACCATGTTCCATTTGACTTACAAACGGAACTTCCAAAAGGCATGAGAGCACTGGAATCTGTAAAGACTCTCGCATTAATTTATTAGCCACCATACATACCTTTCGGGAAGTCGTGTTGGAAGCAGAATGCTCGGAGAGCAGAGCTGAGTGAGATCTGCATACAGTAATACAGCGACAATGAATCACATGAACAGAAGGAAGCAGTCGTATCCGTACACATCTGAATATGCGCTTATGAGAGGAAAATCCGTGCGACAAAAGAGGACTGTGTTATGCAGGTGTATGTCTTACCCGGGTACGTACTAAGTGAGTTCCACCGTACGTATATAATTGTATTGCAATTGAATCACTTGACTGACAATCGAACCAAGTCATAGTTGAGTCATTTTCAATGCGTTAGGTGTTACCTGACGTGCCCACTGCATCAGCCGCTATGTCATATTCCACCAGGCATGCACCAAACCAGGCGCAATGCGCACACTGATGATGGTGGTTGTCACACAACGAGCAGTAGTAAAAGTGAAAGGACTTTTTGCATGTGATTTTGTTGTAACTTGTGCCAGTCGAATTGTCTCAGTGTAGCTAGTTTATCGTTAGCTTACTAGTTTGTTTATACAAAAGAGAAAGACCAAGGAACTACAAGTTACGCTATACTGTCCACTAACACCACCAGTTACTAAACAATCAGCTCATGCGATAGCATTGCACGACACAGCTCTAGCACATCTTGGATGCGCACTCCAACAGCCTTGTGGACGACGACCGTCACTGGAGAATCGGTCCGTCGCTCCACCAGCCCGGCGGCACAGTGGACAGTGCCTTGGGGGTGTCAGGCATGGATCGGGCTGATAAGGACGTGGTGGAGACGGAAATGATGTTTGCAAGGAAGAGTGATGATATGCGTATGTGCTCTCGGCCAGTTGTTGAAGCAACAGTCCGGCAGTGGAAAGTCGGCAAGGTTAAAATAAGTGACCAACTGGGTGAAAGTACACCAAATGTGGCCCATCTCTTGAATGGTGCGGACCACGGCAAGGACCTGAAGTTGAAGGTCGTCAATGGCAACACCGCATGGTCGACGTCAATGGGAACATCAAGCCATCAAGTTGGTGGAACTATGGAATGTTCGTCGCAGGCTGCAGCGACAGGGTAACGTGCTCAGGGAAGAGTACAGCGACGATGATCAGCTGTGTCTTGCACGCAGTCGTGTGTTGATCGTGGCGTGCAGAACAACAGAGTCAAATGCGGTATTCGTACATTTGTCTGTTTAGGATTGTGATCCCCAGGAAGTCCTTTGGTGAGGAGTGATGTCACGCAACGAGCAGTAGTCAAAGTGAAAGGACTTCTTGCAAGTGATTTTGTTGTAATTTTGTAAGGTGTGGTGGCAGAACTTTCAGCTGGTAGTGGGTGATGGGCTGGCGGTGTGACAACAATTACGGGCTTGACGAACGACATAATTATGGCGAGTCGATCTTTGGCCAGTTGCTGAGTTGGAGATCGTCACCGTAGACCCAGAGATCTGGTCCACGGTCCAGGGGTTGGGATCCCACTGTGGTGAGAGCTTCTGTGCCTGCTCATTGCGACCAGGAGTGAGGATGGGGGCGTTTGACCGGCGGGTGGCATTGGCAGCGTCGCACTGGGATTGGCGGAATTGCTGGTCACGGTGGGCAGCTGAAGGCAAGTCTGGTGCGGCTGCCGTAATGCAGGGTATGCTGTCGCGGATGGGGCGACCAAACATGAGTGTTGCTGGTGCCTCGTGAGTGGCAGGGTGTGGCGTGGTGCGGTACGCTAGGAGCCATTGGTCTAATGCAACATTGATGTCTTCGCCAGCTAGTTTGGCAGTTCGCAGAACTTTGCCAATGGTACGGTTAAGGCACACGACTGCTCCGTTTGCTTGTGGCCACAAAGGAGGGGTGTGGCGGTGCTGGATAGCGTGTTGCGCGAGGAAATCAGCAAAAGCCGAAGAACGGAACTGAGAACTGTTGTCCGAGACTAGCTCTTCGGGCAAGCCGAACATGGATAATGTAGAGCGCAGAGCTTTAACAACACCGGCCGTAGTGGGTGTCGTGCTGAACACGTTGATGACCGGGTAGCGAGTCAACTGGTCGATAGTGGCAAGCAGGTGCTGACCGTTTGGCATGGGTCCATACAAATCGACGAAGACTCGTTGCCACGGCTTGGTGGACGGTGGTGTGGGCACGGACTCCCGGACGTAGCGGTGTCGTTGAGAGAGTTGCTTGGCACGGAATACATTGCCGGCAGAGTGCTTCGGCTTCAGTAGCCATGTTGGGCCACCAAACCTTGCTGTTGAGCCGTTGCTTGGTGCGGACAATATCTTGGTGGCCCGCATGTGTAAGCTGCAGGGTAAGCCGTTGTAGGGCCGTGGGAATGACGAGACGGTCGTTGCGGAGTAGTAGACCGTCACTCTCAGACAGTTCATGGCGGAGGGCAAAGTTAGGGCGGACCGTGGTGTGGTTGGAATCCCAGCGGCCAGATTGCAGAGAGGAAAGGATGGCTTGCAGCGTGGTGTCTGCGGTGGTGGCGTCCGCAATCTCCTTCAGAGCCAACGCATTCGGCTTAGCTGCTGTAGCTAGGGCATGTATGTACGCAGTGTCTTCCTGTGCGCCGATGTTTGGCAAGTCGGGATGAGGCTGCGGATTGCGACTGACGACGTTGGCCGGGTTTTCTGGGCCAGGCTTGTACTGGAGCTGGAAGCTGAGATCCTGCAGGCGGAGGACCATGCGCTCAATTCGTGGCGGAGGTCTCGATCCGACGGCCATGAGTTGCAGGAGCGGCTTGTGGTCGGTGACAACGGTGAACTGTGGATCACCTTGTCAAGTAGTGGTGAAAGCGAAGGCAGCCAAACTTGACACCCAATGCTTCCCGTTCAGTTTGAGAATATTGCTGCTCGACGCCGGAGAGTGCACGGCTGGCGAATGCTACAGGTGCATCATGGCCGTTGTCTTGGCGTTGACACAGGATTGCGCCGAGGCCGGTGGGCGATGCGTCGACATACAGTGATGTGTATCGCTTGCGGTCAAAGTATTGCAGCATGCAGTCTTCGGCGATGGCCTTCTTCAGTGCATCAAATGATTGCTGCTCAACATCAGTTCAACGCCAAACAGTACCTTTCTTAGTGAGAGCAGGGAGTGGCGTGGTGAGATCGGCCATGTTACGAATGTAACGGCGGAGGAAGTTGTTGAGACCCAGGAAACTCTGTATGTCGCTGACGCAAGATGGCATAGAGAATGTAGCCACAGACTGCTGGTGGCTGGGAGAGGCGCGGATGCCCTTGTCGGAGTAGACGCTAGCCATGAACTTGAGCCGAGGCTTGAGGATGTGACATTTGTGACATTTGGCTCGGTTGAGTGTAACGTTGTGATCTTGGAGCCGCTGGAGGCAGGCGGCGAGTCGTCGGTTGTGCTCTTCGACGCTCTTACCAAAGTTGAAGATGTTGTCGTGGACGTTCTTCACACCGTCGAGGCCAGCGAGCCATGGCGTCCAGTGTGCGCTGTAGGATCTCGGATGCGGACGATACGCCCATGGGCAGACGTTTACAGTGCAAAACTGCGTAGCGACACGACTCAGGGTGGCCTGGCTCTCCACAGCGGTAGCAGAGCGATGTGCTGGATTCCCGCTGGCCTGGAGCGCGAGTGGCGACTGGGGCAGGTGGCTGGTGGTACGAGTTTGCAGCTGGATGTGGCGAAGACTGCATCGGTCGACGCGACGGAGTTGAAACAGTAGCAGGAGGCGGCTGTGTCCTTTTGTAGAACGGTGGCTGATGACGGAGGGCATTGATCGAGTCTTGTGTGCGCCGGAACGCCGCCGTCTGTTCCACTGACGCTTCAAATGCTCTGGCGGCCTTGAGCGCCTTGGCGAGATCAAGGGACGCAGTCTCCAGCAGTTTTCTGCGGAGTGGATTGGACGTGCATCCTGCCACAATTTGATCACAGAGAGCCACGTTCATCTGGGCATCGTCGGCGAAGCTGCAGGTCGTTGCCGATGCCAGCAAACGAGTATAAAACGTGTCTAACGTTTCGCCAGGCTGCTGGGTGACCTGCCGGAAGTGGAAGCGGGCCATGCTGGGGCTCTGCTTCGACTGAAAGTAGTCGGCGGCGGCGGTTATGAGGCCGTCGAGATCGAATTGCCAGTGTTGGCTAACGTAGGGACGAGCTGCTGGATGTCCTTGCCGGCCACATATTGGAAAGTGTCTCTCTGGCGAGTGTAATCCGAGATGCCGGCTGCTGCGACATAGAGTTGGAAACACCGTTCCCAGGCAGGAAAATGGGCAGCAGCGTCGTAGAGACTGCTGTAGATCGGGAATGGCTCCGGAGGCGGTAGTGACAGTAGGGACATGGCGAGGATCAGGCGTTTGCTCGCAGCGCCAATGTAATGTTGTTCTCTTGCTGTATTCCAAACAACAACTAACTCGGAGCTCCGGAAAGCTCCGCAATAGTGAGGTTTTGCATTCCGAATTTCGGCTCGGCGTTCTTTGGTCATTTGTCGAACATCAAAATGTCGGATTTTCGCACCGACGTTTGTTTTGCAAGTCGAAAATGATGTGTTTTGATTTCGTGAGCCCCAGCATCAGCAATGTCCTGTCCCGTGCTCCTTTTCTTGCTGATTCCGACAAACTTTGATCGCGCCCAAAGAGTCGAGGGCCAAACCTGCCTCCTCAGTCGCCTCAGAAAAAACAACTCCATGGCCAAGTCAAATTTTATGGGTATCGCCATAGTCTTTTCAGCCACACAGATGACGGTGAGGACGCTCCAGGCGAAAGAGAGTAGACAGGCAGTGGAGAGGAGCAATCAGAGGTAGCTGACGATGCTGATGTCGTCAAAGACGCCTGCGAAGCCATGCCAAGATAAGAAACCTCTTTGAATAAATCACGCGCTAGCGCTCTTCCACAAGAAAATTCATCCGAAAATTATGTTCGGCAAAGTGAGCTTTTTCCGAACAAACATGCCGCATCTTCGTGTGCATTTTCGACCTCGCTCCCGTGTGCCGAATCCTTTGCCGAATTTCGGAATGCAAAACCTCACTAATATGATGCCAACAGAATGTAATGGTGTGCGTGCATGCGTACAGAGTCGGTGCGTACCGACTGTCAGCACAGGTGTGGAAAGCAGCATATGTAAATGGATAGGAGCACAAACGGTGCCGCGTGCATATATGTGTCGGTAGAGCATGAGACTCTTAATCTCAGGGTCGTGGGTTTGAGCCCCACATTGGGCGCCAAATGTCATCTCGGTTGGAGAACGAGCTGCCTCTACTCTACCCTCGCCACGCCACACATCAAACGGACTAGTCAAGTGGTTTTTCTCTACAGCTAGAGAGAGAGCTATTCATTACTACACTTCAGGAGACGACGGGAGAACTGACAACTGACATGGCGAAAGGAAACATGATATCGGAAAGTGGTGCCCTCATCAGCACAAAAAGTGGCGTACTCGATATCATATCAGCACAAAAAGGTGCACGTGTCAGCAATACAACAAAGCAGCGCAGCAGCATGTACGGGTCAGCAGCACAGAGACACAAATACAGCAGCAGGTACGACAAAGAGACAACACGTGCAGCCACATGTACAACATATGGGAGTGACAGTCCATATATGTACGTGTGAACACTACACACGATGAGAACATGCAAAGTATGGAGACCCAGACTGTGTGGTCAGCAGGACACAGCCCGTACAGGATGGAACAGACAACTAAACGTAATATAGCACCACGTACCGGCGGACTAGTCGACGCTGATGGGAGAAGTGGCACCCCTGAGGCAGCTACGGATGCCAGAACTCTACAGCCAGACCAACACCAAAATAAAATAAGAAGGTACACCACACCAGGAAGCAAGTCAAATAAAGATGTGTGAACAACAGCCACACACCACAGAAAAGCATACAGAACAAAAACTCAATTACCGACACCATAGACACTGCAAAATCCAAACAGGAGGAAAATACTAACTCCCTGAGGACACTGAGCATGAGGCAAACGAGCAAGCAACCTCTTGCCGATGTTCCACCGTGTAACAACAACCGCGCTGGCCACCGGACTGTATGGTAGGGGTATTACACCTGGACCTCAAGACCAACGGGCGAAGGACAGCAGGCCGGGCCCAGGTAAATACAATGAGGAGCACTGTATACAACTACAGAAATAACCCAAACCCATGCCAATTTGACCAACATACCTTCCCTGCGCATCCATTCCTAGTGTACGGGTCTGAAAGATGAAAGATGGAGCGCTTGTATACACGGGCCCGGAAAGCCTGCTTCGGCCGCTCGGCAGCAGCTTCGTAGTGGTGGTCAAGGGTCGAAGACCGACGGATACGGATCAACTCCCCAGTGAACATACCTTTGCCCATACTACAGGGGTGGTTACTACCGACAAGCAGATACAGGAAACGATTGGTGAACTTGAAATAAGGCTTCACCGCCATGTATCCCTTACTACGGAAAACTGTGGTGTCCAGGAAATCAATGCCATAATGTGCCAGTTCATGAGAAAACTTGAGGGTCGAACACTTATTAATCCTATCTAAAGTGCGCTGAACTTGACCTTCGCAACCATGCAATGATAAAGCGCCTATAAACCTGAACCTCAAAACCCTCCCCCTCTAAAATCGGCAAAACGTACCGCTTCTCCAAATACAGCATAACAATGTCGGCATAGACCACTGCTGCAGGCGAACCCATGGCAGTCCCTTGGATCTGCCGAAACACATCGTTACCATACACGAACTCATTTTTCTTCCGAATGACTGACATCAAGGATGTCACTGCTGTTAATAACCATGTACGAAGGGCGAGGGGCATCCACCTTGTACACCTGTGTGTGATATACCACGACAACCGAGCTCGTTGGGGATGTTGGTGTAGTAAAGGCTGGTCACATCTATACTCAATTATAAATGATCGTCCCGCACAGGCAAACCTTCTACCAAGTTGATGAAATCCGCAGTTGAGGTCAGAACAGTACTTTCCTCACATACATACGGGTTCAGTAGAAAGTCAGTGAACTCAGCGGGATAGTAGCCAGGACTATTTAGATTAACAATAGGCCTAACCTTCAGGACCCAGGGCGTACGTATTTTGAGAAGTCTCCTGAAAACGGGCATGCGCCCCCGGTGCGACTAAGAACAGTGACATATATTAGTGGGCATACGATGCCCAATGCGATGCCTAGTCATGGCGAGTAAACAATTGACTCGGGTCGCTCACACGAAGTCTCAACACAGCCTTGAGCCTGTTGGTTGCCATTGGCAGTCTAGCCGCAAGCTCATCTAGCCCCTCAGGCAAAAAAACAGTCATTTATAATGTTTGACATTGTGATGCTGGGCACGACCTATATCATCATAGTGAGATCCGTCCAGGACTACTATCACAATAGACTGCCTTTGAATATGCCTGAGTCCGATCGCGTTCTAGCTCCCAAACTATGTGCTGCATGTGTACACTCCGCCTATGGTTAGTCTACTCCAGAACAACGCCTGGAGAGGTTCATTGGGGGCATGATGTCCCCCCACCCCATTCCCCCCTTGCCCCCTGCACCTGAAGTACCGGTATTGCCCCCCCCCCCCCCCTCCCCAAACAAATTACAGGACACAGATGGAGCACTGGGGAGCACGTAGCAGTAGGCAAGTTGACGATACCAGTGCAGACACGCCCGACCTCGGTCACCACACTGGCACAGTCATATGGTCTCCAAGGGACATAGCTACCAGAGAACACACAGTATGGGAGTATATAGCGCTATCTCGGTGGATAGACAACCCCCTAGACACAAAATATCTACTGATAGAGTTCTGTGTAGACCCTATGTGCACATATGTGTGGATGAGTACTGGTAAACGGACAGCTAACCCTAGTCTAAGTAAAATAAATGTAGAATGTAGACCCTGGGCAAAAAAATAAGTAAATATAAATATTGACTAGTTTGAGGGAAAGCCACAAACGGGAAAAGTCTGAAGAAAAAATTGACTGTCACCAAAAAAATAATAATAGCTACACACACGAGGGAACTCGGATGGAGAGGCAAGGATAAAAATTGAAATAGAGGACCATCAGTTTACGAGTTATCCGTTTTGTCCAACACTTACGGATATAAACGTGATGCAGCTAAGCATCAGGTCGTTGAATGTCAGATCTCAGTCAGTTTTTGTGCTAATTGTTGCACATTTTTGACTCAGCAGTATTCTGCATATAACCGTTAGTGTTGGACAAAACGGATAACTTGTAAACATGAGGGAACACTCATCCTTACCCAAGTCCCAACGTCAGCACTCGGCGCTGCTCCGAACCAAGAGGGACACTGGAGAGATCGTCCATCAGCTCCTCTCTTGTCCTGCGATCAAATCGCCTAATGCTAAAACACAAGAAGATAGGAAAGGCAAGTAGAATAAATAAATCAATAAAATAATAAACAACAAAACAAGTTTGAAGAGCTGCAAACGTAATGGACGATCCGAACAAGACCAATGATATACCTAGCAATAAGTGTGCAGAGTGTGTAGCCCAAGGATAATCATCCCACGGCAAAGTTTATTGTTTAGGGCATAGACTCACAGTAACAAGCTCACCTTTGCTGCATCTCACACGGTAATCTACTGTATCACCATGGTAATTTCTGTTGCACATTGCTGCTTGTTTAACAAAAGGCACACCGAATTTCCAGGAATTACCATGGTGATACGGTACTTTAGCTTGAACCTATTGTATGACGGGTTTTCTATGATTCATAATGACCCAGAGAGAAACTAAACCGGTATCGAATTCCAGTCAGCGACGCAATTCTTCTGAGGTGTAAAGTGACTTCAGGAATATGTTGCAGAAAACTGCGATGCATGCTGATTATTTACTGTGCCCTATTGTGCACAATATACCAGGTGTGTTACTCAGGGATGAAGTAGATGCACACACGTGCCGTGCATCACGGCACAGGTTAGGTTTGCTACTAGCTGCTACAGTGTACTTGTGGTCCGAACTTGCACTCTACTCAACTCTGCATACGCAAAGTGTGCTTTTGCCGAAATGAACCAGAAGGGTGCTGAGTGGGACGCAACAACACTGACTCTGTATACCCATGTACACAGATATGATAGGGTATGCAGTACCTGCTCCAAGATTTAACACAAACCGGGTACACGTCTACCTGGCACAACTCCTGCAACACTGGGCCAGAGCCAGATGCGTTCAAGTGCGGCTACTGTGTGTCAGGGAGTCGTAAACTTACTTTCGACTTCCTGATGTACATGATTGTACATGTACATGTATGAACGTACTCGCACTGGGCACTCTGGCCGCACGCATCTGCACGCGTATGCAGCCTGTCAGTGGTGGTATACCCTCGAAGTATAAAAAAGTATAGTACTCGACAGGACTTCCGACCGGGTCGCAGGTAACCCAGTGTTCTTTTTCCAAAAGGTCCAAGTACTCACAAACAGGGTCACTGACCCGGCTCTGGAGCAGACACTGGTAATCTAGGTCTAAGTTTGCTCGATTATGTTCTGACGCTTCATGTGCTTTCATAGCCAAGGTTTCTCACTTTCTTCGCAAGCTCTTTTAGTCTTGAGAGTTGACAACTGCTTATGGTTGTGTTGGCAGAAAACATATCAGCTAATCTGACAACCGTCCAACCCCATTTTACTGGTAAGTAGTCAGCGAGTGGCTTTGATGGGGCCATACTAGAGGGGAAGTTACGCGGCATATTTGTGCTTCCTTTTTGAAAACACGTTCTCGCTCGAAGGGCTTCTAAACTTTATCCCTGCGCTCATTGATGGAGTTCATCGATGGAGTTGCCAGCGGCACTCTACAGAAGAACAATGTTGTCAAGTTTTTTATGAAAAATTGTCAAACATTTTCAAATTGCTATAAGTTTGGTTAGGGCCGGGTTCCACTGCGGCTCCGCAGCTTCGCTGCTCCACGGTACTTGGCTGCATGCAGCAGAGCGGCGCGCTTCCAGTGACACTCGCCATTCACGGTACCGCGATCGTGCTCGACGTTTTTTGATGACATTTAGCCTGCCTGCGCTCGCGTGAAATCCAAAAAAATCCTCGTGTTCTGGCCTGTGCAACAAATTAATATTCCCCCCGAATAAAACAATTAAGTGCGGGAAACAATGCAAGCCGTGACCGCGGCTTGCATTTTTTTGTATCAAGCAGCGAAGCGAAAGCTGGTGATGAGCCGCGGCCTCGCTAGACCAGCTCGTGATGATGACGTTTCATGCCGTGGATGATGTGCGGCGGAGCGGCAGTGGAACCCAGCCCTTAGGCAAAGGAAATTTGTCATTAATTTGTTTATGCTGCAGAGATGGAGAGCTGCACACTCTGGCTTATGGACTCTCGCCTACAGTGTAGTCGTACTGCTAGTGTACTGGCATTACAGAAGACACGAAAAACGAGAACATAATTATGGCGAGAAAGTAATTACTGGCTAAGAATTGCCCTTAGACTTACCGCTTCTCAGTGCTCCATACCAGGAAGTAGTACAATACCTACTCCCTGCTCCATACGAGTGTTTTCTCCTCATTCTCTGCATCCTTTACCCCAGGAGTCTCGTCCATTTAGCGGCTCAAATGCTTGAGCTCCGGATAGCGGAAAATAGCTCGTCGTCCATTAGCGGCTCTAATAGTACCTGGTCTGAAGTGTCGCAGTCTAGCAACTATGATTTTTTCCAGGAGGGTAAGGGTTGCAAACCCAAAGAGACCCTAAGCTTCGTCTATCAAACAAAACAATTGCCCTAAAAAATGGAAGAGGAAAAGAGTGAGCGAGCTGGTCTGAGCGCGCTACTTTTCAAAAAATAGAAGCTGAAAGCCATCAAAGTCAAAGCATTCTGGCTAGCGCGTTTGTGTACTGTATGTCACGAGCGCTAGCGCGCTAGTCGCAGCAAACGCTCGCAGGCCAGAGTTAGCGCTATTTGGGCTGTTTGCCGCACGCGGCAGCTGGATGGATCACGTGATCCAAGCTGACAAATAAGGTCCGATGGTTCAGCTACATTGAGCCACAAGCCTTGGAGAGAGAGAAAATCAAGTTTTTTATACACCGGAAGCGATACGACCTTTTGACACGTATGTCGACTTACTGGGTTTCCAGAGCAGCGCTGGCCTGGCCAGGCAGTGGACTAGTCACTATCGACTCCAGCCAGCACAGACTGTCAGTGTGACCTGGTGACTGAGCTGTGTGATTGCACTTCGACAGAGAGCCGCTCAGTCTTAGTTTCTCCTTCCAGTAGTAACATCGATCAAAGAGCGCTTTGGATGCGCTCTCCAAGACGTTTCCTATCATGTTTGTTCTTGACAGCACTTGAAATTATGACAGGTGTAGTGCAGTCCACACTGATTCCACAGTAAAAATGAGACTGCGCTCATTTGTCCAGCTGTAGTATCGAAACGACCATGGAAAATCATCAAAATTTCGAGAAGGAGCTTCAAGCAATGTTTGATTTGCTACATCGCGGTCGCTAGTTACGGTTCAAAATTCGACATTGGGACAAGAAAAGGCGGTCGCTGGTCGCGTTCAGCAGGTAGTCGCTAGTCACAGTGCATTTTGAATGTGAGACCGTCCGTGCCTGACAAAGACAAAATTAAGTGGTCGGTAGTACCAGGCCGGTCGCTAGTCACGGTGGTCGTTAGTTACAGGTTTTACTGCACATACAAACAGCGCTGCAGCATGGTGGAAAACCATGAAAACAGGAGTACCGGTATGTGCTGTCCCCAAGCCAGGGAGAGTAAATAGCCTGCGGGGACTTCAACTCGGGAGCTCCCGGAGTCAGACAGCGCTACTTATACGCAGCTGCGCCATGTAGATCTTAGTACATGTAGTAGTAATACCACTGGCGCCTACTCAGCAGCTGCTACTACTCAGTACTGTACTAGCCTGGAGCCTAATGTAGGGAAGGCTTCGAAGAGGGGGATTTGCAGATCGATGCCCGTGCGAGACACCGGAAACTGGCATCATTAGACATGGTTAGCATTTTACCGTTCACGCTATTTCGACGGTCGGCGTGTAGAGGGCGTGTAGAGGGCGCGTAGAGGGCGAGTCTACTGTTTTTGATGTGTTTTCGAGACACGGTTACGGGTTAGCAGTTCGGCTTCTGAGTCCTGACTCCTGACGCAACGGTAGACGTGTGAGGTAAGCCTAGTTAGAATCTTACCGTTTCGTTCTCCCGCTAAAAAGAGCTTTCTATCGTTGAAACGGTACCAAACCGACGGTATTTTTGGGTTTGGGGTACGAGTACCGTTGGATCTAGGGCGTGAACTGTAAAATGCCATGTCTACACACACAAAAACGGTGCAGGCCTACCGCCGAAAACAGCGTGAACGGTAAAAATGCTAACCATGTCTATTATAGCATTATTCTGAGTGCAGCCTTGACCAATGAAATCAAGACAACGGAAATAATGCTGAGCTGTCTGTCCGTGTGTGCTTGTGCTACAACTGAGCCTTGGTGGACAATGCCCGAAAAAGTTGGCAGATTCTGCTCGAACACAATGGCAGAATCATACAAGTACAATGTGCAAAGCTTATAGAGTTATAGCGGGCAGTTCCTTGAATTCTGCTCCTATATCCTCTTCTTTATCTATAAAGACACATGACTGTATAATACCCTATACCAAACATGCATGAAAATACCAGCAGAGCACATGTACCAAATTCTGCCAATTGTTCTGGCAGCATTATCACCAAGGGCTAGCTACGATCGAGCCTGATTTTCTACAACTACCAGCGCCGCATTGTTGAGCACTGCCACTAGCGTGACTTTCCCAAACAACTTGTTATTACCCTCTCACAGTCTCAGCTCAGGGCCCATGCTGTTGTGCATACATGTACCCATGATGATGTACATGTACATGTAAGCAGCTTGCCACGGATCTGTCAGTAATAATACTTGTGCTGCAAAAAAGGGGGTCCACAGATCCCATGCAAGGCCGCCAAGCCGTTCATGCATTCACTCTCAATGATTTATAGCAGTGCAGTCACATGTTACATAATACAGTAACTAAAGACCACCATGAGTCATGACTGTACTAGCGACCAGCCTGGTACTAAAGACCGCTTCGCCGGGCACAGACGGTCTCACATTCACATAATTATTATGGTTGTGCGATGCAAACCTCTAACTAAGGACCACCTGCCACTAAAGATCGCTCTTGCTGGCCCCAAGGCAAGGGGTGGTCGTTAGTCACAGGTGTTACTCTACATGTACTGTACTATGACGTACTCTATGACACTATGACTACTGAAGTACAGTGCTGGAAACTGAAATCCGACCCCCTGAGCTGTGCGCTCACATCGCAAAGACCCAACACTACGAAACAGAGACCGCTATTGTAGAATGATATCATCAAAATTTTGTGTGAACCCACCGCTCAGGGGGTCGGATTTCAGTTGCCAGCACTGTGCTATGTATTGATACTAAATTCATTTTGCCCGTGCAAGAGGCGTTACTCTTATGATACAAAGTAAGTACTGCATGATATACCATCTAGTAAGTACTGCATGATATACCATCTAGTAAGTACTGCATGATATACCATCTAGTAAGTACTGCATGATATACCATCTAGTAAGTACTGCATGATATACCATCTAGTAAGTACTGCATGATATACCATCTAGTAAGTACTGCATGATACACCATCTAGTAAGTACTGCATGATATACCATCTAGTAAGTACTGCATGATATACCATCTAGTAAGTACTGCATGATATACATGTACCATCTAGTAAGTACTGCATGATATGCCATCTAGTAAGTACTGCATGATATACCATCTAGTAAGTACTGCATGATATACCATCTAGTAAGTACTGCATGATATACCATCTAGTAAGTACTGCATGATATACCATCTAGTAAGTACTGCATGATATACCATCTAGTAAGTACTGCATGATATACCATCTAGTAAGTACTGCATGAATTAAAAGCGTCCTAGTATTATAAGTTACATGTACGACCTGCTATAATAATTATATTATTGTAGTACCATAAATGACGACTAGGAAACTAAGCTTGTCAGGCAGCATGAATGTGCACTCGAAACAGATTTTGTCTGCATTGGCACTACGACCTTCCTCCTTTCTTCCCTCTCCTTCTGCCCGGTCGCCGTTGACGTGTGGTCTCGGATGAAGCTGTTGAGCCTGGCTGTGAAGGCGACTCGACTGGACTTGATGTTACCAATTCAGACGGAGTTGGTGGTGGGCTTGAAGTTGATTCCTCGCTGGTTGGTGCATCAGTCAGCTCATGTATTGGCATATCAGCGTTGACCGATGTCTGTGTTCGCAACAATGCACTCAATTCCTCGCGGACTGTGTGGTAGTTGGTATCGGCAGCCAGATTGACTCTCTCCGAGTAGCCAAAGATGGTCCTGGGATCGTCACGGTGATCGAACAGCTCCACAGACTGAACAGCATCCCAGTCTGTGAGGCCGGTGGCGGTGTCGTAGCTAACCCACTCGGTGTAGCGCCAGCTCTCCGTCCGCACCGTATAGCCCATTAAGGGACTACTTGCGAACGCATTGCTGGCGCGCAGGATCTGTGAAAAGCTCGCATCCTTCCACGTGGACGGTGCCTCTTCACCGCTCAGCAGTGGCGTCAGGGACTTTCCCTGCAGTGTGGCCGGGATCTCGTAGTTAGCTATGTCAACAAGCGTTGGGTACACATCGAGCAGTTCAACATTGGTGGAGATTCTGGCGCCGGCGGTTGTCGAACGCGACGGGTCGCGGATCATCAGCACGACACGATTGGCGGGCTCAAACGTGGTGCCCTTTCCCCACTCGGCCATGTCGCCCAGGTGCCAGCCATGGTCACTCAGCAGCACCACTGTGGTGTTCTGGTCAAGGCCGAGCGTCCGCAGTTCGGTCAGTACCCGACCAATCTGAACATGACCGATAGGCAAAGAGGCAGTTTGAAAATACATGTACAGGATGCAGGAGTAGGCGTGATTAGTGCAGAAACGCTCTAATTTAGATCATCACTAGTTGAGGGAATTACTAATTTAGTTCACACCTTTGATCATCATTATCTACAAAAACAGCATTGCATCTACTGTACTTCTTTGTCGCATTTGTAGTTGGCAAAGTTTCATACTGAAATGATACATACGGGTGCCCGAGCATTGGTTAGATTTTCAAGAATGTCCACAGCAAATATTATACCCCCGATGTGGCTGGCATGTGTCGAGTGTCCGACCGAGAGATTATTCTGATGAACAGCATACAGTGCGAGTGCGGCCTAGTGTGAGCATTCTACCATGGCAATACACATGCAGCTTGTTCAAGGATGAGACCACTCAGACCATGCGATGAACTGTTGTATTTACCTGATCGTCAACGAAGGAGGTGGCTGCCCAGTATGCCCGCCGCAGCTCCGCGGCCTTCGAGTCTGGCATCCAGTTACCCTGACCTCGCCTCAGGTTCAGGTTGGCAATGTCCTGGTATCCACGTAGCTCTGCATAGTTGCTCCATGCTATGTTGGACAAGTCTGCATCCAGTCACCAGAGAATTGAAGATGCGATAGGAAAATCATTGGAAATCAGTGGTTTGCACTTCGATGGTCAGTCTAAACTCAGGGGCGTCAGAAGGTAATTTCGTGTGGTATGGTCAGCCATCTGAAGTACAATTTCCTGGCTGAGCCGAACATTTTGGAAATTTAGAGCCCAAATCAGTGCACTTTATTGATTCACGGGGTACTTGGGGCAAATAGGGGTACGATCAATACCGTAGTGACCGTACCGTGTGCGATGCCCCTGAAACTACATGTACTTGAAACTTGGCATGGAAAAGGTGGATGCCCAATAGGGCGGAAACAGTCGAACTTCATTTCAACTGAGATATGCAAAGTCATGTAGATATACCAAAGGGTGGATGGATGGATGGATGGATGGGTGGATGGATGGGTGGAAGGATGGATGGATGGGTGGATGGATGGATGGATGGATTGATGGATGAATGGATGGATGGAGGGAGGGTGGGATGGATGGATGGAGGGGGAGAGTGGATGGGTAGGCAACAAGATGGACAAGAATGTCAAAACTTTCCTTTTTTTCTATTGACTCACCGGTTGGTGGACTGGTGTCATCTGCCAGCGCTACTGGGAGTGGGTACCGGTCAAGATAGGACTGTGGGAAAACAAACGGTAGGTGAGGCTTGTGCAGGCCCATGGCAATGAAGAACTTGCCGTGCTTCAGCGAACGCATCTGCTCGATGGTGTTGCTTGCTACCTGATAGTCTGGAAACTCGGATTCCGGATCGGCCCGCGCTTCCCACGAGACTGCCTTTCCGGTAAAGCTCCGGCCATTGGGTGAAGTGTAGTAGGGCTCAGTCCAGCTGGCACTGTCCTCATCACCACCTGCACAGGAAAATGATGCCCGGAAATCTTTATAAAACGTGTTTGCTTATTCAGAAGATATTGGAAACCAAACAATAGGAGGACAGAGAAAGTGTTTTTTACTCCGAGTTTCACGCACTAAGCGATCATCAGAAAACAGATTGGACACCATGTCACCCGGTTGCTTTGTGGTGCATGCAAGTATGCATTCCCAGTCTTATCCAGACAGTGTGCGAGCACTGGTCTACAATCATCGAAATAGCTACAATATGGCTTCGCATATGGCTTCGCATGCATATTATGTGTGTACTTGTGCTGATGTACATGTAAAAGTATGATCAGTTGAGGCCCACATATGACCCCCCCCCCCCCCTCTCCCGCACACATACACACACACACACACACACACACACACACACACACACACACACACACACACACACACACACACACAAGCACCCCTGCATAGCCCGAGTACAGTACCATCTCTCCTCACCGGAGGATACACCTTGATGGAAGACCTTGCCACCGCCGGCCACCCGATAGCCCTTGTTCTTGAAGAACTGCGGCAGGGTGACGGCATTGTCCAGGCCGGGTGTGCTGCGGAAGTATGTATTCAGATCAAACACCTACACGGTGTGCAGGCAGAGAAAGCAGACAAAGAAGACCATAACGAGATCATTATCATGTATTGAGCTCAGGGACCCCGGTCAGCGACGGCCAAGCATGTACAGAATGGCGCGTAACTAAACGAGCTCACTACCTACAGTTGCCATACTTACAAAGGAAGACAAGGCATGCACTGTCTGACTGCTGGTCATACATCAGGCGCGTAGCACCGCCGTTGGAGGTGGTGCGGCTGGAGGGGGTCGGCGGTGTCCCCGGGAAATGTTTTGAAATTAGGATGTAGAATCCTGCATTCTGGGCACTTTGGGCATTGTGTTTAAAAAAAGTGGTCCGGCCAAAGCCAGACGGGCTGGACCGGCTGCTATGCCCCCTGTACATGCATGTGACAATGAAGTATTAGTTGAATGAACAGTGATTCTTCAGGACACAGTACCCCGGATATCACATCGTGCTTTTCTATGCCTTGAATCTGAAGAACCTGTGCTTCTCTGGAGATGCTGCATGCACCTTACACGCAGGATATACATGAAGGGTCCCCAGAAAAAAACTGACAGTTTTTATGTTCGTTGGACAGGAGTCAGGAGGGTAAGCTGCTTTCGGCCCGTTCCTCACTCAGTCCAAACTTTCTCACCACAACACCACACAGCTGTATGGAAGACTTGATGCCAGTATGTACTAACACTCGGAGTTGTGTTGCTGGTATGGTGAACACGGTCCGAGGCTGGTGTTAGTGGGGAGTTTGAACTAAATGCTGGACAGCGGATACATAATCATGTTTCGCCATGAACGACATAGTGGGTTTGCCTTGCTGTTGGACCACAGCAGGGAGTCACGAAAAGGCTTTCACGGCCCCCTAGGTCAAATCTAAGCACGAGGCCATGCTGTGGATGTGCATTTATAATACACCTGTTTACCTGTGTAGTCTGTGGACGTAGACCAGTGAGGAAAGACGATCGGCTTGGTGCACATATAGAATACTGGCAGTACGCACTGTTGAACAGTGCTGCTGTCTTGGCAAAGTCCTGGATGTTTGGCGAGCTGAAACAGAAGGGGAAGGAGGACGGGCAGGTTGATGATGGGTGGCAAGTTACAAATTAATTAGCAACATACATGGACACACAAAGTGTGACACTCGCGTGCACACACACAGACATGCACACACCACACACACCATGTACCATGTACCATGTATACGCCCGTCGCAAGAGAAGCACGCAAATCTGCAAATGCACTGGATGCATGTGCACGCACAGATTTTCTCTTATAGCAACGATAGCGAACAAGATCTGAATGAGACAGATCAAGACTTGCGCCAGATAACTGTCTAATCCACACAACTGCACACACACACACACACACACACACACACACACACACACACACACACGCACACACACACGCACACACACACACACACACACACACACACACACACCTTTGGACCTTAGGAAAGCCCATCGCCAAAGGCGATGATAGCTATTAGGCGAGGCAGTAGTTCTTGTGTCGGGATAAATCATTCGGACGGCGAAAGTCGCGGCCGCAGACACAGACGAACACTCTTGGCACACACACACACACACACAAACACACACACACACACACACACACACACACACACACACACACACACACACACACACACACACACACACACACACACACACATCCTGGTCTGCTCGCTGATGTGCTTCAAGCCTTAGCTTTTTGCGACTTCAAACAAAATAGCCCTGGGGAGACTGAGAGGACGTCATCCGGCTACTACCAAGAACTGATCAACATGAATACCGGTACTACAAGCCATTGAAGGAGGGATCATGATTATTTTCTTCCCTCTCTGATCTCTCAGCCGTGAAGCTTACCTGTGGTTGAAGCCGTACGCGGCTAATTCCGGACGTAAATCATCCACCACCATCAGTAGAACGTTGGACGGCGAGGATACCGGTGCGCTGTGAGCATTGTGCCACGGTATGAGCTGAACGACAAGCAAGAGCGCAGCACCCACCCGTAGAAAACTGAGCCGCGACATTGACCTCTTCTCGCGCCGGTGCGAGAAAGTCGGACGACACCTTCGAAACGAACGGTCACGTCCGTCGGCTTCCTTTTCCGCACGTATGAATAATTTTGGGGAAAGCCACGATGTTTCACCAGTAGATGTACAGAACAGGGTTTACAGAACAGACTCTAGATCTACAGCAGATCTACAGACGCAGTTCTTGTGAGCAGTGTTGATGATCACAAGGAGAAAGACCTTCTTCGTCTGGACGCTTGGCTCTCTTATTTAGGCTAGCGACGATGCTTTCATTAATGCACATGTGTAGTGGGAGTCTGGCTCGATTTGGCTGCCACTAGCACTGCATGCGTGGTGCTCGCATGTCACACTCTCGAGTCACAGTCCTAGCCAGTCGACCGAACCTGCCATGATTCATGAGTCAGCTTTGTGGACGAGTCGCTTTTACTATCGGGACGGTAGATTTACCACAGAGGCGAGAATAGAGACTGGCCTGAGTGCATGCTCACATATCTATTGCGCGATATCGGCGATAGCACGGGTCACCCTGACATGATTAGAACACACGTTCCCTCGGTCTGGGGCCGACAGCGCTAGCGCACGATGTTTTCCAAGAGCAGAGTCATGAAGGACAAGGTCATTTGGGGGTCAGGCATCACCCAAGATCCCATCAAAACGCGCCACCCAAGACTTCCACAAAATCGAATCATACCGGGTCGTGGTGTAGACCTACCATGGAGTATCGATGCTGCGGTAGATCGTGCAATGATCACCACTGTCTGAAGAATCTAAGAATAAGCAATTGTTAATTGTGCGAGCACACACACAATGTGATGGTTTTCCAAGTCGATGACAAACACACAACACTGTTGAAGACTCTACAGTCTGATAAGGACAAAGCGTCAGTTATGAAAGGCCTCCTTGCATGATATTGTCATAGCACTTCAGTGTCAACAATGACAACATGCTAAGCTTCAAAGCATGTGTATTATCAAGAGTACATACCTCCCCCAGTTATGTACTCTTGGTATTATTAATTAATTTTGTACAGTTCAACCATTGCCAACTAGTAATTACTTGGCAAGAATATGAAGCTGTGTACGTGTACTAGAGTATCTGTCCGGGACTCCCCGGGTAGTGTAGATACTACAGTACAAGCAAGAGTACATAACCCCCGGGGGGGGTTATGTACTCTTGCTACAAGTCATGATGTACATGTACATCACCTACTGCAGTTAGTACAGTACTAAGAGTTCATTACCCAACTCTTGCTATAGTACAATGTACTCTCTCCTGGACATGACAGTACACCACTGGTACACAGTACCAATGTAGACAACTATGGAGTATGGCTGACTAAGTAAGGGACTCAGTCAGTGACGATGCTGTAGTCCGAGCAACGCTTTTGAAAAAGTAACATCGGCCGCCAGAGAGCAGGCTGCTGCAACTGTAGACGAGATGTGGAATGGCTGGCATGCCAAGTTTATGTCGGTTCTCGAAAGTCACGCTCCCCTGCGTGAAGTCAGAATCTCCACCAGGAGGACTCCCCCGCCATGGTCCGACCGTGATCTATTCCAACTGAACATGCGCAAGAATAGACTTCACCGAAAGTGGCTACGAGATAAGACTGTGCATCTACATGAGGAGTACAAGCGAGCCCGTGCAGAAGCCTCAAATGCTTACCGGCGAAAACGCAATCAGCATTTCCAACAGCAGTGTCGTGATCACTCCTCCAACCTGCGGAAGATGTGGTCCGTGATCAACTCTGTCACTAGCCGTTCTCGTCAACATCATCAGCCAACGTGCGACATCACAGAAGTCTCGGATGCCTTCCACAGCATTGTACATGATCCGTCCCGTCCGGCGCAGCTCCAGATTCCCATTGGTCCACAGCCGCAAGGCTCAATGCTGACCTTCCAGTCAACCACCCCAGATGAGGTCAAGCACCTCCTGGAACGGATAAATCCCTGCAAAGCCACAGGCAGTGATGGGATTCCTGGGTGTCTGCTACGTGCTTGCGCTGACCTGTTGGCTCCATCGCTTTCAGTGCTCTTCAGCTCATCGCTGAGGCATGGTGAAGTCCCTCTGGCTTTCAAACATGCTGTAATAAGCCCTCTCTTCAAAGCTGGCGATCCATCGGTAGCTGCAAATTATCGTCCTGTGTCGCTCCTGCCGATCGTATCCAAACTACTCGAGAAGATAGTCCAGAAGCAACTTGTTGCACATCTGGAGCGATCATGTGCCATACCACCGACTCAGTTTGCCTTCCGCCGTGAGCACTCCACAGAGGACGCCCTAGTTGTAGCAACAGATGCCATCTTAAAGGCCCGGGACGACAAGTTGACCACAGGCGTCTGCCTAATCGACATGTCAAAAGCCTTTGACAAGGTCAATCACAGCCAACTGGTCCGGGACCTATTCGATCTCGGCCTGGACAATGCCTCCCTTCGCTGGTTCTGCAGCTACTTAAGCGATCGAACCCAGCAAGTGCGCATTGGCCCCACCTACAGTGTTGCTGCTAAGTGCTCATCTGGTGTACCTCAGGGCTCGGTCCTAGGACCGATCCTGTTTAGCATGTACACCCGTGATGTCCCTGCCATAGCCCATCCTGCTCCATCTCTGCAATTTGCCGATGACATTGCAGTGCACTGCCACAGAAAATCAGTGCTAGCCACATCAGCCTGCCTGTCAGGGGCCGTCACCAACGTCGCTGACTGGCTCAAGCATCGACATCTGCTACTAAATGACAAGAAGAGCCAGGTCCTGTCAATTGTACCACAACGCAATGCGGGTCAGCATATCGCTGTCCGCTGCAACCAGACAGAGCTTCCCCTGAGCCCAACAGCAAGGTACCTCGGCGTGACCCTTGACGCCGCTGTGAAGTGGGACCCCCATGTTGACGCGATGGCGAAGAAAGTTGTGCAGAAGATTGGAGCATTGTGGCGGTCCCGCAGATGTCTGAGCCTCAGTAGTCGCATCCAGTATGTGAGGTCAGTCATCATGCCTGACCTCCTATATGGGTCTAACGCCTTCTCTTCCTCCCTCAAGGTTTCGCAGCTTGATCGCCTTCAGGTCCTGCAGAACCGAGCGGCGAGAGCGGTATACGGTTTGCCGCCTCACACCTCGGCTCAGCCTCTGCTCGAACGGATGTCCCTGTACAGAGCTCGGGAGTGCTACGCCCAGAAGCGGCTCGTCCTGGTGTGGCGCTGTGTCAATGGGAAAGCCAGCAGTGTCCTCCAGGACCTATTCTCACCATCAGCTGGCAGCACCACCCGGCACCAGGTTTCCAGGGGCCTCACTGTCCCCTCGGCACAGTCAGAAGCCGGCAGATCTCGCCTGGCCTTTCAGGCAGCCTTGGCCTGGAACGCTCTCCCAAGGAGTGTAAGGGAGATCAAGGCTGCCCAGCAATTTAAGCTTGCCTCCATCCCCTACACCTTGCAATGAATGCTCTGTCTGACTTTTCCCGTCCACACACCACGTCATTTACGGTACTCTTCTCTGCGTGCTTGTGCGCTCAAGTTATGAACTCTTTGTGTTCCCTCTGTTGACGCTTCAAAATCGCTCTATTGACACTGCAAAATCGCTCTGTTGACGCTACAAAATTGCTTATCATCTCCCTCCCTCCCTCCCCCCCCCCCCCCTCTCTCTCTCTCTCTCTCTCTCTCTCTCTCTCTCTCTCTCTCCCCGTAGCTCTCTCCCTTTTGAAATTCGCTTCCATAGAATTGGGCACCATTGCCCGTTTGGCCTTGCGAAGCAAAATAAAAATCAACAACAACAACAGGCCGCCCAGGCCATCCACTGATCCAGGCTGGAGAGTCGCCAAAAAAAGAGCGTACCAGATGCAGACTGCGTGGAAGCTAAGATTTCGGACCACCAGGCATGGCAGTGTGTGTGTTTCTAGAATAATTCTGCATGCACACTAAAAAAAAACTAAAAAACACTGTACCTACACCTGTACTGCGTGGATGTATGTGAATGTACAAGGACAGAATAAGAACAAAGACACTGTAATGAGGCGGAGACCCCGTTCTTCGGCACCATATCTTACTGTAACAAAAGCAGGGATAAATCTGCAGCTGTCCAACACTGGCAATAGTCAGAGGGCAGAGACACCATAGTTCATTCCCAGTGACGTGATCATTGGCTATGTATGAGTTCAGCATAATACTTGTACAGTATATTTTAAATTCCTTCAGCAATGTACATGTACATCTAAACATGGGATACGGTTCTCGATAAATAGCTGAACATCCAGGTGACAATCAAGACACTTTATGAACAAAATTAATGATGAAGGGCATGAGTATTTATATAATGGCTATGTTCCAACCTAAAGTATACGTAGCAACGTAAGAAATTCACTATGGGTACAATCCATTCGGCTGCATCAACCAAAAAACCAAAAAAAAAAAACAGTAGACACCACCACGGGCACAGCCAGCAATCAACAGAGCACATACAGGCGAGAAATTCATTCGATACGTGAAATTATGCCAAAAGCCAAAAGACACAGAGGCTGTGCTGCTGACAGCATGTGCAGCAATAGCAGAATTGCAGCAGGGATAAAACAAGAATAGGGCATTGCTTTTTACCAAACAGAATACATTTTCCCACGCTGCACTGGAGTGTCGTAAGCACATCTGCAGGGTAGTACGTGGGTCCGAGTGTACTGGCACTCACACTGGAGTACCACCGCTCTCGTTGCCAGGCTTGGCGCTAGACAACTGCTGCTGCTGCTGCTGCTGCTGTCGTTGCTGTTGTGCTGCAGCGTTGAGGAGATCACGCTGGCGTCGGACTTGTCGCATGTACTTTTTCAGCATGGAGAAGATGAATAGGCCAGTGACGATGGCAATACCGTACCTGAGCGCACAGAGTATAACATAATTGCAGCAAGAGTACATGAAAACCAGAGTGTGCAGCTGGGATGGGTTGCTGTCACGGCGGAATTCCGGGACTACGTCATTTTAGTGATGTAGTGCGTACAAGCAGGATTCAAGCAGGTCTCTTTCCGCACAACTGCAGCTCAGTTGTACGCACTACGCCATTTCCCGCCTCATATCTGCGCCAAATGTGATGTAATCACGGAATTCCGCCGTGACAGACACCCATAGTAGAAAAAGCCTCAAGTTGCCCACTCTGGTTTTCATGTGCTCTTGATTGCAGCCATTCTAAATCAGCGCACATTGCCACCGATTTTAACTACTAACACAAATCTGAAGAGTGCTGCTGTGTCAAAATGGAATAGAATAGGTGCATGCCTGAAGTGCACAGTTTTTAGGTTGCCATGTACAGTACTGGTCTAAGAAATCCAACCTCGTAAATAAAATAGCGCCGGGCGCTATGCAGCCCTAGCATCACACATACTGGTCTGTGCACTCGAACGTGGCGCTACTTTATTCATGAGGTTGGATTTCTCTGACCAGCACTGTACACAAAAGGCAACCAGCCACTAAGGTCTGCTTTGTACAAAATACTCGACCAACACGACCAGAGAAGTGCCCAAAATTACTAAAACGAAAGAAGTATGTCCACATGGACTCCTACACACATAACCACACAATTACACCCAGCATGCATTGGATATGTGAAGCAAAGAAAAGCAAGATCGTTTCTATGAGAGGAAGCTCACAACTCCTTGCCAGACCTGCGTCAGTGGCAAGTGAATACGTGAACTTTATCTATTTCTTGAAATATCTCCAAGTTTTCTACAGAGATGTAAGGATTCAGTGCACAACAAAAGGGCCCCTAGCTGAAGGTATAATTCAAGGAAATACGGCATAGAGAGAGAGAGAGAGAGAGAGAGAGAGAGAGAGAGAGAGAGAGAGAGAGAGAGAGAGAGCCAGTTCAGTTGTTACAAAAAACGTACCATGTAACGACGTATTCCAAATGTTTGTTCTTCAGGTGACTAGGTGTCTGTCCACCGATAGGACCATCCGGTGTGCTGCTCTCTGCAAACACACCACACACGCACACACACACAAACATACACACAGCAAATACACACACACACACACACACACCTTTGACCTTTTGACGCCCATCACCGGAGGCGATGATAGCAATGCTACGGGAAAAGCCACAGCAACTTGTGCTGGGATTGCACCATTCAACAGCTTGCAAGGCTGAAGAATTGACCGTCACTATTCAGCCTGGTCTACACCATACAGCTATTTGAAGTGACTTTTCCTGGCGAGTGAATCCCTATTTTTGGTCTTTTCATTTTTTTTTCCGCGCAAACATCACACCACATACTCCGGCATGCACTGGCTGTTGGTAACCATACACGAGAATGAAAGAAAAGTCAGGAAGAGTCTGAGAAAGAGAAGAAAGACGTGTGTGACCATAATCGTCGGGAATTGAACCCGCAACCTATCGATTGGAAATCGCTGCACATACCACTGCACCATATGGGACAAACACACACACACACACACACACACACACACACACACACACACACACACACACACACACACACACACACACATACACACACATATACGTGCATTTCTAAAATGAAAAGCATTGTGAGTACCCAGTATATAGACGCTACCCAAGTCACATCTCTGAGTGGTAGGTCCAAAACAAATTCCATAGCCACCTTGCATACAATGAGCTAAAGAAACATCAGCCAGTGTTGGCTACTTCCGTGGCGTACGCTCCGCACACGAGGTTCACTGGCATACAGTGCACACACGAGCGGTCACAGCAGTGAACTCACCTAGCACAACATCCACCAGATACGGCCCCGTCTTACAGTACGCCGATATCGCCGGCAAGTCCTTGTAAGTCCACGTGTTCTTGCCAATGCTATTCCTCGTGGTGCCCGTCGGTCGCTGCAATCAAGTTTGGCACACATGGCGAAGGAGTGCAAGCCCAAAATAAATACCATGTATATGTAGAGGCGCTGTGTACACTTCCCAAGATGCAAAGACTCCACTGTATGGAGGATAGGGTGCTGTGTACAACAAAGACTCCACTGTATGGATAGGGTGCTGTATACAACAAAGACTCCACTGTATGGATAGGGTGCTGTGTACAACAAAGACTCCACTGTATGGATAGGGTGCTGTGTACAACAAAGACTCGACTGTATGGATAGGGTGCTGTGTACAACAAAGACTCCACTGTATGGATAGGGTGCTGTGTACAACAAAGACTCCACTGTATGGATAGGGTGCTGTATACAACAAAGACTCCACTGTATGGATAGGGTGCTGTGTACAACAAAGACTCCACTGTATGGATAGGGTGCTGTGTACAACAAAGACTCCACTGTATGGATAGGGTGCTGTGTACAACAAAGACTCCACTGTATGGATAGGGTGCTGTATACAACAAAGACTCCACTGTATGGATAGGGTGCTGTATACAACAAAGACTCCACTGTATGGATAGGGTGCTGTATACAACAAAGACTCCACTGTATGGATAGGGTGCTGTATACAACAAAGACTCCACTGTATGGATAGGGTGCTGTATACAACAAAGACTCCACTGTATGGATAGGGTGCTGTGTACAACAAAGACTCCACTGTATGGATAGGGTGCTGTGTACAACAAAGACTCCACTGTATGGATAGGGTGCTGTGTACAACAAAGACTCCACTGTATGGATAGGGTGCTGTATACAACAAAGACTCCACTGTATGGATAGGGTGCTGTGTACAACAAAGACTCCACTGTATGGATAGGGTGCTGTATACAACAAAGACTCCACTGTATGGACAGGGCTCTGTGTACAGCAAAGACTCCACTGTATGGACAGGGTGCTGTGCACAACAAAGACTATTATGTAAAGACTCCACCGCTTTATGGCTATATGGCTATGGTGCTGTGTACAACAAATACTCTATACGCAGCATTATCAGAGCTGGTTCACATAGTACAGTCAACTTGCGAATAAGGACCCTTGATATGGCATGAGACTAGTGTCATTATTGGTGAGGTTGGAAGTATGCAGTTAAATGTTCACTAGGTCTGAAGATCGTGTCCTTATTCATGAGTTGTCATTGTACCCCGAGGTCGTTATTCGCGAGGTTGACTGTACAACCTGACCGGTAAACAATGGACAAACGGCTGACCAACAAGAGACAAACTGCTTACTTTTTCTCCCTTTCTCACTTTGGCAACGATCTCTACTTCTCCTTCAACCTAAATAGGATGGTACAAGATAGGAAAGAAGAAGAAGAAATGAAGAGACAGATCAATATTGCTACACAAACACCCATCCGTAGCATACCCTGGCACACTATAGGCAAGGGAACAAGAGCCTTGGAAGCAGGAGTACCAGAATACAGAACAATCTTCTTCTTTTTAAGAAGAAGAAAAAAGGATATTTTCCCTACAGGCTACTTGTGCACGTTTCCTATACAAAGGATACTGAGGACATGGCCTGTGACTTCATAGGTTACCATGGTTACCACTTTATAATAGCCTTACTTAGGCTGTACACTGCAATCCCATTCGCTAACAGCAACTTTAGATCAAATATTACCCAGTCTACATCATGACAACTAACCCCGACACTGGGTGCACAATGGTACACCACTCTACCCCTTGCTGTAAACAGGACCAGTGCAAAATAATGAGAGAGAGAGAGAGAGAGAGAGAGAGAGAGAGAGAGAGAGAGAGAGAGAGAGAGAGAGAGAGATGGAGGGAGATATGGAGGGAGATATGGAGGGAGGGAGAGACAGAGAGACAGAGAGGGTGTGTGAGAGGGAGAGAGATCCATACCTGGCCTGCTAGACGGTACTTGGGATTCTTGTTAGCCTGAGTCACCCACCCTCTGTTCACGAGAATCCATTGCCTACAAGTCAAAAGCAAAGCCACAACCAAACATGAAACGAAGACATTATAATCAACCAAGAGAATTGACACGTACACGCACATGCTCTCTCTCTCTCTCTCTCTCTCTCTCTCTCTCTCTCTCTCTCTCTCTCTCTCTCTCTCTCTCTCACACACACACAAACACACACACACACAAACACACACACACACACACAAACACACAAATACACACACACACACACACTCACACACACACACACAGACCAAATGACTCACCCATTGTGTGCACAGCGGAAGGGTGTAAGTACAATATATCCACTGTACGTGATATGATCTTCAAGAGCGGGAGGTTTCATCAATGGACGTGGACCGATAAACTGCTCACGACTATGGTCAAACTCGCCGCGTACTCTGACTTTCTTCCATTCTAACTTGCTGAGTTCTGTCAAGCTGAGAAACACATAAATAAAATATACTGTTAATGCACGCGCACGTACCGTATTTCCCCGATTGTAAGGCGCACTCGATTATAATTCGCACCCCCACTTTGAGGTTTGAACCACATTGTTTCAATACATGCATATAAGGAGGACGTCACTCTCGATTGTAAGCCGCATCCCTTCTTTGCCCTTGAAGTTTAGTGTAAAACGGTGCGACTTGTACATGTATGCTGTATAGAGAATCAGCACTGTCACTGATCACTGATCACTGACCTTCATGATGGTGACCTGTGGACGACAGCAAACTGCAAACAGTAAAGTACAAACGTGAACTCACTCGTGCGGCATGTCGACTGCCGGCTTCTTCTGCTCCTCTCTCTCGTTCTTGATCAGCTCCTCCTTCCATTTCATGCGACGGACCTGCCAGTTGCCCAGGTACGTGCACGTTATGGGAATGACCGACAACGCAAGGATGCGGGACAGTCCGGGTATTTTGCGCTTCGGACGAACTGCAGACGACGACAACAACAAAAACAACAACAGAAACAACAACAAGCTATCGTCAGAAAAAAGATTTGAAACAACAACAACAACAACTCTCTTATTGGCCACTGGCTATCGTGAGAATAAAGATTTGAAACAACAACAGCAGCAGCAGCAGCTAATCACACAAGCGTGAAAAAGCCTCAATCAACTACATCTACAGGCAAAGCTGCTGCAACATATAATAAATTTGACCGGTACCATTGATACAGATGGGGTTCCAACAACACACACATACTGTTACACCATGAACTCAAACAGCAAAGACAAGAGTACGAAGCCGGCAGTGGCGTACATACATGCTGATCCTGCTACGGTGGACGCATGTCTTCGACAGCGCTGCCTCCACAGTCCCTGGCCACACCCTGCACACAGAACAGCAGAGAACGCCAACAGTAGGATCAGGAAAGATCCATTCCACCGCCACAAGGTATGAAGGGAACAGTAGTCACAACCTTGAACTTCAGGTGGCTGGGGCGGTACAACTTTTTTGGGAAAATTTTGACTGCATTTTTGAGTTTATCGGCGAGGCAGAGATGAAATTTGAAAATGTTTTGTGGTGAATCTCTGGAGAAGAGCCTTCTCTATCTAGCTTCCTATAGTTTTATTTTTACTTTTGGACAAAATTTGAAAACGTTTTATGAAAGGTTCGTGTTATTTTTTGTGTGAAAGCCTGAACGTGCGTTTGGGCACGTATGAACCGCAAGCGTACTGTGTTCACGCGCCAGTTGTGAGCACAGCTTTAGAGTTGGGCCACTGCATCTGATGGACCCACAGTATATGATCAAGGTTGATCATCCACGTGATTACACATACCCAGCACCTCAAATACAGACTTCCAACCCCGAAAATGACAGCGTTGCAGCCCAGGAAGATCATGGAAACTATGAACATGTACATGGATCTGTAGGCATATGCGCACAAAAGCCAGACGGCAGTGTATGCGCGCAAGTGTGTGTGTGCGCGCACGCACTCACAATGAAGTGGGTTCTTGTGCATGCTTGCCTATAGCACTGTTGGGCACTGAAGAACGAACAGGCTAGAATTTTACCAGGTACAGGATACCCATACGTACTAGTACATGGTGGCTCAACTACCGGTATGAAGACATGTGTACATGAAAAATAAGAATGGAGGAGGCTACAACTCCGAACCCCCTCCAGGTCTTCGCCACCAGACAGTACTGTAGACTGAAGAGGTGACATGATGAGGCTATCGAGGTGCAGTAGGTGTACCCGCATAGGAGGCTACGCTCAACTAACTACACACACTTCAATGCTGAACAGATTATAATTGGTGTTTGCTGTGGTGCTGCCTGAACATTCCCCACATCATGCAAGGGAATTATTTTGTCCATATCTACGTGCTAACCGTTGAAAACTGCACGAGGCTGGATCCGCGATGCACCTGAGAGCATTGTTGATGGGCTGATCTGGGCGCAGTCAGGTAGCTGTGTCCAAAATGTCCAATCCCAGATGTGGCAACTCACTGCCTTCTACAAATGAAGTTTACAGTCACTGACTCTGACCGGCAGTAATAACTACCACTTGATCAACAGCTTATTCTGCCACGTCCAAAGCATTCGAAGAGAAGTCACTGATTCATCAACCCAAGTACAAGAGCTACAGAATATGAAACAACAGCTAGCAAACAGCAAAATTGTCTTTCAGACTTTCACTTTTCGAAATGAGACTTCACTGTCCACCGATCGGATCCCTCGAACTGAACTTCTGAAGACATTGCAGTCCATGCGCCAAGACCGAAAAAGTCGTCTAAAAGTTGTACTTTTTTATGCAGATTAGCCACTTTTCCGAGCTGAATATATTCAAATCTTCGTTGAAAAATTGTCAAGAAAATATTAGATGTCTCGAGTCGTTTGCAATTTTCTCTCCATCAGTGATTGTTTGCGGAAGTTTTGCTTTCCGGACACCTTGATTGGGCCTTTGACCTTATGGATGTCAGTTGTAGTGGTCGTTACTCATTGTCTCGACGTCGCTGGGAGTGTTCTTGTGGGAGCTGTCAAATATTCGTGAAAATCAGGCAAGTGGCAAAGAAAAATTCGCCAAATTTTTGGGCAAGGTAGTATGTAGACATAGATGCTTTCCTTTGACTCTCCACCGATGTGGAAACACTTCCAGAAGCGTTCATCGGTGTCCGGTTCTTGATGGGGTCGTGGTGGCCTCCACCGTTTGGAACAAAACAAAACCAATGCATTGTCTGTCGTCACCAGTAGGAGACGTATTACATGGCAAAGAAACACACCAGCACCCGTATTCACTCTTGAGGGGCCTGAGATAGAACTATTAGAAGCCCACATCATCTTCGTTCAAATGACAAAGTTCTAACCAGGATCTGCAGACTGCAATTTCAATGTCATTTTTGGTTCCTTGAAAAATGGCCTAGCCAATAGCCTATAGGTAGTTTATGCAGCATTGGCGTGTTCTTCGGGCTTGCAATCATATTATATTCATCATGAACTTCTCTTGCAAGATTCGTGCGAAACAGAAAGTTGTAATGTACTCTCAGGACAGCTTGACGTAAGTTTCAATTCTCAGTGAGGTGCAAAGGTCTGAGTGGAACGAACTTTAAACCGTCATCGTGAATGTCAATGGGAATATGAGCCAAGAGTCCACAACCCCAAGGGAAAGGTGTGATGGACTCTTAGTATGATCTGTGCGCAAAGAACTGCAGTTGAGTCATCGTTTAGCAACATGGCTGCGTTCTGAGTTATAGCACATTCTTAGACTCTTATTGTACTGGAGTGTGCACTTTATAACACGTGTACATGTATATAACAAAAGCTGGCTTACAGAACGGTAGAAAATGATATGTCCCATTCTCAGCTTTGGTTTTTGGCGTTCTTTTAATTATTAGTATTTCGGGCTGCATGTTCTTGGGCTCCATGTTCTTTGAAGGGGAAGTTAAGCCTAAAATCAAATTTTCACCAGTTGTAATCTTCGGGACGCTGAGTCGGATGGTCTTGGTCCGAGGAAGCTGAGACGCTCCCTTCCTCCTTTATTCCCAATCGAACTCGCGCACTTCCACCGAAATTGGGTGACTGCGCCCTACTAGATGGGAATTTGTATGCAAAATGTCACCAAAAGCGCCATTTCGTTCTTATAAAAGCACGGATGACCGCGATTGGCCCATATGTTGTAGTCTTTTGGACGCTGAGTCGACTGGTTTTGGTCCGAAAAGGCTGCGATATAGCGTTCGGCCCTTATTCCCGATCGAACATGGCTGAACAATCGGTCACGTGCTCCTGCGTACACAAGTTACCTGGTCACCGCTCCAGCAGGCTACAACTTTCACACCAAGGTTCAAAGGTTCAACTCGAGTGATAGAAACTCGCTCAAACATGCTATAACTTAAGTTGGAATAAGGGCTGAATGCTACATCACAGCCTTTTCGGACCAAAACCAGTTGACTCAGCGTCCAAAAGACTACTACAGTAAGATCGGGCGCCGAAGAACGCAGGGGCTCGAGCGCAGCCTAGGAAAGTTCTTAAATTTTTGATTCTAGCCAGACCGTTCTTATTCACACGCGCGCGGCGAGTCGAGTGACGTCATGACGTTTGTCATGTACATGTACTACATGTACATGTACATGTAGTGCAATGTAGTACTTCTAAACTAGTGGGTGTCGTAAATGGGAATGACTGTACATGTAGCAGTTACTGTTTACACGTGTACATGACATGTACTCACCTCCCATACATGTACAATGTTCCAAATTTTAAAAGTGTTCTTAAATCTGATAATTCTAGCCTGGACTGTTCTTAAATTTTGCCGGTTTTCCAGCCTGGGTGTTCTTCGGCAAGGTGTTCTTCGGCGCCCGATCTTACTGTAGTACAACATATGGGCCAATCGCGGTCATCCGTACTTTTATAAGAACGAAATGGCGCTTTTAGTGACGTTTTGCATACAAATCCCCATCTAGTAGGGCCACCCAGTTTCGGTGGAAGTGCGCGAGGTCGATTGGGAATAAAGGAGGAAGGAAGCGTCTCAGCTTCCTCGGACAGAGACCATTGGACTCAGCACCCCGAAGACTACAACTGGTGAAAATTTGATTCCAGGCTTAACTTCCCCTTTAAAGCGAGGCTCTACTGTACATGTACATGTAATGTAAAGAACTTGGTGTGCCCCCGTCAATTTCTACCTGTAAACGACTTCAGCACATACACCAGAATACAGCGCTGAACCAATTCAATTATCATGATCATGCACATGGACCACATGATAGTACATTCGAGCGCAGGTATTCCCGGGGGGGGGGGGGGGGGGGGGGGGACTTTACATTATTTCACTTGCAAACACATTGCACGTTACATGCAATTTCGATTCCTTCACTGTACATGTAGATCTACATAAGAAAAGGAACAAAACAGCCCAGCTGCAGCATGCATTCTTGATCAATAATCTGGCACACCCTGGTTTCAGTCAACCACATGGTACTGTAGCAACTAAAAGTGCTTATAGCCGAGACACAGGCAGGAAGTGCTATATGTGTGCTTTCTTTTCCATCTCCTTCACAATGAGGAAACTCAATACAAGTGCAGACTGCCTCTTTTACGGCCAAAGAAACACAGTGTATGGTGAAGAAAGTGTCCTAAGGCCGAGTAAAGGAAATAGCTAACTAATAGAAATGGTAAAGCTACTAAAAGACTGGAACTGAACCCTTTAATTTAAACAACTTCCAGCTAGTATGTGATATACAAGTCAGTTAGGTTCAACACTATGCCAGTGGATGACAGGGCAGTGCCCAACTCCGATGCCAACCAGCCACGTCATGGACAGACGCACCAATGAGATGGTTAGGGATAGTCGGAGGCGAAAGTTAACCACAAGGAAGAACGGAGGAATAACAAATTAACAATTGTGTACAGCTACAAACAGGATCCGGAAACACAAGCTTTTCGGTCAAAGGGAATGAATTCTACACGAGCATCTTGAGAAAAGCACATGTGTCATTCCCCATACTTCACAGTCTAGCCAGCACCAGCATTTACACACTGAATGCCGGCATAAGATAGAGTGACCAAATTAGGACAACATCACCAGGCCTGGCAATCAAACAGAAGATCGTTGTCTATAGACTGTTGTCCATATTCGAGAGCCACATGGATCTGTATGCAGTGACCATGACGATTGACCATGATACTCGATAGGCACTTGGATACCCATATGTGCACAGAATATGATTGGAAAAACCTCAACCAAGACAGAGGCACTGAAAATCTGTCGCCAGTGGCTTGTTTAAACACGGCTACGAATCCCTCCAGACCAAACTCACACAATCCACTACAAACGAGCTGTAAATGGTCAGCGTGCTGTGTTCGAAACCCTGGACCACGTTCCTCGGCAAAGGACAAGACGGGTGTGCACGTACTCTTAACCAGTTCAGCCGTGCATGGGATGTGACAGTATTGCCTGTGACCGAACAGCTTGCAAGGAACGAGACAATCCCTCTAGTAACTGCATATGGCACATTTCACAAGGCATATCCTTGGCCTGAGAGTACACCATGACGATTGTTCCTTCATTTCTCTGACCAGTTGGGTCCACACTTGAGGTCCATAATCAAGATGGAGAGCAGCCAGCTTGCTCTATAGGAACGCATGCAACAATGTTCAGTAGACGGCATAATCCCGACTCCTGCATGGACAAAAACAAAATGAAAAGCCACACCAAGTCATAAGCATCAAAGTTCATTGTGAGGAATTATTGAGCAATGACCGAGTAGTGTAGAACGGGTAATTCTAGTGACTATTAATTTTAGCGTTTTCCCATTGTCAACCGGTTAGCGACGTTTTATTTTAGCGATATGCATTTTTCTTCATTGTACACATTTTGATACTGCATTCTACTACTGTATGTACAAACCATCACTACCGTGTACTATGAGTGCTAGTACGAGAGAACATCATAAAACATGTGCTAACTAGTACTACTACTTGAAGTACTAGTATTACTACTTATTACTCACGGATCACCAGTGCACTACTAATGTCTCAACGGATTAGCGACTTGAAACTTTAGCGAAAATGAGTCGATCGCTAAATTCACTAGGGTTTTTACGTCGCTAAAGTTACCCGTTCTACAGTAATCGGTATAATCGTTTCAGCCCTACTTGTACAGTGCGTATCGGTTATAGTGTGGTCGTGTAAAAGAATATACTGCCTACAAGAATGAACTCTCATGTTTTCATAATCATAACATGGATTTCAAATGCACATTTATTCTTACAAGCAATTTTATAGTACAGTAGAATATATCGGTCCTAAGAATGGACTTTGTGTAGCAAAACATACCAGATTAGTACAAAGTATATCGCCTGTAGTAATAACATCCGTCCAATGCAGTTCCGACCTGACTCGCGTTGGGTCGTAGTGCTGCAGGTTCAACTGTTGTGGTCATGTAACTCATGTTGCATAGCCACATGGTAAGCCTGTGTGACTATGCCCAGCCGCATGCACTGTAACACTACATTGTATGTACGATGATCTTCCTGACTCCGTGTACATGCGCGTGATATGTCACACTTGGTTTATCGTGTGTAAGAAATATCGGAAATAAGAATAGAAAGTCGTTTTTCAAACACCCACGCTATAACCGATGCCTACTGTACTTCGTAGGTGAACCCAATCCCACGGGCCACGACACGCTGATACCACAGGGTCCACCATATGCCATCTTTACAGGGTTTAATGCGCAGCTTCCACATTCCATACCCTGATACCGGTAACACAACTACAAGCACATGCGCCTCTATGTGAGACCAATTGACCTGCAAAAGTTACAAATACGGCAAAAGCGTGTGTATAAGCGCATGGGCCATTACAATATGGTCCTCTTGTCAGGGTCTGTTCACTGCAGTGCTGTCCTTTTTTCTCGGTTTACGGGGCAGGAATATCTCAACAGGAATGTCACCATTGTGTTGGTGATGTGCACGCGGCGTGGGTCGGCTAAGAGTGCAGTGTGGAATGGTGGAGTGAGTTAATTCACCGAGAAACGATGAAGGTAATAATTGCGCCTGCCGAACACCAGGAGACTCCAGAACATATCTTTGTCTATGGAGTAATTAAGAGTGCATACATACTTATTTAATTCTACCCAACTTCCCATGACTACCATGTATGAACTGCGAAATCGGGTGAAGAGCCTCAATGGACATCGCTCTGAACTACAATTTTGACCCTCGCTTGCAGCTGATCTGAGAACGCGATCAGCCCTTTGAAGTGTATCTGTTCACATTCAAAACACCCATTAATATTTGTAACATCGTAGATAATTGTCCTCAAGTTTACGAGAAGAAAATCAGAAATCCATCAGCCATACTAGTTTTCGTGATTCTCGTGTATTGGCAACTAGGGTATTAGGAAAAATTCGCCAAATTTTTGGGCAAGTTACTATCAAGACAATTTTTGCTTTATGAGCAGCCTAGGACAATGGACTATACATACCTGAGGTCTGGGCGGTGTCCGGTAGTTCTTTTTTGGTTCTCACGCCATCAAGTATTTTAGCATCCAAAAATCATAAATTCTGGACGACGCAAAATTGAGAAAAGTGGCTCTGCTGCAACATGACGGAACAATCTCTGGCGGAACGGCTTCCAGATTTTGTTTAGGGATTATCCTAGCCCTCAGCAGGCCAAGTTACAATAGCATTCATGAAAGTCTTCCATGCCAAATCGAAGACGATCAAAATGGTGATTCTGCTCAAAATTGGTCCCAGAAAAAGTCGAAAAAAGCGGCGTCGTCATCTTCATTTTGCATAAAGATTCGGGTCATTTTTGGCCCTTGGCGCATGGACTGATTGTGCTCGGGAGTTTGATCGCGCAACCACGACGTCATTTTGGGAATATCCCTAAAATCTAGTAAGATAACGACTCGAGGTTTCCCTCAGATTCCCTGTGCATGTGCTACATGCTTGTGATATTAGTACTCCATCCCAGCCAAGGACAGCCTCCTACACTACATAACAGTACAGGCTACACTGCCACTGGATCGAAGACGAAGGCAGCCACAAATACTGCAGGCTGCTAGCTGCCAGCCGATGTTTCACCAGGAAGACTGTTCTGGTGTTTGCCCCGCGGTGCAGCTTCTGGGGCAGCGTTTACACTCGGACTCGAGAGCCCGTTGGCCGTCGCCTCGAACTAGGGAGAATCAGAAAAGGCTACGAAGATTACACACTGAGTCAAACGACGATTCCGAGCAGCTTCTTTTCCATGCACGGTTCCATTCAATGCATGAACTTTTTGAAGGTTCATGGCTACTGCTAGTAGATCTACCAGGGATCTGGGAGTCGTGAAAAGTAAACCCGCCGAGTAAGGCCTAAGGTTAGTACTGAGTCTACAAAAAGTCCACGAAAACCGTGCACCTGAGTAACACAGTCTCATCAATCATGTCCCTCTTATCTGTGTACACTTCTTGTACTTTGTAGGCTAAAGATAGGCCAGCCTAGCTGCAGACTTGCCATCTCAACGGCGGTAGTGGCATTCAGCGTAAAGTCCGAGAAAGGTCCAAGTGACTACCGCAACTGCGTTAAAGTTAGTGATCGTGATCGGTCAGAAAGGTACCTGAGAAGTCTGGATCAGAGAGTAGTACAAGTCATGTAGCTCTACACCCTGGCTTGGATCATCTTCTGCAAAGCGTCGATATTCGGACGTAGATCTACCGGTAACAAACTCCAAGGACTCTGCAAGGCCATGCAAACGGATGCAACATGCACCAAACAAAGGAGTGTCCTGAGGAGACGGAACATTCCGAGGCTTCGTTGCTATTACTCATATGGGGGAAGGAAGGAAGGAGGCGAGGCAAAAAAAATGATGACATCAAAGCAATCAGGAACGATCATAAGAGAAAGCGAACCGCCACGGTAATGAGCAGGCAATGAACAGGCAATGTTTGATGACTGCGACTAGTGTACAACCTGTCTATGACTTTATGACTATGACCCTCACTCATGATCATCACGATGAAGTCTTATCAGCTGTTTGAGGCGACGGAGGGGCAGCGGCCGTCAGTATCAACTAATTCGTACCGCCCCAGTCTCCTCACAGTGAGAGAGCATGAGAGGAGAGGACATGTACAACTAGTTGGACACCGCGTGCAACCATGACTGTACGTCTCGCCAGGCAGGAGGCATGCGGGTGGGTCACATTCATGGTTAGAAGAATACTACAATGTAGTGCTGTCTTTGTCATTGCCATTACACCTACCCCTACAGCTGGTAGATACGCCATCACGCTGCAGCTCTGAGCTCACCAGCTAGGCTGTAACTGACACCATGATGTAGATTTGGACCGGGCCACCGTTCATTACGATATCGACGGGCAGAATGTCAGTGCTGCTGGCATGTTGCAAATACTGACACGATACTACCACCAGGCTCAAATCCTGGATCTCAGAATGGATGTACTGTGCAGTACAGTCTCTGCATCAATGGGTTATGTACTATTTTCTTATGCGCACATGTACTGTAGATCTAAACTGATCTGTCACTGTAGCATTCTCTCCGGACCTGGCACTGCCAAGAGGCCCACCGCAGAACAGGCAGGGGCTGATTTTTACTCCAACTGTCCAGTCCAAGTGTGGTCCTTCGCTCCTGTGCTGCACTGCATGTGCATAATGCTCGTACCTGCCACAGTGCATCATTTTTGTTGTCATTTCTGCGATGTTGTCAAGACTCATACATACCAATGACATGTTGCAGTATGGATCTACTGTGTATGTCTGATCCATGTACTTCAATGCACTGCCAATACCATGACTACTCTGCGAGGGCGATACGGCGATCGTCAGATTTACACATACCACTGTACAGATCAAGACACCGTTCGAAGTCAAGGAATTCAAAAATCACCAGTAGCGAACAGCTCCTCCACGCCAGACGCAAACAGAATCAGCTGTAGTCACGGACGAAAGCCATGGAGCGATAGTTCAGTCACGGGGCTCATGAAAGAATGCTGGATGGTGGATAGAAGGACATTCGGGAAAGCTAGATACTAGTCAGGAGAGTTTCTTCCACATGGTGCTGTTCGTTGGGGAGTGAGGCAAGAAGGTGTCCACACCCTCCATGTCAAAGTTCTGGGCCACTTCGGCAAGTGTCCATTGCTGTTGTTCCGGAGGGGAACGCACGAAAGAGTAAGGCAATCAGCGAAGACCATTCTGTGCCGCCCGAAGCCACCATGTCTTCGCGAAGGCAGCGCCAGGTTGCGAGTACGCGCAACCACCAGCAACTGACCGCCAACGTCGAGCGCCTCCAGGCGATGGCGCAGGTGAGGGCATCACATAATATTCATGAGCTACTCAAGCTCTAGCGCATAGCTCTTCAAGAGGCATTGTTACCTCATGCATATTGCTACTGTTGTGAACTCTTGGTCCACCTACAAAGCGTTCGCCGAAACTAGGATCCCTTTGGTCTTCCGCAGTCTTTGTGTCTTGATCCGAGGTTGAGTTGATCGACAGACCTCTATCAAGACCTCTATGTTTATATGTTTTGTCGAGTCAATCTTTTCAAGATGGAATGCAGTGGTTTGCTATCGCAATAACTGTCTTCTTTCAGCGATACACATGCCTAGCCCGCTTGTTTTTGTTCTGATAAACATTGGTTCCATAATGGAGAAGTAATAGTTGGAAGACAATTTTGGCTTTGCTCGGTCGTGCTCTTGCTGTTGTGTGGTAGATTCATCTCACTGACAAGGAGCAGTTACGACTATTCGGCGCAATCGCTCTGTACCGCAAGCAGCCTAATGTCGCGGCGTTGGTCGAGCAGCTCTCTCCCGTCTGCAACACGGTGGCCAAACGCGAGCTTCTCGCGCACGTCCGGACACTGCTGCCGGAGAGCGAGTATCAAGCGTTCGATAAGCTACTGGTCGTTCATCATCTCGTCCCGGGCTCGGGCTCGGCACCTTCCTCGAGGTCTTCTAGCGCTAGTAGCAGTGGCGGCGGTGGTGGTGGTGGTGGTGGTGGTGGTGGTGGTGGTGGTGGTGGTGGTGGTGGTGGTAGTGGGCGGCGTGGAGCAGAACGAGCAGCCAACGCACAGTTCCGACAACCAGGACCGCCGACCAGCCCACTGGCGCACACACCATCGACGAGCCAAGAACGGATACAACCCGTTGCTCAGCCCCGTCAGGCAGGGCAGAGGCGCGTGCCCAAGCTGAAACCGACGAAACTCCAGGTCCGGCCTGACGCTGATCTGGCGTTAGGCTTCGACATATGCGGCGGAAAGGAACATGGCCTGGGTATATTCGTGTCGCTGGTCGAGAAAGGTTCCGATGCGGAGCGCAATGGAATGGTGTCCGGGCAGATGGTGATGAAGGCAAACGGCGTCAGCTTTGAGAGCATCACTCACGAAGACGCAGTCAAGGTGGGTTGCAGTTGGTGGTCAAATCATTGGTCAAATCAATGAACACCCATAACACCACCATGACCAGGCACACACGTGTATTCTGTTATACTGCACTACACAGTCTACAGCTCAATGACACTCAGCTGATCATTTGTGACATACTACATTAAAAAAAAAGTAAGAATGGTCACAGTTTTGGACTCGAAAAGTCGAAATACAGAGGACAAGCTGAATCGATATGTGGTTATAGTCACAGTGTTAAAAAAGAGAGGACCAAAAGTTAACAAGATATCCGTTTGGTCCTCTCTTTAAAATTTTTTTGAATCCTTGGCTCTCCATCCGAGTTAAGTCACAGTATTATAATATGTATACGCTGTACATGGGACTATGCGTGTAATGTGTGTTACTGAGCTTGATGAAAGCTGGTAGGAGTGAATGTCGATATGCCTCGGTATTGTGGGCTAGTTGCTCATTCTGATACGCACGCAATATCCCCGGCTTTGCTAATCCGATGCGTAGGTTCTGACGACTGGCGCGACGGGCAAGGTGAAGAAGATCCGCCTGAACGTCCTCCAGCCCAACGAGTATCCGAGCGACCAGTACCCGCTGCTTCAGTACGTGTGGCTGGACGGCAATCGGCAGCCCACCGCCCCGCCACCGGAGTATCGCAGCGGAATAAACCTCCTGAAGCCGGTCATTGACGTGCCCAGTCAAGCAACGAAAAAGGTATACCTGTACTTGTATGCGAGCACCGGAAAGTACTGAATACAGTGGCGTTTCACAGCGGTATGCTGTACACCCTGCTCAATGACTTGTGTCCTTTTTAACGGAATGCCAACCATAGGGCAAATGGAGAACTTTTCAGCTTTGCATCCCCCTCCCCTAATCCAACCATCACAAGTCATCTACACAGCCACTTGAATACACGTTTGAACACAGGTGAGAAAGCAGAAACCCCTGTAGCCTCTGAATGCACCTTTTGTCTAAGTTATATGGTCGATCATGCCATGACGCATGAACCAGTGGAACCAGTATTCAATGGGTCCAGTGGTACTATGGCTTCACATGCAGTGTACTGATTAATGCAATGATCACACATGACTTGCTTGGCAGTGAAACAATGTTCCAGAATGACTAGTGGGTTAGGCATGGCTAGACCAGCTGAACCAATCTCATGCCTGTTAACAAAACACACTGGCTCAGCGGCGTCGACAGATGCATGGCCCTTATTTTATTTTTCATATGAGCTATATGCGTGCTGTATACCCTTACATTAGTAGTAACACAAGTTCTCTCGTGGGAAATCCTTTGATTATTTCAGCTGATGCTGTAAAGTATTCCATTCACCGTGTTCTGCAGGTCAGCATTGCAACCGATGGAAATGTGCCGCTGGGACTCAGTATTCGTGGCGGTGTCGAGCATGGCCTTGGCATATACGTCACGCACGTGGAGCTCAACTCACTCTCACACAACTATGGCCTTCTGGTAAGTTACACGCTTTACAGTACTGTGTCAGGTGCCGAAGAACTGGGGGGGGGGGGGGGGTCAACCTCGTGGCCTATGCCATTCTTATCAGCAAGTTTCATGTACTTTGGTCAATGCATGTTAGGTTCGGTAGACAAGAGACAAGTAGTTTATTAGTTCAAGTAGAATACACAAAGTAGAAAAAAAACTGAGAAGAAAAACTGAGAAGAAAAACTGAGAAGATGCAATCTGTAAACGACAGAGAAGACTCGCAAAAAGATAAGTGCGTGCACACACAGTAGAGCTAAAGTTGTGCGACATTACGTCCTAACAATCATAACAACGCACAGTCGAGTCACTGTGTAAACATTGGTGTATGCTGTGCTTGGTGAAATTCTAGCCTGTTCCTTTTTCGGCGCCCGACAGTACTGTGCGAGTACAGCGTGTTAACCGGTGTCTACATGCAGTGTTATTAGGAGCAAATACCGATCTCCAGTGTCATCAGGTCTATTCCCAGATCCTTACCACATGATTGAATATCGGGAGAGAGTGTACATGTAATAGGTGTATTTATGCTACGACCTGTACATACTCACTATTCGTATTTCCCGCTCGTTCCCCATGGCAATGAGAGCCACCCACTAGCTAACAAGATCACGCGGTGGTGGGGTTGGCAAATACATGGACACTGCTTGATGTTTAGAATTTGAAACCTACATGTACTTCACGCCCACACTATCTCTTCTGTACGTTAATCTCTTGGTGGGGCACGACGTTCGTACACGTGCGGTCCAGGAATGCTTGCCCCTGACAGCATACACTATGGCTGAGTTGCTGGTGGACATGCCTAACAGGAAGCTCTTGCTCTTGCTGTTGTGTTGCTGCTCTGTCCCAGGTTGGTGATCAGCTCTTGGACATCAACGGGCTAATTTGCAATACACTGAAGCATGACGAAGCGGCTGAAATCCTCCAGTAAGAGAAGTTCACATGCATCCTCCAATGCTAGGCACTGAAAAACAGTTTGTTCCTGATAGCATTCAGAACACATGCCCTTTTATTTTGCAGTGTACTGGGAAGGAATATTTCCATAACATATCTAGTAACATGTTGTCAAAGATTTTATTTGAGCAAAACCCTGGCATGGCAAGTGTGACTTGTGCAAGTAAAAGAGAAGACAGCTAACTGTACGTCCAGGGTATTGCTCAGCTTTCCTGGCACTATGGACTGTGCTAAGGTCACCACACTCTCAGTGTTCTCGTGGTAGACATTACAGCAGACGATGCTATTTCGCGTTGTAATACGTTGCAGTAGCCGAGCATGGCTGTGGCATCGATAGAGCGGGCTGAACGCTTAGCTATCATCGACAGCAAATTAAAATGTTCATCAAAGTAATATCAAGGACATCCCACACTCTTCCATGTCTATGAACAGGGCCAATGAGCTGTTGGTGATGACCGTACGGCCCATCAACAAGATCCCCATCCGTCCAATAACACCCCAGGACCAAACCAGTCCCAACTGGGCCCAGAGCAAGGCTGCCACGGACTTCCTGATGGGTCGACGTGCCTCGTCGGCATCCTCAGATCCAGGATCACGCCAACAAGCACCACACCAGCAACAGCAGTATCAGCAGCAACAGCAGTACCAGCAGCAACAGCAGTATCAGCAGCAACAGCACAGACAGGCGCCGACAGCAGCAGCAAGAGAGAATCACAGACCGGTGGCTGCACAAAGATCCAAGAGGCTGAGGTAAGCCGGGAGGAAGCCTCTTTGGTCATGTGACCTTGTTGCACTAGTCATGTGACCTTGTTGCACTAGTCATGTGACATAGGTACATGGTCATGTGATGTAGGTACATGGTCATGTGATACAGGTGCATGGTCATGTGGTATATATGCATGGTCATGTGGCATAGGTGCATGGTCATGTGATATAGGTACATGGTCATGTGATATACATGTAGACGCATGGTCATGTGATATAGGTACATCGATCATGTGATAATTTATAGGTACATCGGCCATGTGATTGAATCCTCTTTGGTCATGTGACAGCTAGCTGCATTGGTCATGTGGTGACAGTGGTGTAGATGCATGTGTCACGTGACTATTCATACGACATCTGCTGTCAGTCCTTGAAAAGAGGAAAATGGTTTCTCCTGCCCACCAACGCAGACTAGTGTGAACGCAGTGCGGATAACTGCCATGGTGACTCGCACAGCAGGTTTCTGTAAGGGAGCATCTCATAAGTTCGCACTTTTTTTGTAAACGTAACGCATTTCGAATAGACTTTACCCCCCCCCCCCCCCCTACCTCCCCCCTCTATTTGAAAGTCTTATCGCACATTTTCCGTGTGGATCTAATACATGTACATGTATAATTATGTACTGTGCATGTCCATGCCATGCATGTCCATGCACATGTATGCACATGAATGTCAAAGTGAATGGCATACAGTACTGCATCTAAGTACTGAGTACAAGAAATGACATGTACAAGCACATAAACAGAGTTCCCCCACAACCACTGTGTACTGTAAAAGCTGGCCAGGTACACAGTTTGATGATGCTGATGTGACACTTGACACCTCTGAGTAGCCTGTATGCATGCAGTGCAAGGCTGATCTCCAAACACAGGCACATACTGTGACATAGCTCTACACCTAAACACGCTCATTTTGCTGAAGCGATCTAGCACATGCACTGCATGCACAGTATGTACACATCCAGGAAATGTGCGAACTGTCATTTTTCTATTCGAAAAGGGCGTTACCCCCCTACCCCCGTTTCGAAATGCGTTACGTTTAGAAAAAAAATGCGAACCTATGAGATGCTCCCTAAGGGAGTGCCATTGTTCACACCTCCATTGCTCGCTAAAACTGGCTGGGAACATGAGACGTGAACACCACGTGACCTGAGTTTCTGCCATCAGTGGACCCCACAGTAAGGGTATTCACAGGTGCAGACTCTCAGGATTTTATTAACAGTGCGTGTGATATTTGGCGACGTCTTTTCCTGCTCAACAGCCGCACGAGCACGGGCACGGCATCTTCACAGGACTCGTTTGACGATCGGCGAACTCCATCGCCAATGGTGGATTCTCAGATGGCCGCTGCGGCGCCCAACTATGACCCGGAGCCGACCATATCTCAGGCAGTGGCGCTGGGTCCACGATCGACCACGCCAGCGTATCTTGTGGATTTGCAAGAGCAAGAATCCACATGTGAGTATACACAATGGATATACTTATGATGTCATAATGTATTGGACTATGACATCATTGCTGTGTTTGCCTTAGCTGAAATGGTATTGGGTGGTAACGGGTCTTCGGAATGCCACAGAGCACGATTTAGCTCAACTGCTGCCCACTACATATTTGCAACGACTATAGTGGGTGCGCTTCCCAGCCATGCAAGTCCCCGTTGATAGCTTCATCCTATGCCTATGGTGAGCAACGTTGCCCTCATCTGTATTGCGGGGTCGATGTGGACAATGTCATGTTCTTCCACGTATGTGACTTGTATGTACACACACATATACACACATGCACATACACGCCCTTCATTAACATGTATGGGGTATGTTTTCTTCACCCAGTGCAACGCAACTCGCTCCGTGATCCGGCACGTAAGAATAGCGAGCATCGCAACTCCTACCGCAATTCGGGCAGCTTTGAAGATACCGACATGCCGTCACCTCTCTCTGAACAACTGGTAAGCAAAGACTCTGCAACACCCTGTAACATACTTCCTCCGCGTCATCGAAATTGTCGCAGTTTGACTACTGACTTGTCACTTGTTACTGACAACTCCATAAGCTAAGCCATTCAAAACTTATTACACAATATGATAGTCTGAAGACTAGAGTAACGTTCCAGGACAGTTGGACTAAGAGTTTTCATGCAGAGATGAAGTCCTCGTCGTCGCTGATGTCAATGGACGCAAAAAATATCGTTCCGAAATATTTCAAGGAAGGTTGAAAGTTGGTCGCGCCTCATCTCAAACGCTTTGACTTTCTCCACAAGACAAGAGCTGCTATGCTTGTCGGCTGCTAGCTCTGGATGATTTCTACTTCACCACCAACGAAGCCTAGTCTCAATACACGATCGTTGCGAGGTCGGTTGATTACCGTCCGCGGAATCACCTCGATCTTGAAATGAACTTTTTTTAGCCGTGGCATGCCTATTTATTTTAGCTGTGTGGTCACAGCTCATGCAGGTAAGTGTACTATCACTAGTACAGTATCAGGTCCAGCGCGCCCTTTTTTCAGCATCACTGGTACGGCACCTGCGCGTGCATCACTAGCACTACGTGTAGAGTCTACACGGCTCTTGCGCTTGCAGGTACACAATCATGTACATGAGTGTCTCAGCCAGAGCGACAAATTTTATCGCTGTTGCAGGCATTTAGTTTGCTGACCCCTCGATGTTTCTCAAAGCGCTGCCACTTGTTCAACGAGGTCATTCTCACCCCAGCTAAGGTAAAACAGTGATGAGGCTTGAGTGAATGGCCATAAGCACGAGAAATGTGCAGGCTGCAACGCCTGACTGATCTCAGCGAGTCGAAATTACCATCGCAGCGACATCAGCGAAGAAATTGCGTCTAGTTCAAAAATTCCAGCTTCCAATAACAGAAAATAGAACTTTGCCGTCACCCTATACTGATGACTATCGCCTATGTCCGATTCCTTGCCTCTGGTACGAGTGCTTGTGAGTAAATACCCCGTTTTATATCAAAAGTCAAACTGCGACAATTTCGATGACGCGGAGGAAGTACAAGGTTATACAAGGTTGTATAGTTCAGTAGCTCAGTGGCGTCGGACACAGTCGGTCACTACGGTATTGATCGTACCACTCTTTGCCCCAGGTACACTGTGAATAAATAACATGCACTGATCTGGGCTCTAAATTTCCAAAAATGTCAGCTCAGCCACCCCGGCTCCTCCATGAGTAACTTGTACTGCAGATGGCTGACCGTACCACACTAGAATACCTTCCGATGCTCCTGTAGCTGGTGTTGATCGACTGGATGTAGCCAAAATGTACCTCCAATCCTGCCGCCATCCACAGACACACCAGCGGGTGGGAGAGCAGGTGTTGGGCTGGGGAAAAAGAGGCTGATCTAGACTGGCACCAAGGCTACAGCACCTCCACCACTGTTCATCGCTTACCGCCATAACATGTAACAACACAGTCTTACAGATTGTCCGACTTACCCCCCCCCCCCCCCCCCCCAGTTCAAGTCGAAGATACAGTGGCAGGAAAATGCAAGGTCACGTGTCAAGCAATCAAATTTACTCCAGTTCATCATCTTCTCTTTTACAATCTAAATACCACCTATATCTGTAATGAAAATCTTATGTTGTGCTAGCTTCAGCTTCACTCTGATATGCATACTTACATTCGAGAGTTTGTGTTTCCTTGCACCTGTCACAGGAGGCAGGCAATGTGGCAAACGAGCCTGCCCCACTGCAGAGGGAGCCTGCGCAGCAAACTGTCCAGTTGGCACAGCCCGGGCTTCTAGCCAGTCAGCGGAAGGCTCAGCAGGCACAGGCGTCACCCAAAGTGGCCCCGTCCCGCGTCGGCCCTAACAAACTGGGTCCAGCGGCAGCCCGTGCAATGATTGAGAAGAATGCAGGTTAGTCTTACGGATAGTTTGTACGGTTCTGGGCAGAGAAATCCAACCTCATGGATACACGCTCAAATGAGCGGAGGCTGAGTGGTGTTTTTGGTGCCTCTATATGACTTGTTCACGCAATACACCTTGGGTATTTACAAGATGGGCGATGGCTTGTGTTATGCTTTCTGCAGCGTTGGTTCTAAGCAGTGAAGATCTGCTCACGCTCAACTACTACCTGGATCAGTACGTCGAGCGTAATCTCAGCATCAAGCAAATGGTCATGGCTCTCAGCACATTGCTTGATACCAGAGAAAAGGTATATTCATGCGGGGGATTTTCACTGCAACTGAACTGGTCTTCGTATTGATGTTCGGCTTTGGGCCACTGGTGATGCATGTGATCGATTTTTCTCCAGCCACTTCTGTTCTGAACTTGGTGTAGCTGATGTACAAAGGTACCACTGCTCAGCATGCCTGTGTACATGTTGGTCCATGCAACATTCAGATGTGTGCAATGCAGCGTGGAAACAATCAGCGCCACAGCCCGATTCACCTTAAAATACGATCCGTGTGTGTATGTGTGTGTGTGTGTGTGTGTGTGTGTGTGTGTTCGTGCGCACGCTTTGTGGTATGTTCGTGCAGAAGCATCTCCTGCAACAGATCCGAGCGGTGGTCGGGCAGCGTGACACCGATCGCTACGAGGAGTTGATCTTGCCATATTTGGAAGAAATAAAAGAGGTACGCGTGCATCAGCGCAACAGTCTTTAATTAGGAGGGTGGTGGTGGTGGGGGGGGGGGGGGGATGAAAGTGATCTATTCGATGGACACCATGCATGATGTCATGGTGATGTCACCCCTACACATTTTCTGGACAAGAAAATCCCGGGTGCTCTGCAGATCTAAGATCAGAGCCAGTGAGACACCCATGTTGTCCTACACGTTTGCACATGCCTCCTTGCACACACTTCACCCGATGATTCTGCGACACCCATTCTACTAGCACTACTGTGGCTCCTGTCATGACTAGACTGAGCTGTTCAAAGTGCCCAATGATGCTGGGTGGAGTTGTCATGGACCAATGTCATGCAACACATGTGAGATACCGGTACAGAACCACGAGGACAATCAAGGCTTGTTTGCTGCTACTTCAAGTTTCATGCTCTCGCAATCATCAGGCAACATGAGGATGGGGTGCCGACCATGCCGGTATATATATATGCCATGAGAGGGTGGGTCTTATAGCGCTGTATGACAAGCTGTGTGAGAATGCGGGGCTGTATAGGTTTCAGGGCTAGAGGTGGCCAGCGGTGTTATTTTAGGCAAGAGGCTGTGTGCAAAGTGCGTGGGTGTTGGATGTGGCTGTGAGATACCAGTATAAATTTCTAACAAAAACTCTGGAGGCGAGTGTTAGATTGTTCCGACTGTGACAGGACCGTGACCCATCAAACAAACTGAATCTTGCAGATTTTTGCTATGGTGGAACCTTTAATGTAATTGAAACCATTTCCCTTTAACAACTTCCAGGAGAGCAAACCGAAGTCGAAGCCGCCTCCGCCGAGCCGAAAGGATAGCCTGGTGGATTATGCGCCGTTCAATGCATCCTCGTTCGGTCACAATGCCTACGTGAGCGGATCGGAGAGTGAAGAGGAGCCCGGCGGTGGGGGTGACCGTCGATCTGACACTATGGACAGTATGATGGTGAACCCGGGCGGAATGAACACACCACGATCAAGCACCATGAATAGTGACGTGGTAAGTCCTTATTAGTGTGTGTGTGTGTGTGTGTGTGTGTGTGTGTGTGTGTGTGTGTGTGTGTGTGTGTGTGTGTGTGTGTGTGTGTGTGTGTGTGTGTGTTGATAATTTTCTAACTGTTAGCTGCTGTGCTTCTCTCCTTGTGCGGGTGCTGGTGTTGCTCAAGTACCGGGCAGGCTTAATGTGGGTATTGGTCGTGGTGCCATTGCTTGTTGTTCTTGGCTTCTGCTGTTACTGTGGGTGCTGGCATTGCTGCTAATGTCATTGGATTTGGTTGTGTAGAATTGTTTATGCTGCTTGTGGTCATATTTTTCTCTCCTTGGAGCATGTTTGCCTGGAGAGAATGGCAAGCTATAGGTCCTTGGCACCTCTCCCCTTGCTTTTCTAGCCAGCTTCTGAGCATGTGCCAGCAAACATGTTTGATTATCCACAATGATCTGGACGAACTGATCTGACAAAGAGCTCGCAAAAGATATTTGGTCCTTGTCATGCAGATAAGTTATGATTGAGGTTACTACCCTCTCTCTTTAGCAGCCACCGCCCTGTTCTTGTGTGTGTGTGTGTGTGTGTGTGTGTGTGTGTGTGTGTGTGTGTGTGTGTGTGTGTGTGTGTGTGTGTGTGTGTGTGTGTGTGTGTGTGTGTGTGTGTGTGTGTGTGTGTGTGTGTGTGTGTGTGTGTGTGTGTGTGTGTGTGTGTGTGTGTGTGTGTGTGTGTGTGTGTGTGTGTGTGTGTGTGTGTGTGTGTGTGTGTGTGTGTGTGTGTGTGTGTGTGTGTGTGTGTGTGTGTGTGTGTGTGTGTGTGTGTGTGTGTGTGTGTGTGTGTGTGTGTGTGTGTGTGTGTGTGTGTGTGTGTGTGTGTGTGTGTGTGTGTGTGTGTGTGTGTGTGTGTGTGTGTGTGTGTGTGTGTGTGTGTGTGTGTGTGTGTGTGTGTGTGTGTGTGTGTGTGTGTGTGTGTGTGTGTGTGTGTGTGTGTGTGTGTGTGTGTGTGTGTGTGTGTGTGTGTGTGTGTGTGTGTGTGTGTGTGTGTGTGTGTGTGTGTGTGTGTGTGTGTGTGTGTGTGTGTGTGTGTGTGTGTGTGTGTGTGTGTGTGTGTGTGTGTGTGTGTGTGTGTGTGTGTGTGTGTGTGTGTGTGTGTGTGTGTGTGTGTGTGTGTGTGTGTGTGTGTGTGTGTGTGTGTGTGTGTGTGTGTGTGTGTGTGTGTGTGTGTGTGTGTGTGTGTGTGTGTGTGTGTGTGTGTGTGTGTGTGTGTGTGTGTGTGTGTGTGTGTGTGTGTGTGTGTGTGTGTGTGTGTGTGTGTGTGTGTGTGTGTGTGTGTGTGTGTGTGTGTGTGTGTGTGTGTGTGTGTGTGTGTGTGTGTGTGTGTGTGTGTGTGTGTGTGTGTGTGTGTGTGTGTGTGTGTGTGTGTGTGTGTGTGTGTGTGTGTGTGTGTGTGTGTGTGTGTGTGTGTGTGTGTGTGTGTGTGTGTGTGTGTGTGTGTGTGTGTGTGTGTGTGTGTGTGTGTGTGTGTGTGTGTGTGTGTGTGTGTGTGTGTGTGTGTGTGTGTGTGTGTGTGTGTGTGTGTGTGTGTGTGTGTGTGTGTGTGTGTGTGTGTGTGTGTGTGTGTGTGTGTGTGTGTGTGTGTGTGTGTGTGTGTGTGTGTGTGTGTGTGTGTGTGTGTGTGTGTGTGTGTGTGTGTGTGTGTGTGTGTGTGTGTGTGTGTGTGTGTGTGTGTGTGTGTGTGTGTGTGTGTGTGTGTGTGTGTGTGTGTGTGTGTGTGTGTGTGTGTGTGTGTGTGTGTGTGTGTGTGTGTGTGTGTGTGTGTGTGTGTGTGTGTGTGTGTGTGTGTGTGTGTGTGTGTGTGTGTGTGTGTGTGTGTGTGTGTGTGTGTGTGTGTGTGTGTGTGTGTGTGTGTGTGTGTGTGTGTGTGTGTGTGTGTGTGTGTGTGTGTGTGTGTGTGTGTGTGTGTGTGTGTGTGTGTGTGTGTGTGTGTGTGTGTGTGTGTGTGTGTGTGTGTGTGTGTGTGTGTGTGTGTGGGTAGACATTCTCAACACCGGCAAGCAGCCTGCAACCGACGCAGGGAAGGAAGGCTCAAGAAGTCATGAAGGTAATGCCTGTGACCAGTTTCTCTCTTTTGTCTACGGTGACAGCAGGGGGCTGGTGCACAAGACATGAGTCACCCTACACGTAGCGCTCATATAGGAATGAAGACATTATCAAATACAGGCGATGGAGGTGACCATTACGATTTTCATTGGCCATTAACGCGGCACAATTTTTCATTTCCAACACACAGAGCAACCAGTCCATTGCAGTCTCCATCGACACAGTCAATGCAGTGCTGATGGTGGAAATACTTCTGCTGATCTTGTAGACTGATGAGGTGCATGCATGTTTCTTTTGAATCTGTGGATACCTAGACGCTGCAGGAGCGAGAGGAAACTGAGCCAAGTACAAGCAAAAAGGAGGACAGCACACCGCTGGGGGGGGGGGGGGGGGGGGGGGGGGGGGGGGGGGGGGTGGGGGGGGGGGGGGGGGGGGGGGGGGGGGTCAATGGAATGGGAGGAACTCAGGTATCTTCACTCAGTCTGTGTTTTATTTTTTTATTTTTTACAAAGACCACTTAAATGCCAAACATGAGATGCAGCTAGGGGAACCACGCACAACCTGAAGCGTGGCGGTGGTGGTGAGGTTTAGGGAGCTCCGCCGACCTAGGGTCTCGACTTCATGGCCACCTAGACGCACCTGTGTACTTGTGCTGCTCCACACTAGAGTGCATGATCACCATTCATCTTGTCTGTTTAGCCTACGGTGATAAACTCAAAGCATATATCTGCCAGTAGTGACTGGACTTGGCCATCCTCGTCGGAGATCCACTCTTGGCATTGACAATTCACGCCTACATGCAACAAAAGGGGTCCACCCACGACATACTGCACTTCGCTGTGGGCAGAGTGGATCCAATTTAACCCAGAGCCTTCGTCATTTGTCGTTATTTATTGACTTCAAGGCTCTTCCTTCGTCATGTCACATGTTGCATGGATGATTGACATTTTCAAGTGAAGTTGTCCAGGAAATTAACTATGCATGGGACTTAGGTCATGTGACATTGTCCAGTAACATGAGCTATGCATTAAGGTCATGTGACATTGTCCAGTAACATGGGCTATGCATTAAGGTCATGTGACATTGTCCAGTAACATGAGCTATGCATTAAGGTCATGTGACATTGTCCAGTAACATGAACTATGCATAAAGGTCATGTGACCATTGACCAAGGACCAACCTCTTGACACTATAACCCCTAGATATGCTGTCCGCAGATTGAGTAACCCCTAAATATATAACCTTACTTCGGTGCATGACTTTTGTTTGGTATTGTCTGGATTCCAGCTGAGGGTGTACGAAGAAGAGTTTGGCCACGAGAGCCCCATGCCGGACCGTAAGAAGATGCCGGCGAAGATCAGATCAGTGGACGACGGTGACGAGCCGACGACCATCCCGATCAGCCGTGGCATATCGGCTGACATCCTGGCCTCCGCCAAGCTGAAGCCAACCAGCGTTAACGAGGAACGGGTCTCGCCGGTGGCCGACATGGTGCCCAAGGAGAACCAAGCGGCCATGATGCTCGCCGAGACGCTGGTGTCCAGGAGGAATAAGATCAATCCTGGAAGCATGTAAGTCTGGAGTTGCTCCCTATTAGCATTACTTACATATGCTATGAAATTGAATTGAACAAAAAATTTTAAAAATAGGTTGGAAAGGTGCTTCTGTCTAAGCTTAGGTGTAAGCTAGTGCAGGACACCATTGATCATGAGGTGACGGTTCGTGGGGAATTCGCTGCTCTCAGTTATCTATGGCAGTCGTTAGAGACCTAGCGAGGTCGTTGGGAATGGGACATGTGTACATAGAGTGCATTGTATATTTAACCCGATGTATAGCTTTGTGCTGCATGGCTACTGCCTGGGGTGTGACCACAGCATTGGTGCATTGCAGCCAGTCTTCAGACTGGTCCATATGCCGTATTATCTCTAATATAAGCACGGCCCTTTATTTTTTCAATGTACCTCCGCCCCGTGCTATTAATGGAGACGTTCCTTTATTGGAGACTGTTCCATTATTATTTCAACCTCATTTCAGAGGCATGTTGCCATGCCAAATTCATGTCAGACACACACATTTCAGGGTTTTTTTGCCGGTACAGATAATGAATGTACACAGTGTGCTTATAATGGAGACTGAGAACGTTATTTTTTGAATACCGCCCCAAGGTGTTCTATTATTGGAGACGTGCTATTATTGGAGACTGTGCATATATTACAGATAATACGGTACCCACATTACTGTCCTCATTACACTGCCAGTCTTCCGACAGGCCTACACCCCAGGGGCGTAGCAGCCAGTCCGGCCGGATAACTTTTTTCCGCCCGATCGCCCGAAAGTGCCCAGAATGCAGGATTTTGCACCCTCATTTAAAAATTTTCACATAGAATACCCCTGGACCCCCCCCCCCCCAACCAGACCCCCTCCAACGGCGGGGCTACACGCCTGCACCCCACTACAGTACTCAGTACTGATCGGATTGGTCAGTTACAGTTACAGTGATTATGGTGAAGAAACCGGAAAAAGACAAAATGTTACGAGTTATGACAAACTGTCCACCAACGTAACCAGATCTTATACCGTCATCATAATATTATATTGGCTCACCATCCGAGTTCAGTTACAGTGATCATGACATTTTACTGCACGTACCCATTGTAGTGAATAGATCTCTCCTGCATGAACTCTACCTACTCCGGCCGTCCTCTCTTGATGTGTCGCTTGCGAGCCTCAAGTTATGAAGTTTTATTTTTTATTATTCATATTCATATTTCTCTAGGGCAGTCCCCACAGACCTATGGTCTCCTTACGGGGTACCCTAGTTTTACTCTCACTTACGCGGTTTTGTCTTTTCTCTTTGTGTTCTATGTATGCTGCCATGTACAGTCGACGGGTCGTTGTAAGGTAAGCAGCTCTGACCAGTCAGGGACAATTTAGCTAAAGCCTACCGTAATTCCGCGCATATAAGCCTATGGGCCTATATCCGGATATAAGCCCACCTCCGTTTATAAGCCCATGGGCTAATAAACAGACACAAATGCAACTCAAGTGTCAAGTAGAATTTTTCACAAAATGGACTCTTCCTACCATGGTACAGCAGGTCAGTGCAGTTTACCAGTAGAGTATGGTAGACTGACCATGAGCACGGACTTCTACTTTTTCATGAACCTTCAAAATTCGAATATTGGCCCATTGGCTAAAAAACGAACATGTTTTGATGATATTTTATCCCCAAACTGCATTGTTTCACATAAGCCCATGGGCTTATATGCGCGGAATTACGGTAACCTGGACAAGCTTGGGATGCGGGGAAGTAAAGCCTATGGAATTGAATCTGAGCCACCCTGCCACCATCTAAAATTTCAATTTGTTTCTTATCCCACACGACAAGGAGAGGAGGAAGTCCAATGAAACATAGCTTCATATTTCACATAATCCTGTCTCCTTGCTGGGTGACAAAGCCCTGGGGCATTGAACATTCTTCAAGCACCAGAGCACCCCACTGCATAATGCTCCTATTTTGGTTGAGTTGCACGGTGCAAGGACTGACATACCGTAGTCAACGTTGATGCAATGTATACTATGGTGCAGACACAGCAAAATATCATATTACAATACTGCTTCAAGAAGTACATATACATTCGTGACATATTTCAGATCATCAGCACAGAAGTTGCTGGTGACATCTCATATGCCATGCTTTAGTGCCATTACTGTAGAACGGGTCATTTCAGCGACGTAAAAACCCTAGCGAATTTAGCGATCGACTCATTTTCGCTAAAGTTTCAAGTCGCTAATCCGTTGAGACATTAGTAGTGCACTGGTGATCCGTGAGTAAAATCGCTGCAAATCGCTAAAATAAAACGTCGCTAACCGGATGGCAATGGGAAAACGCTAAAATTAATAGTCGCTGAAATTACCGGTTCTACAGTACTCTATACATGTATACATGTATAACTTAATGTGAGTACACTCATGATAATTATTATGAGCAGCAGAAAACAAGTCCCTCTATCCATCTCACATCACCAACATACTGGGCCAATTTTGAAGGGATATGGTCAGAATGGCCTCATCGAGTTTACCAGCGATGTCTGTACTACTTGTGCCAATTTGTCTTCCTTGAACTTAAATCTCTTTTCAACTGGTTTGGTGAATGCAATCGTTCTGCAGACATGGTATGCCACGCTCATTGTCCATGGAATCATCCACCAGCGTACAGCCGGATGGAGAGGGATCAGACGAAGACGACACAAACGATTCCCGTCAGAGACGAGGCTCTCGCACCTCGCAAAGTGGCCAGCGGAAGGTCTCAATGGAGGACAGCGTACCGCAGACCATTGTAGAGGAGGACGATTCGCCTCCGCATAGCCCCAAGGCAACTTCGAGAGTCTCAAATGTTTCTAATCCGGGTCGGGCATCGGTACGTCTCGTTCTCTAATCCTTTCGATCCTTCCCTGTACATTGACAATTATCCAAACCGTCCATATTCCATGATCAAGCTATCCCAGGGGTCTTACAGTTGGCTGTGTCTGATAGTCCTAGAATTTGATATTGGGTCGTCACGGAAGTTTTTTGTCTTCCCTGAAACGAACATCATTCAATTGGGGGGGGGGGGGGGGGGGGGGGCAAGCCAAAATCGCAAGTCAACCGACACTGGACATATGCATGTACATGTACTTGGTACCATGATCCATGCGATTTTCGTCGACCAGCATAGCAAGCTGCGTTCATTTCAGAGGGAGAGAAGGGGTCCGAGTACGCACATACCTCCTGTGCAACATGCAGGCTAGGCTACGCACCTGATCACTGTCAGCGTTGTTCTCTGTGTGTGGATGTGCCGGATCTGTGCAGCCAGTCGCCGAAGAAGCCAAGACAGCTGACCGGCGCCCACCTCCCTCACCAAGCACGGCTGTCAGGGCAATCATGAACTCCGCCTCGCGTCACCAGCATGTAAGGACCAGGGCTTACTGTGTTCGAAGGAACACTGACTTCTGTAGGCTTCATCGATGGATTCTGTATGGCATTTGTTGTGCATAAAATGCCAGCAGAGTTTCGTGAAAATCTTGATCGACTCCAGCATTGTCCAATCAACAACATTGAATGATTATTATCATTTCTAGTCACGCGGCTATGCACATATTGCTCCCGGGGGATATATTTGGGATTCACTTCTGCGTTTTCCAACGGTCTTCGTGCAGAACGGGGCACGGCACAAGCGAGGTCACACGCATGTACGGTATTCTCATAACTGTTAGGCGTAGAACTTTTCTTGAGACAGTGCTATGCTGAGCTGAGCTGAATTACAAGTCATTGATACCGGCTTCATGTGAAGCATCGGGGGGGGGGGGGGGGGGGGGGGATATTCAGTTGCATGCTAAAGTGATGTGTGATCTTGCCCTGCATTCTACTGTCTTTGGATAGATACAAGCTTCACCCAAGATGCCGAGGAGGGTGGATGTCGGGTCTTCCTCGCCTAAGCTAAACCCAGTGCAGAAACCGCAGACGCTCGCGCCGTCACCGGTGCCACTGCCGAGGTCTGCATCGCGTCAGAGTAGCCTGAATGTGGAGGCATCATCACCAACAGGCAGTCCAAAGGTGGGCGAGAGAAGCCCGAGCCCCAAGCCCCGTGCCTCGCTGCTAATCGAGGACAGTGAGAAGAGGCGAGATTCACTCGACGACTCCCTGGATGAGGTTGCGCATGCGCCGCCCAGCAAGTTTGCTGACGATCCAGCCGACAAGGACGAGCAAGAAGGGTTGAAGGTGGAATTGCCTTCCACGCCCCCAGTGTTCACGCCTCCACAATCTCCCGCACAACAGCAATCGCACAGAGAGATGGACCAAGGCCCGACACCCCAGGAGCATGGCACACAACCAACCAACGATCAGCATCAAGATGAATCGGAAAGCGAAGAGGAAGAGAAGCCCGGATTGCCGGAAGCAGACAACAAAGACGACCACACCACACAAGCCGTCGATGTCCAGCACTTGGAAACGGATGCAGGTGACCTGTATGCACTCCCGGATAGGTCGCAAGTGTCGGCCGAGACTACACTACGCGACGCTGCGCCACGTCGCAACGGGCTGGAGCAGAACGTTGCCATGGTACCGCCTAGTACACGTCCGGGTAAAACCTATGCTGGTTACACGGGCCTGTTTGGTGACATCAAGACCATTCTGGTGGAGAAGAACGGACTCAAGCTGGGCATTGCTGTCACTGGCGGCGCCAACACCAAACAGAGAGCTGTGCGCATTAAGGAAATTGTGGTAAGTCTCTCAGATGTTCAAACCAATGTGAGACAATTGCGCAGTCTCTCCGGAGGCGTGGGTTCGAATCCCACCGCTGCCACCAATGTAGTAGCTGGCCCTCGGAGACAATTTCACACACTCAAACAAAGCACTCAATTTGTGGTTTCACGAATACTCGTTAGGACAGAATTATTAGTTACACACTCGGCAAGTAAAGATAAGAAGTGAAAAGAGCACAAGAAAAGAACAATGCAAGAAGACAAAAAACGCGGCGAACGGCAGCCATGTTTTTAGGTCATCAACCAATCAGTAATTTATATAAACCGGTTGCCGACGAAATTCTAGAATATTCCAGAGCTGTGAACTGTGATTGGTTAATTATGCTAATATTCTAGAACAATAACACTAGCAGCAGTCATACGGGTAAATACGGGTTTAGCCATACACGACTCATACATTACTCATGAGCGACTCACGGAAAGGGTAATAACATGCAGATATAAAATACGCAAGGAGAGAAAAAATGTAACTAACTGCCCATCTTGGGGTTTGAACCTAGGAATCTGTATCAACACAAGCTCTACAAATAAATACTCTTTTACTGCGAAAAATATACTTTCTATTAATATGCAACTCCTACACATCTTGTTTCGTAGCCTTTGGCCTACATGTAGGGTAAACTGAGCTGCGTGTGAGAGTGTCAACCATCCCCATTGCTCATGGATAGTTGTTTGAGCTATGTGCCAACCCAGCATGGCAGCATATGTGTGTGTGTGTGTGTGTGTGTGTGTGTGTGTGTGTGTGTGTGTGTGTGTGTGTGTGTGTGTGTGTGTGTGTGTGTGTGTGTGTGTCATGCACATGCACTAACAATGCCTGTCCTGTGTTCAATGCGTGCCGACTGCAGCCTGGCGGAGCGGCAGCCAAGTGCCAGGCCCTGCGCCCACTGATGCAGATCCTGTCGGTGGACGGGCAGTCCCTGAAGGGACTTCCCCATCAACAGGCCGTGATGATGGTCAAGCATTGCTATGACTCATCAAAGCTACGTCTGGAACTCGGCATTCATATTGATCAGGATGTGGAGGGTGCTCCCTTCGAGTAAGCAGTTTGTTACTTACCAATGCCGCCACATAGTTCCTGCACTTGGAAACGGCCATGTGGCGTGTATGTGTGTGTGTGTGTGTGTGTGTGTGTGTGTGTGCGTGCATGTGTGGGTGTGTGTGTGTGTGTGTGTGTGCGTGCGTGCATGTGTGGGTGTGTGTGTGCAATTGTCAGGTAGCGCTGAGTCTGCGTACCGCTTACTCTTCCCCGCCCTTGCATCTTCTGTCACTTGCCTCCGCGCAAATAGGAACGACAGCATGCGTGCAATGATTTGAGATCTGTGCAGTACGAGTACACTGTTTCCTGTGTCTTTGACTCCTAATAGTAATACCATGCCCGTGCCGGTGCCGCCGGCATGGATCACACACACTGTACTGAACGTTAGTGGGCTGTTAGTTGCTGGACTGAGCTGATAAATCATGGTCAGTGTATATTGCTAGTGCACTGACTGCTGACAGGGTATTCAATGTATTGGCAGTCAATTTGCTTCCGCTAGATCACTTTCCGTATTTCTTTTCCGGTCGGACTGCTGGCTGTTCCGGGCTTGCAGCGTTGCTGCCATATTTTTGAGTTCTAGTCGATTTTGCCATGCACGCATCCGGGCCATCAGCCATGCCAGTGGGGCAGCTTACCCACTCTCTGGGAGCTGCATGTCCTTGCGTATCTTTCGACCGCGGCCGCTTACACGTGGCTGGGGCTTTGTCGCACGTATTTTGTAACTTCTGTTTGTTTGCTCCTGCACAATCCCTCACTCAGTGTACATAGTGGCGATACACAGCGGCGACAATAAAATTATTTTAATCACATCCGTGTGTTTGATTGTTTTAAAAGTTTTCAGTACATTGAACCTGGGAGTCATAAACTGAGCCACCTTTTACGGCTCCCTGCACTGAACGGTAGACCGTCATGGATAGTTGTGGGCATGCATGTAGATCTACACCTGGTCACCATGGTCACCATGGTCACCATGGTGACCATGAAGGATATACTAGTGTACATAATCATTGTTGACCAGTGCCAGGCAGGCCGGCTGCAGCCTGGCAGGGGTTAGGTTACTGCTGGACTGCATGGCCATAATGGCATGCGTTGTATGCACAATGGGTGGTGTGGTGTAGCACAAGACTTACAAAGTTACGCCCACTAACTGTTACTTACCCTACTAAAGAAGTAGGAAGCTGTAGATCTGCATGGCACTGTAGACCATGGACGTACCATGGTAGACCTGCTACCAGGAAGTCATACCTGGTTTGGGTAACGACTCCCTGCCTGAGGCTGAGTGCTGGCGACTGACTGCGACTCCTGCTGCCTGCGGATAGGATCTGTGGTCGTGAGTCGTGTAAGATCTACTGACTCAAACTGCCTGCATGCACAGATTGACAGAAAGAAGTAGTTGTGCTAGCGCAACACCACTGGACATGCTAAGCAGCTAGCTGTCCGGAAACTAATATGGAGTTACATTCCCTTGCCTCGGCTTGGTTGAGCGCTCTTTCCGGTTATTGTCCTATATGTCCTAGTACATAACTACTTACTATACTAGTAGTAGTTATCTGCCCCAGTACCTTCATGCTTTCTGACGTTTGTCGCTCATTAGGCTTCGATCGGCTCGGCCTGGAGCTAGCTCTGAGCTCCGCTATCGAAATCTAACAAGATGGAAACAGCTAGCTGTCTAGAGATTGTCTGATTGAGCACAGTCAACTTCGCTTATAACGACATTCGGCGGGCATCAAAAAAGTGTCCTTATTTATTCGCGAAGTGTCGTTATACCCGAAGTCTCATTATGTATTACAGTTGGAAGGGACTTTGCTCTGAGCATGGAAATGCTGTCGTTATTCGCGAATTGTCGTTATATCCGCAGTCGTTATTAGCGAAGTTGACTGTAGACTCCAAGTACATGACTGTACTAGTACTTAGTAGTAGATTTTACTCTTGTGTTTGTGGGAAGTCCATGACCACCCACCACGCCCTCACGTGCCCGACCGGCGGCTATCCGTCGGCTCCCCACAACGAGCTTCGGGCCGGACCTCCTGGCGGGCGAACTGCAGGAGGTACTGCCCGATGTGGAGATTGAGCCACGTTTGCTACCACTACACGGTGAGGACATCTCTGCCGTCTCCGCTAATCGTCAGACAGAGGCACGCCTAGCTCCTGGACATACGGGCTAGGGGTTTCTGGTCGCGGCAGCAGGACGCCGTTTTTGATGTAAAATGCTTGGGCCGTCCTTGCTGTCTCGTCCGGAAATCCTTAGCCACTTGAGAACACATGAGAGATTGAAGAAGAAGGCTTATGGTGCCAGAGTCAACCAGGTGGAGAGAGCATCATTCACCCCACTGGCACTGGTGTTTTCGACCTCGGCGGGTGTGGGGGGCTAGGAAACTACATTGTACTATATTTCTGAAGTCGCTAGCTGCTCTCGTTGTAGACAAAAACAAAGACTTGGTATACTAATATCTGGTATGTTGTGAGTTACGCACCCGGGTTTCATTTTGCCTGCTGCGATGGGCAGTCACGTGCTTTAGGGGCTGCAGGGCCTCCTACTTGTAGATCTACAGAATATTCGCCGCAAGGTCGGGAGCCCCTGCCTTTGCAGCTTATTGCCGCCGGCTCTGCTGAGTGCTGACACGGGCAGAGGCGTGACCGTTCGCCTATGCATGCCGGTAGGCATTCTTATTAGGTACCGTATTTTCCGGAGTATAGTGCGCACTTTAGAATTAGATGTGCTATTTTAGGCCCTAAATCGCAGGTGCGCACTATGCTCCGAATATGAACTGGATGTACTTCAATGAAGATTGAAGTGCGCACCCCCAATGAAGATCGGGGGTACCGGGTGCGCGTTATGCAATCATGTTATACCAGGGAGTTGTAAAATACCGGGTATTTTACGACTCCCTGTGTTATACAAAGGTGCGCACTATTCTCCGGAAAATACGGTAACGATTTCTTGTGAAGCTTTTGCGTTCAATTTGAGTGTTTTATTTATTTCCGAACTTTACTTGGGTTGTCTTTTTGCTTTGACTCTTACTTCATGGTGTTGTGAATAAAACCGTTCTCAAGTAGATTCTACTCTGAATCTGATACCCGGTTTCCAACGTCAACGATCACTGCATGCGAGCTACACAGTAATGTCACTTGTCGGTGGCAGGGGGTCTATACCAGGGAGTAGTAAAATATTTTACTACTCCCTGGTCTATACCGTATACCTGGTATACGACTCCCTGGTCAGTGGTAATTTTACAGTACACGTGACGGTACAGCCTACGGCCGGCCGCGGCTAGCTAGCTGCAGGAAACATAACAAAAAACAGACTGGGCAGCGTTTCGGACTCTGTTCACCTATCGCCATGGTCATTGGCGCGTGACACAAAATGTCACTCCTTCGAAACGAACTCGGAGCAACCGTTAGTAATAGTACTTTAGTAGTGTTACACTCAGTTTCAAACAACAACAGCAGCTAAAAAAAACAAGCCTCAGTCTTTCCTCTTTTCGATCTTCGGCACTACGCTGCCAGGAACTGCATTGTACACTGTAGCCGCGTAGGCCTCGCCTCAAATAACAGTTGCTTTGTAGTAAGTAGTTCGTGAGCTGATGATCGGTGAGCAAATGAACACGTGCTCTCCGATCCGCTCAAACAGGACTAGGTGCAGGTGCCGCGGGTAGGGTATGCGCAAGGTCAGACTCCCTCCTACTACTAGTACTAGTACGCAGGCGCTAGGAGCCCTCGGCTTTGCGGCGTTTCCCCAATTAGTAGCTGCAGAGCGCGAAGCTTTCGAAGCAGCGCATTTATCATCATGGCCTCAACCAGCCATGTGGAAGAAAGCAGGGTGAGTTGATTATTATTATAGTCGCTATGATACAATCAATTCATGTAATTATCCGATGTACATGATTGTTATGATTGTAGTGACTAGTGGCGTTGATTCAATCATTATGAATACTAGTAGGTTTCCCGTTGGGGAGATCCACAAGAGTAGCACGTGGCTTGTCTAGCAGCTACAAGAACCCTACAATAACTGGCTGATAATAATAATTATACTTCACCTGAAACAGACATAATAATACAATGCATTGAACTCGGATGATCGATGGTGAGCCAATAAAGTACTCAATACCGGTACATGTAAATAATTAATTCACTTTTACTTTTCCTAACCTGCGCCGTTTTAGTTGAGTGGTTGTTGCAATGTTGGTTTGCGCTTCGTAGATGTGTTGGAGCTAGGTTGTTGAATGACTTATGTCTCAGACAAGACTCAAGCGTAGATTCTACCACTGACAGACGGTTTTGTGCCTTGTTGTCTCACTCTCTGACTGTCTATCATCTGGTTGACCGTTAGTCGTGACTCGCAACATTTTGTGACTTTTTGTCCCTCCTCAGTCTTATCCGATATACATAGGTACAGAGTACGCGTTGTCAGAGTGTGAGGATCTGCTTCCGTCTGTGTGAGAGTGACTGTCAAGTGAATGCTGTACATGCGCAGTGCTAGTTTGGTCTGGGAATGAGAGTCATGTGTGATTCGTCCGTGGTCTGGTTGTCTTGGTCTTGGTCATGTGTTCTGTACGTATTAGTCCCTGATTGGTCGTCCCAATTTGTCGTCGCAATATTGCTGCTTGTTCTTGGTTGTTTCTTCGTGTCTTTTCCGCTGTCTTTTTCTCGAGTCTTGTTTTTGTCTCTCTCCTCCTTCGCCCTCGTCATTTGTTGGTATAATATACAATCAAGAGTTTGCAGTAATATTGCGCCAGGGGGAGAACACTATTTCACATAGGTACATCACAAGCTTAGCATGCGGACTGCCAAAAGTAGTGTACACACCTCCTTGTACTAGCCACCTTTTCATTATCGAAGTGTGTGTGTGTGGGGGGGGGGGGGGGGGGGGGATGACTCACATTATGCATGAATAATTCAAGTAAGCTAGTGTAGTATCCCTGACTGTCAGTGATCACACAGCCAAGTCTCTACCAGTAGTTACAGGAACATTCTAGCTAAGTGCTTCTCACGCGCAACCACTTAGGACTAGATAGCCCTGCTTGCAAGACCGGTAGGGCCGCATGACCTATTGCGCTCATGCTGTACTAATACATTACATTGATTCCTGTATAGTCTGTTCCCCATCACTGACCCTCTTGATCCCTTGCGAGATTCTAGGCATCCAACAGCTTTCTTCCCCGAATCCATGTTATTGTTCAGCCCTAGCTCACACACATTCAAATGGCTTTTCCTTAGAACTTTCAACAGTTGTCTTCCTAGTAATCTTTTGCCCTCACTCCCAGCTGCTCTCTCTCTCTCTGGCCTATATAAACCCACTAGCAGCACCCCCGCCAGCGTTGCCTGGCCGAATGTGGCATGCGCGGGTGAAGCAAGTACATGAACAGCACACGTGCTCAGCACGTGGTGGTGGCCAGACCTAGACCGCTGAAGTCCTGGTGAGGGAGGTTCTTCATCGTTGGAAGGAGAAGGAGGGACGTCTGTTACGCCTTCGGGAGGCTGGTCAGGGTTGTCCATCACCTGGTGGCGGATGAAGCGGCTCAAAAAGTTCAAAAACTTACGAACAAAAGTGCGATGCGCTCTTCACTGCAGATCAGATGCAGAGTGCAGTCAGTGCAGATCTTTTGTATCCTTTTGTTGGAGATGTTTCTATTTGCAGAGAACGGTTCACGTGGTCCGCAGCGCTTGTGCGGCTGCTAGTGCTACCTATGGCCTATAGGCTAGGTGGCTACATTCGCGTGCTCAGTGCTTCTGCGCGCGGCTGCTACTGCTACTCGTACTGATCGTGTCTGCTATAGTATAAGTATAAGCGCTACCACCGTAGAAATAAAAAATCCGAAGGAAATACGACAATTTTACTGCGTCTGTAGCTTGTGTTGTAGCGCACCCATGTTCTGAATTCCTGCTGGGTGGGTCAAACCAGACTCTCTTCCCTGTTCCATCGCCTCTCCAAAAGTATATTCTGACATTGTTGAGATTTACAGATGAGAAATTGCACACCTGTCAAATCGTTTCTGATTCGAGCACCCGGGTCTACGTACCTACACTGTTCGCACGCTTCGCGTGCTCAGCACGTGGTGGTGGCTACACGATTCGAACGCTTCGCGTGCTCAGTGCTGTGGCTGCTTCCGCTAGCTACACGATTCGCACCCTTCGCGTGCTCAGTGCTTCTGCGGCCGCTAGCTACACTGTGCTACACTGTTCGCACGCTTCGCTTGCTCAGGGCAGCGCTGCTCCGCAGCGCTTCAGCGTGACACAAAAACACACGTCACAGGTGCCTCTTCTTTATAAGGAGCGTGACACACACACAGACACACGTCACAGGTGCCTCTCTTTTATAAGTAAAGATCATTCTTTCTCATTGCTGTGTGGAATTGATTTCGAGAGAAAAGAGTTGTGAAGCCTCCGAGCTTGCAAGTTCCTCCGGCTAGTGCTGTCAGCCTGTTACACTTTCTGGTATAAGTCCAAAGTGCTTCAGACACGAACAGGTTGGCAGACACTACACTAGCACTGGCCAGCTCTTGGTAAGTCTGTCAGACCTACGCTACAGCGCATACCAGCAAACGCCCGACTCAAGAAACAACACCTCTTAGCAGCACTTCACCGCGGCTTACTCTTACCCAGTCACTGTGGACAGTGTAGTGCATAGTGCAGTCGGGTAGCAGGTGACATCTGACCTTGTCATGGATACCGTACCGTACCGGTACACTCGTGATCATGATCTCTCTTATCCGGACCTCAAAGTTACGGGCACCCGTCAGTCAACCGGGTGCCCTGTGGGCGAGGGTTTTGTGGAAATATGACAGAATGTAATATTACTACTCTCAACAATTTTTTCTCAAAATGCGAAGACTCCTCCACTGTAGCCGTCCACTTTATCCATACATCATCACGACACTCACCACACCGTCTCTGGGCTACACCAATCAATCACTAAGAGAAAAAGAGAGATATTTTAAAAATCCAAAAAGAGTACCAAAAGTTTACAAGTTATCCGTTTTGTCCAACACTGATTTTAAAAATCATTCAAATTTTCGGGCCTCACCAAAAAAAGAGGAGCATTGACGTCATATGCCAGATCTTTGGCTTCCCCATTAACTTTTAAAACGTACTTGATTCTGAGTGACCGTTTACCACTGACCCAGACTTGCGGGACATTTCAAAGTTATTTGGCCCGTGCCCAGTCCTGGTCCCCCCCCCCCCCGGATAAGAGAGGTATGAGTGTATAAATACCATCCGGGGGGGGGGGGGGGGGGGGGTAGTAAATTTAGTAGTATTACATGAACAACATGTTTTGGATTAATTTGTAGCAAAGAAAAAGACCGAGCAACTACACACGTTACGCTATAATGACGAATGTCCACTACATGTACCAGTTACTGTACTAGACAATCAGCTCCTGCGATAGCATTGCACGACACTGACGGTACTAACGTTCTACAATTAACTGGCTATCAGCTCTAGAATGTCTTGCAGGGATGTGCACTCTTACATCTAACATGTAGCCGGGGACTGCTGCTGCATCTGAATAAAACCATTTTAAATTGTGAAAAGAAGAAGGACAAAATGTTACGAGTTATGACTAACTGTCCACCAACGTCACCAGCGAGTGCGACAAATGGCACAAAACTGACAAGGAGTACTGAGACATCCGGCGACCTGTTGGTGGACAGTTAGTCATAACTCGTAACATTTTGTCCTTCTTCTTTTCACAATTACTTAATTGGCTCACCATCCGAGTTCCATTTTAAATTCCTTTTTTTTAGAATCACAATGAAATACTTTTTTTCTTGGTTTGCAGATGTCTCCTCGCTACCTTCACAGCAACTCCACAAGCCACGTCGGCCCGTTCAGTGCAATCGCTGAGTTGATAGGTTAGAAGAGGAATTGCATAGCATGCATCAGGATGTCTTGGTGTCTGCCTGTCTGTGCATTTGTTTGTCTGTTTGTCAACTTCGCTAGTAACGTGACGACTGTAGATATAATGGCAATTCGTGAATAATGACAGAATATCCGTGCCCAGAGCAAAGTCCCATCTAACTGTAATACATAATGAGACTTCGGGTATAACGACACTTCGCAAAAAAGGACACTTTTCTGATGCCCCGCCGAGTGTCGTTATACGCAAAGTTGACTGTAGCTCGTGCACATGTTTGTAGCGCACCTCTTCCCCTCATTGGAACTCTCCGCACCTGAGCCTTCCCAGTTGGAAGGTTGTTGGTTTGCGCTTCGTAAATGTGTTGGAGCTAGGTGTCAGGTCGTCGAATGTCTCAATATCCTTGTCAGTGTTGTGCCTTGTTGCCGCACTACTGGCTGTATATTATCTTGTTGCCTTGGTTACCTTGGTGGACTGTTAGTCATAACTCGTAACTTATAGGTTCTTTTCTCTTTAGTAGTCTTTACAATCATACTAATAGAATAATCTTTTCTTTGTTACTGTGTGTGTGTGTGTGTGTGTGTGTGTGTGTGTGTGTGTGTGTGTGCGTGTGTGCGCGTGTGCGTGTGTGTGCTGCTGCTAGACAATGCCTACGATCCGGATTGCCGGGCCAAAGATTTTCACATTGACCTCGAGAAGATCAACAATCACCGGTGTCTAATATTCACAGACAATGGTAGTGGTGTGGATTACTCAACCATGGTGCGCATGATGAGGTTGGTAGCACCAGCACAAAAAAAACATTCATGAAAAATCCTACCCAATGCTGTAGACAGCAAGCTGTTTCGGCCATAAAGGCCTCATCAGTAAAGCTACGAGCTAAATAGGCTGAGCTACCAGCCATGGTATAAATCCTATCTTGCTGACCCACGGCCAACATGACCAATGATTCCCGTGTTTAGAGATAGTTTGCATACTATCTCGGTGATTTTCCGGCGCTAGATGCTGTTACTGCTTTTTTTAAAGTGAACATCTGTGAGACCAGATTGAGCCTCCGTGAGTTTGACATAGATGAACGAAGACAGAAGAATGATTCACACACAGGTTTGAGGGATTCAAAAGGGAAAAAGTGTGAAGAAACAATTGACTGTCATCACCAGGACTCGGACGAGGTACCGGGGCCTTCACTCTAGGTCAGCCATGCTCTCTAAGCACTGAGCTATGGTGTAGCTGCTGCCATCCAAGCAGTGATCATTCAAAATTCAGGCTTTCAAACCAAAGCTTCCTGCTAATGCACAGGGTAGAATACAGTAGTGATTAACGAAGGCAGGAGGATGAAGAAGTCATGTATCAAGGTGGGAGAATGGTGTTGGTGTTGGACTATAATCATTTGGCTATTCCAAGGGGCTGTGGTGCAGACAAGACACGTCCCCTTGAAAACATTACATGAGGTGTGTGTGTGTGTGTGTTTCTGTGTGTGTGTATGTGTGTGTGTGTGTGTATTGCTGTGTGTGTGTGTGTGTGTGTGTGTGTGTGTGTGTGTGCGTGCACGCGTGTGTGTTGGTATATGCATGTGTGTGTGTGCTTTGTTTTTCTGTCTTTGCAGCTTTGGATTCTGTGAAAAGGTGAGATCATGTGCATCCAAATTGACATTAATACATGTGTATGCAGCATGCGCGCGTGGCTGGGCAATCAAGACTATGTCAGCAACAATCTATCTAGTCCTATGTCGGGCTTGCAGATTTGGCATGCTTCATTTCACCAGGAACTAATTAAACAAACTCACTCATCTTGGGCACCCTGTAAGATCTGTTGGGAATGCCCAAGTAAAATAATAAAATACAATACAATACAAAAAAATTAACGAGATGTGAATTTCAAATCTAAAAAAGGCGTGTATGTGTGTGTGTGCTTGTGTGTGTGTGTGTGTGTGTGTGTGTGTGCACGCACGCGTGTTGCGACAGGCAGCGGTCGGCGATCACAAGCCAGTGGGTCACTACGGCAACGGCTTCAAGTCTGGCAGCATGCGGCTGGGCAGGGATGCACTGGTGCTGTCACGCTGTGGCGACGTGGAGACAGTCGGCCTGCTCAGCCAAACCTATCTGGAGAAGGTCGAGGCCAAGTCCATTCGTGTGCCAATGTTCAGCTGGAGCCTACCTGATCGGCAGATCATGCGTATCCTCTCTCACCGGAAACACTCAAGAGGTTCTTTTTAGAGTTACAGTACATGCTGTGCACTGGTCTGTGTTTGAAATGGTCATGGCCCGGGGCCAGCCTGCAGCGCAGTTTACATGTACGCGGGACCTGGACCCACGTTAGCGCTGCACATGTGCCTCATGGCCGGGCGTGTAGCACATGTAGTTCACAACTTTCATTGGAAAAACCCCAATACCCAATGCTGTAGACAGTGAGTTGTTTCGGCCATCCACGCCTCATCAGTACAGCTACGAGCTTTACGTAAGCTGAACTACCGGCCATGGTGCAAAGGTGGCGCCACAGACAATAAGAGTTCTCCAACTATGAAAAGTAGCGAGCGGTGCACAATGCAGCAGCACTAAAGGCTAAAGCAGCTTACCGAGAGTGCTCAACAAGACGAATGTAGAGGAGAGTATTATCGAATGCTGAATTTGTTTTACTTTACTGCACTTTTTAAAATATTGCTGTGCAAGTTCTCATTGATCACGTTGGTTCTATCATCACCTGTGCACATTTGCATTCCTTGACGCTTGTGCCCATTCAGCCATGGGTTCAGCTGGTGTGGATGACGCAATGTACAACGCTCCCGCCGCTAATACCGCGCTACCTATCATTTTAGAAAATTCTCCTCTTCGAAAACGGGAGGAGATCGTAGAACAGATGAACATCATTGCTGAAAAGTCAGGTAGAGTTCCACGTACATGCACACTATGTTGATGATGTCTTGTTTAAAGGGGAAGTTAAGGCAAAAATCAAAATTTCACCAGTTGTAGTCTTCGGGGTGCTGAGTCGAATGATCTTGGTCCGAGAAAGCTGAGACGCTCCCTTTCTACTTGAATCCCAATCGAACTCGCGCACTTCCACCGAAACTGGGTGACTGCGCCCTACTAGATGGGGATTTGTATGCAAAATGTCACTAAAAGCGCCATTTCGTTCTTATAAAAGCACGGATGACCGCGATTGGCCCATATGTTGTAGTCTTTTGGACGCTGAGTCGACTGGTTTTGGTCTGAAAAGGCTGCGATGCAGCGTTCCTCCTTTATTCCCAATCGAACATGGTTGAACAAGCGGTCACGTGCTCCTGGGTGCCCAAATCACCTGGTCACCACGCCAGCAGGCGACAACTTTCACACCAAGGTTCAACTCGAGTGACAGGACTGCACCCAAAAAAGGTCAAACAGGCTAGTAAGTTGTACCCTGCAGGCACGGTGACCAGGTGACTGGTGTACGCAGGAGCACGTGACCGCTTGTTCAAGCATGTTCGATTGGGAATAAAGGAGGAACGCTGCATCGCAGCCTTTTCGGACCAAAACCAATCGACCCAGCGTCCAAAAGACTACAACATATGGGCCAATCGCGGTCATCCGTGCTTTTATAAGAACGAAATGGCGCTTTTAGTGACATTTTACATACAAATCCCCATCTAGTAGGGCGCAGTCATCCAGTTTCGGTGGAAGTGCGCGAGTTCGATTGGGATTCAAGTAGGAAGGGAGCGTCTCAGCTTTCTCGGACCAAGACCATTCGACTCAGCACCCCGAAGACTACAACTGGTGAAATTTTGATTTTTTTTCCCCTTTAAGAGTCCACAACAAATTGGGGATTGTCGGGTGGGGGGGGGGGGGGAGGGGGGGGGGGGCATATTAATTAACATCCGCGTGTGTGTGTGTGTGTATGTATGTGTGTGTTTTGTATGGAGAGAAGGGGATGGGGTATGTGTGTGTGTACTAGGGCTGAGTCGGGTAGCATTTTCTTCGGGTATCGGGTTCGGATAGTTTTCCACGGGTAGCACGGGTACCCGATCGGGTAATGTTTCCATGGTAACACCACAATGCACCCCTTCCCTTACACACTGGTTAGACATGCGGAGTATTACATGAATTTGTACACGTGATATCATCTGGGACTTTGGGTTTTCGGGGACAATTCTGTACCCGTCTACCCGAGGTCTTCAGGGGTAGCACGGGTACCCGACTACCCGTGCACACCACTAGTGTGTACGCATGTCTTATACCTGTCTACGTATGCCTGCATGTGCTTTCAGCTAACAGGAAAAGCAGAGAGAACGGCACCCGTATCATCATCTTCAATCTGCGCGTCGACGGGAACAATGAAATGGAGTTTGATGCCACCAGCGACCCACACGATCTACACGTTGCACGCCAGGTGACACAGGCGTACACGGATCGCCGAATGGTTCAAGCCAGGCAATCCGCGGGTCCCGATGAGCCTTCCAATATCATTCATACCTCTCTTCGCGTGAGTAGTGCTTCACACTGCAGACGAAATTGAACAGGATATCAGTGGTTGCTCGGAGGTTCATGCCAAAGGGCGGCCATCAGACAATAGTGCCCCCCCCCCCTCCCCCGTGTGTGTGTGGGGGGGGGGGGGGGGGTGCGTGTCATTGTTTTGGTGCGTCTGAAACAGTGCGCAAGGTGTCCAACCATCTCTCCTCTCTTCTCTCTCTCTCTCTCTTTCTCTCTGCCTCTCACTCTGTCTGCCTCTCTCTCTCTCTCTCTCTCTCACTCTCTCTCTCTCTCCCTCTTTCCCTCTCTCCCTCTCTCCCTCTCTCTCTTTCTCTCTCTCTCTCTCTCTCTCTCTCTCTCTCTCTCTCTCTCTCTCTCTCTCTGTCTCTCTCTCTCTCTCTCTCTCTCTCTCTCTCTCTCTCTCTCTCTCTCTCTCTCTCTCTCTCTCTCTCTCTCTCTCTCTCTCTCTCTCTCTCTCTCTCTCTCTCTCTCTCTCTCTCTCTCTCTCTCTCTCTCTCTCTCTCTCTCTCTCTCTCTGTCCGTCCGTCCGTCCGTCTGTCTATCTGTCCCTCACTCTCACTCTCTTGCCCACTTTCTTTCCTCTTATTCATTCCCGGCTTGGTACAGGCGTATTGTGAGGTGTTTGTACGGCAAACCACGCATGAGCATCCACATTCGTGGCAAGAAGGTGCAGACACGCTACCTGGAACGAATGCTAGATAGAGTGGAGTACGACAGCTACAGACCAGTAAGCTTAGAGAACGCCTCTCTCTCGCTCTCTGCTCTCTCTCTCTCTCTCTCTCTATCGCGAAACACCGTCCAGTTTGCTGGCACAGAATGAGCGCTGTTTGTTTGTCTCGTTTGTTGTTTATTTGTTCTTTGGTGGTGGTCTATGAGTGTATCGTTACTTGTACTTCGGGGAGGGCAGTGTGTGTGTGTGTGGGGGGGGGGGGGTCCACTTTAACTGTCCACTTCTCTAACTCGCGCATCCGTAGGGTTTGAAAGTGCTTCAGCACTGCCAGCCAAGAGTCATGGCAACGCTGACTTTTGGTTCCACTTAGATCCAGTTTGTGTACGCCGGGATCCATGCACGTTTTGGGTGGGTTTCCATCACAACAGGGTGACACATCCACTAACTGGACTAGGCCCACTCGGTCAGGGACCCACTCCTCGTACAGACAAATTTACAACTGTGTGCAACATTTGGGGCCTAAGCACCACATTCTGTACTTTGGTATCGCCAGAGTGGATCCAGAAGTCATTATAATTTTTGTCATGTTTTACTTATAGAAAAGAAAACGGATCAAGGAAGTACAAGTTACGCTATAATGTAGCTCCTTGGTCCTTTTTTCTTTTCTATAAATTTATCCTTGGCTCTCCATCCGAGTCCATATTTCTCTCTCTCTCTCTCTCCCCTCCCTCTCTTTCTCTCTCTCTCTCTCTCTCTCTCTCTCTCTCTCTCTCTCTCTCTCTCTCTCTCTCTCTCTCCCCCTCTCTCTCTCTCTCTCTCTCTCTCTCTCCCTCTCCCTCCCCCCCCTCTCTCTCTCTCTCTCTCTCTCTCTCTCTCTCTCTCTTTCTCTCTCTCTCTCTCTCTCTCTCTCTCTCTCTCTCTCTCTCTCTCTCTCTCTCTCTCTCTCTCTCCCCCTGACACCCTAGATGACGGTGATGAGGCAGGACATGGTGCGGATCGTGTTTGGCCTGGCAGAGAGCAAGGACAGTCCGTATGGCATGATGCTGTACCACAACAACCGCCTCATCAAGGGATATTATCACATGGGCCTACAAGCAAGGGTACGACTTGGTGCCATATTTTCCGGGATATAAGCTGTAATAGAGTATAAGTCGCAGCCCCCCCCCCCCCCAATTGTTATGCCACGAAATACAGACATCTATCCTATCTATCACCGTTAATTTGATCATCAGAGCAGCGCAGTTTTTTTTTGGGTGAATTTTGAGTGTTCCAAGTATGGCGTATACTCCGGAGAAATACGGTACTCTCAGTGCATAAGAACACTAGTACATTTTAGTTGCAGAACTCTGAAGAGGTTATGCGATACACGTCATACAGTACGTTTGCCACCCCAAATTCTTCTATATAAGGGGTTTCTGTACCCGCTTTGGGCATTTTGCTGCCCCAACTGGCTCCTATATATGGCGGATTTGACGTTATCGCATAACCTCTATAAAGTTGAATGACTGGAAACGGATGCATATGGTCCAAGAAGAGTATTTCGTATCCAATGAAAAGAGAAAGTATGTTCTGTGCAGGAGGCAGTAGGCCAATGCCGTGGTGACCGTATCGTGTCCGACACCCCTTACTCCTGATCGATGATGTCATGTCTCATGGGCAATGATGTCATGATTCGTTGAGGAATGCACTCAATCAGCATGACTCGGTATAATTATGTGCTCTCTTGCGTTTTGTTTCAGGCTGAGGCTGTCGGTGTGGTCGGCGTCATCGACTGTCCGTTCCTGCAACCGACTCACAACAAGCAGGAGTTTGATGGCTCGCAACAATACCAGTACGTTGTAGTGGGGCTACGAATGTGGGTGCAGGCGAAGCTTGAGTGGAATCAGGCTATCGATAACCCTAGGAGTAACATTGCTTTCTACAATCCCTGTTTATGATTGTGGTACCAGTATATTTGTGAGTATGACCGTAAACAAGTCCTGACCTTTTACACAGGGTTGCGTTTATCGTATCATCGGCTGAAGGGGATTTGCCCCGGCCGCAAAGCCAAATGGCGCGAAGATTAGGCACGCACGGGTCCCATTACACAGAGTTTGTTGGAAACGAAGCATGGTGGTATGGTAATCAGGGACATGTGCTTCCGGTGCATGCATTGATGCAATGCGAAGCAACTATGCCGTATCACTCCCTAACTAGCTTCTCCGTTCTTCTTTGCATTTCAGAGCATTTCTGAAGTCTTTGCAGGCAAAGCTAAAGGATTACTGGTAAGTGTCGGCTGCAATGGTCCTGTTTGCGTGTGTGTGTGTGTATATATGTGTGTGTGTGTGTGTGTGTGTGTGTGTGTGTGTGTGTGTGTATGCCGAGTATGTGATGTGGTGTGTGTGTGTGTGTGTGTGTATGTGTGTGCGTGTGTCTGTGTGTTTGTGCGTGCGTGCGTGCGTGCGTGTGTGTGTGTGTGTGTGTGCCGAGTATGTGGTGTGGTGTGTGTGTAAAATATGGAAAAATGAAAAATTGGGATTCACTGGCCAGAAAAAGTCACTTCAATCAGCTGTGTGGTGGATACCAGGCTAAACATAGTGGCGGTCAATTCATCAGCCTTGCAAACTGTTGAATGGTGCAACCCCGGCACAAGTTGCTATGTCTAACATAGCTGTTCGCTATCATCGATTCCGCGATGGGCAGGTCTGAGGTCTGAGGTGTGTGTGTGTGTGTGTATGTGTGTGTGTGTGTGTGTGTGTGTGTGTGTGTGTGTGTGTGTGTGTGTGTGTGTGCCAGCTAGTTCGGTTGGTGGGTACACTTATGCCAGATAGTGTTGGGTCTGTTGCCAACGGGCTCGGCTGCTTGAAGGTGTAATGTTGTACCTACCACCTTTGTTGGTTTCAGGGTTCATATACTTTCTATTTGAAGTATACATACCTGTTAACCATAGACTACTTCTGGCTAGATTAACTCTTGTGTAATCATGGTGCTAGTGAAGCTTGTATCAGATCCACTCTGATTTGGCCACCCACACTAGTAGCAAGTATTACCTTCACTGGGGGCAGGGGTAAGTGCAGTTGGATCGCGGGACGGATACCCTGATGCCGCCAATCCTTTTTCTGCACCTTGTCCTCACCCACTTACTGAGGTGTGGTGAGCCCATAAGTGGGATCATTTTCAAGTCCACCCAGAGTTTTGGGGATTTCACGGGGTGTCGGCCGTTGGGCGGTTCAATAGCCAATTGAGTCATCTTTCCAAGATTCCTTTTGAGTCTCTCTCCCCTCTCCCGGGGAGACCCACGTGACCAGTTTTGGCAGTGAGCAACAAGTACAAGTACAAGTGTGTGCGTGCGTGTGTGACCTTGCCACATAGTGCATTCTTGCTGCCAGCAAATACTTCAAACACTTCATGAAGTAGCTGTTCTTCACTCACTTGCTTAGGTACCGGCTCACGCACCGCGAAGTCAAGGACTCCATCACGGGCAAAGTGGTACGTGAGGAGAATGTGGCGGTGACATTTCGCAAGCAGAGTGCGTCCGATGTCAGAAGGTCAGTGCATGTGCAAGCATATGTCTCGTAGAATTGATTAGCCAGTTTCACTCCCGGTGCGGCTGCATAGTACAGAACAGTCAACCTAACGACCATCGATCGGGCTGATGATGAGAAAAGTGTTGTTGTTTGTGAGATTGAAAATATTCAGTCAAACAATCACTAGGCCTGACGATTGTATGAGGGTGGTTGCCGGGTATGAGGTCTGTTGCCGGGTATGAGGTCTGTTGCCGGGAATGAGGTCTGTTGCCGGGAATGAGGTCTGTTGCCGGGTATGAGGTCTGTTGCCGGGAATGAGGTCTGTTGCCGGGAATGAGGTATGTTGCCGGGAATGAGGTCTGTTGCCGGGTATGAGGTCTGTTGCCGGGTATGAGGTCTGTTGCCGGGAATGAGGTCTGTTGCCGGGTATGAGGTCTGTTGCCGGGAATGAGGTCTGTTGCCGGGAATGAGGTCTGTTGCCGGGAATGAGGTCTGTTGCCGGGTATGAGGTCTGTTGCCGGGAATGAGGTCTGTTGCCGGGTATGAGGTCTGTTGCCGGGAATGAGGTCTGTTGCCGGGAATGAGGTCTGTTGCACGCCTCTCTGTCTCCTGCAGCGGATTCCATCGCTTGCTTGCATGTTGGAAATTCTCTTGCAAGAATGACCCTTGCATGAACTGTCCCTATTGCAAGCGTGCCCTTATGATGCAACTATCTTCACCAATTTGCCAGTAATAATTATTGTATTTCGTGCCCTTTGATGATGTCATCAGTGGCTCAACCAGTATTAAATACATAATTAATATGTATTACTGGTTGAGCCACTGATGACTGGTTGAGCCGCTGATGTATTGTATTTTGTGCTCTATGATGATGCCATCAGTGGCTCAATCAGTAATAATTATTGCATTTTGTGCTCTATGATGATGTCATCAGTGGCTCAACCAGTGATTATTATTATTATTATTATTTATTCATATTTTACTAGGGCAGTCCCCACAGACCTATGGTCTTCTGATAATTATTGTATGTTGTGCTCTATGATGATGTCATCATCAGTGCCGCGACCGACCTCTGGGTGCAGTGTGACCAGTGCAAGAAGTGGCGCAAGCTGAGCAAGCAGCTGGATACCGACACGGCCGATGGTGAATGGTAGGTTGTGTGTTTTTATTTTGTTCTGTTTTGCTATGTTCACTTGCCCAGCTCGAAAAAAAGTAATAATGAAGGACAATGGTACTGAGACTAGGACAAACGTGACAACTACTGAGCAGGGGCTGCACAGTGACGCAGCAGTGATGGTGGGGCTTTGATGGCTCTACCACAATACCATCATACCGCCGCACACTACTGTCAATCAACAAAATATTCGGCGCATATTTATTTTCGGCTGTTTTCGGCCTGGGCATGCTAGGCCCAAAATGTGCTGCGGCTGAAATTTTGTTTCGCAATTTTCAGTGTGACAGTGTATACCGGCTGCAGCAGTACAGGCTGACTTTCTGAATGCGGCTGAAATGCGTTTTAGCCCAGGGAGGCCGAAGGTCCCATGAGCAGTGGGCTAGACAGGTTTAACTGTGCATGTACGCGGATAAGGCAGTACTCTTGCTGAGTATGGGTATTGCCCAGGGGTGCAGCAGGTGTCACAGTGTGCACGTCCCTGCGTTCATGAATGAGGATGATGTGCATGTCCCTGTGTGCAGGTACTGCTTCATGAACGAGGATCCGTTGCATTCCGACTGTAACCATCCTGAAGAAAACGAGGACAGCTGTGATGCAGACGCACCCCGCAAGAAGATCACCCGAGCACCAAAACGGTAAGAGAGTTAAAATGAATTGACCTGGTCACAGTCACAGGCAAGGGAAGCGAGGGGGGGGGGGGATGGAGGGATGGAGGGGGGGGGGGGGGGGGATCGGAAGAGTCTGCTCAACAGAGCGTGCAAAACGGCTGCATTTCCAGTGTGAACAGAGTGGGCCCATTGTTGTTAGGCATATGCCTGTTTTGATTTCCACTATGAATAAGGAATACAACAGCAACAGCAACAACAACTATCGTGAGAATAAAGATTTGAAACAACAACAACAACAACAACAACAACAACGACAATAACAACAACAGTTGGCAATGGCATGATGTTCGGCGGCACCTGGTGAATAGTAGCAGCTGCGTAGACGAGCCGCTCACCACTCAACAAATACAATAGACTATTCCGCAGTTTTCTAGCAGAGTTCTGTCTGCCCGCTGGTGAAACTGCTTCGCATCTTCTCTCCACGTTTAGTTTCCATGCACCTGCTGCGGATCTCATTCTGACATTACCTGCTGTGCGCGCGCGTGTGTGTGTGTGTGTGTGTGTCCGTGCATGTTCGTGCATGTTCGTCTTGTTGGGTGCGGGTGTTCTCCCTCTCTCTCTGTGTCTCTCTGTGTGTCTCTCTCTCTGTCTCCCTCTCTCTCTCTCTCTCTCTCTCTCTCTCTCTCTCTCTCTCTCTCTCTCTCTCTCTCTCTCTCTCTCTCTCTCTCTCTCTCTCTCTCTCTCTCTCTCTCTCTCTTCCTCTCTCTCTCTCTTTCTCTCTCTCTCTCTCTCTCTCTCTCTCTCTTTCTCTCTCTCTCTCTCTCTCTCTCTCTCTCTCTCTCTCTCTCTCTCTCTCTCTCTCTCTCTCTCTCTCTCTCTCTCTCTCTCTCTTTCTTTCTCTCTCTCTTTCTCTCTCTCTCTCTATCTCTCTCTCTCCCTCTCTCTCTTTTTGCAACAGACCATCAATGGCATCAGTAAGTACATGACTGTATGCCCTGCATGGAACACACGTGCTGTCACTGCTGCAATCTGCGTGCTGTGTGCACTCGGGAGCCCACCAAGCTGCCCACCATGCTATGTGCCATGCCACGGGCTGACAAGCACCATGACTCTACACCTGTGCGCACACACTTGGCTCCGACACTAGAAGCATGACCAACACAAACTCTCCTCAATTGGGTTTTTCTGGCAAATACTCCCTCTGGCTAGCGCTTGTTTAAGGGCGATTCATACTTCATTTCGCGTACGTGAAACGCGTCGCGAAAAAGTTGATCTGAGCTCAACTATTTCGCGTACGGGAAAGTCATCGCACGACGGTCGCGCGATGGCTTTCCCATACGCGAGATGATGTATGAATCGGCCTTTTAAGGCACTGACCATGCTTGTCTCATATTCTACATGACCAGGTCATACCGCATGTAGATCTGAGTCTTCTTTTTTTCGATCAGACGGGACCGCCCCACGCTTGCGAGCACCAGCACAAGCTGTTTACCAGCAAAACTCCACTACGGCAAGTAGTTACTGCTGACATTCCTGTTTCGTTCCGTAAGATAATGGGAACTCATTGCCGGTGAGCTGTTTGTGCTGGTGTTTGCAAGCACCGTGGTGTTGTCTGGTCGAAAAAGAAGAACCTAGTGCTACTAGAGTACAACGAATGGACGGACCAAATGAAGATGGCATCAGCGAACTACGTATCTGAGCTGAGTATGATCACCCAAATTGTAGCAACAAATAAAATCAGCGTTTGCATGGTGTCAAGGTAATAGCGGGGATATATGAATTCCGTTGTACGAGCACTGCATGCACCTGTACTCATGCTCAACAATTTCAGAATTCTTTTTGTATTTTGACCACCTTTGTGCGTGACTGACTATCATTTTCTATCTTCTATGTGTTTGCAGGAGAGGGAGAGAGACAGAAAGGAACAAGAGGTACTAGTATGAGTTACAACTGATAGGCCGCAGGGCTGGCTGAATAAGTGCTGTCCTGTGTCTGTTTGCAATGTGACACCATTGTGTTCTTGACATACCTAACCACTTGAAATGTACAGTGTACAGTGTACAATGCACACACACACACACACACACACACACACACACACACACACACACACACACATACACACACACACACACACACACACATGTACACATACACATACACACACACGCACACACACACACACACACACACACACACACACACACACACACACACACACACACACACACACACACACACATACACACACACACACACACAAACAAACACACACACACACACACACGTACGAACACACAGCGTTTGGGCACATTTTGTACTCTTTATATGTAGTAGTTTTTGGACTTTTGCTACTAACGTTACGACAGTACTCAAACCGTGTGCACAAGGTCTCTTCTGGCACCGGAGATGACCAGGAGCTGGCTCACTGCCGGTGCCTTTATGTGAGCCAGCCCTCTTCGGCAAGTGCCTAAATCGACTTCTGCAAAAATTGTGAGAAATTTTTGCCGACGATGAGAAATTTTTGCCGACGATGAAATTTTGCTGATTTTGTCGCTTGGTACATGGTGCCAACCAGGAAGTAAACTGCCGGCCATATGACATGCATCTACAAGCAAAAACTGCAAGATCGAGGTATGGCTGCTGCATGTGAGATTGAAAACGATCGATTTAAAAACTGCCTTATTGAAAACCCCAATCAGCCAAAGTATTGATGACGCCAAACGTTTCGTTTCGAGATCGGAAAAAGTTTCTCACCGGCCAACATTTGTTGATTTACAGTAAACCGAATATGTACCGTAATTCCCACACACCACACAGTCTTGTACATGATGACCGAGTGTACTTCACCCGTGCTCACCTTGCTCCTGCCCTGGTGATCAAAATTAATGATATCATTCACATGTACTGACGGATGCGTCAGGTTGTGAAGAAATTAAATCACAATGCAAGTCGTTCGCACGCTGGAGATGTGTTCTCCGTCATTGTCAAGCGCCTTCACCTCACATTGGTTCTTGTCTTTTCTCTCGGCTTGTGTCCGTGGTACGTTATCTAGGCAAAGATGCAACGAGACAAGCAAGCACTGGAGGAACGTGAAGAACGGCTGCGCCAGAAGGAGAAAATGATGGCCAGACAGCAGCGTGCAGAGAAGAGAGCATCAGAAGCCGCGAATCACGAGGCCGTGTCACCAGTGGAAGAACATGCTACCGCACATGCCAGTCCCGAGATGGCTGCTGGCCTGGCAAGCCCTGCTGCCTCACCTGACAATAGGGATTTTGCCATAGCCCCACCACCGGATCCTGCAAGCTTGCATGGTCTGTTTACGGACAGCGAAGACACACCTGCAGCTGATGGGTTTATCCGAGAGAGCATTGTCAAGATGGAACCAGTGGACGGGCAGCCGGCCATGAACAAGTGCGCCGTGCAGTGTTGCAAGTGTTCCAAGTGGCGCCAAGTGCCGGTGTCAGCCTTCTACAACCTATCCGACGCTATGCTGTGGTGAGTGATCTTGGTGTATGGGGTTCTAAATTTGCTGAGTGATGCGCAGGCTTGCTACTATGTATATCCACTGAGGAATATCATGAGTGGTGGTGGTGGGGGTGGTGGTGGTGGTGGTGGTGGTGGGGGTGTTGCTGCTCCTACCATGTGATGAATGTGTGTGTGTGTGTGTGTGTGCACGTGTGCACATGTGTGTGTGTGTGTGTGCACGTGTGCACATGTGTGTGTGTGTGTGCACGTGTGTGTGTGTGTACGTGTGTGTGTGTGTGCGTGTGTGTGTGTGTGTGTGTGTGTGTGTGCACGTGTGTGTGTGCACGTGTGTGTGTGTGTGTACACGTGTGCGGCATGTGTGTATTTGTGTGTCTGTGTGTGCATTTATTTTTCCGTGTGTGTACGGTATGTCAGGGCATGCGCTAAGGATTAAAATAGGCTCTGACACAATGTCCTGCCAGTTGCAAAAATGGCCGGACATGTCCGGACATGCAACTTTCACATCAAATCACACAATGTTCAGTGTAGAATTAATACCATCGAAATGTTATGACGACGATGCATTTCAGAAGCAGCATGATCTTTGAAGGCTGACGTTTTCAGGTTCCTTGAGCCAACGACGAAGGAGTCAGAAAAAGTCTTGCTGCTGCGAATTTTATCAACAAAACGGGAACACATCTTACACTTCAAATTTTCGACAACGCTACGATCTGAGGGACTGCGCTCATAGCTCAGCCAAACAGAAGTTGAAAGCTCCCTATCATACTCGGCGACCCACTTGTCACAAGTGGTCGTCTTGACTCCTCTGGGCTTCTTTCCAAGAGGAGCACCCGCATCAGCGGTGCTTGGCTTTCTCTTGCCAGACGACATCACTAATGACTATGAGACAAAGGATTGAAGTGCCTTTTTTTGCTTGTACTTTGCAAAAAGGTGCGCGGACACTTTGTCCGGATATGTACAAAACATCCGGAAACTGACCGTAAACGGTCGGAAATTGTCCGATGTCCGACCGTTATTTCGCACCCTGGTATGTGTGTGCATGTGTCCGTAAGTATGTGTGTGTATGGATGTGTCCATATAATATATGTGTATGTATGTGTGTGTCCGTGTGTGAAGTATACATACCTGTTAACCATGGACTGCTTCTGGCTAGATTAACTCTTGTGTAATCAATGGTGCTAGTGAAGCTTATATCAGATCAACTCTGATTTAGCCTGCCACGCTAGTAGCAAGTATTACCTTCACTGGGGGCAGGAGTAACTGCAGTTGGATCCCAGGACGGATACCCTGATGCCGTCAATCCTTTTCTGCACCTTGTCTTCACCCACTTACTGAGATGTGGCGAGCCCATGAGTGGGATCATTTTCAAGTCCACCCAGAGTTTTGGGGATTTCAGGGGGTGTCGGCCGTTGGGCGGTTCAATAGCCAATTGAGTCATCTTTCCCAGATTCCTGACAAGTACAAGTCTGTGTGTGTGTGTGTGTGTGTGTGTGTGTGTGTGTGTGTGTGTGTGTGTGTGTGTTTGGCCTGGTCGCAGGGAGTGTTCTATGAACCCGGACCCACGCATGTGCGACTCGTGTCAGTTCCCGCAAGCGATCAGGAGCAGTGCGGTGGCATGTCTTGATGCACGCTGCAAGAAACCTTACAGGTAGGCTTTCTAAGAATGCCACACCATGCCACACCATGCCACACAATACCACACCATGCCACACCATGCCACACCATGCCACAGGACTCAAAATACAGCACTCACGAACATGGAACCCCGAGTGCCCGGTAGACAGAGTGCTAAAAGAGCCGCTGATCCTGCCGCTGAAACTGGAAAAAAAGAGATCAACTCACCCAGATATCATGAAACCCAGATGCTGGACATATTGCAATCCAGGTTGAAAATAGTAATATAGCGCGTGGCTTTGGAAACCAAAGTCTGCCAAAGTTTAGGCTTAGAACCTATTTGAAAGACTTTGGATCGTTGGGGTGTTTTCAGCTGAAGCGACATTTCAGGAAGGTTTTATTGAGATGTCATGAACAAATTCTAGAGAAAGTGGTGATGGACAAAGAAACAACTATGATGGAAATGTACCGTAAAAGTCCGTAAATAAGTACGTATTTACTTTCGAATTAAGAGACCACACCCGTACTAACCTTCGGGCATGAACTAACTTTCGGACCTGACTTGTGTGTAGTGGAGAAATCATTTTCATATCGATGTACATGCTACATGCTGCATGTGCGCACCGTACCGGTACTTATTTCGGGCAGTTTGTTTATCGGGCTTTGTTACTGAACAAATCAATGACTTCTCCAATCAGACTGTATTCAATATTCCATCTTCGGACAACAAGCACTAGCTCAAAAAAACCAGCTTAGAGTTCAACACAACCGTTTTCAAACTCATCTTCCATGTGCTCATCCCAGCCTGTGTCCCGGATGCAGGCCTCTTGGAACAGTACACGAGCCCGTACCGTAAAAGGAGCCAGCTGCCCACGAGGATCGAAGAGCCGGCACATCTGCGACAACACACCGCGACGCGTGAACTCAAACTCCTTGGGTTCAGCATAGTGGAAGGTGAAGCAATCCGTCTGGCACGACCATGACACGCCGAGAGTCTTCTGGGTTGGCTCCGCTCCTGCCTCACGATCGGTGATGGCAAGTTCGGTGTTTGCAGCTCGGTCGGCTTCAGGAACAGTTTGGATGACGGCTGACGAGCTGCTGTTCCACTTCCGAATGTGGAATCCTCCTTGATGCAGAAGCGCCTGCATCTCAGCTCGCAACTGAATCGCCTTTTCGTCAGACTTGCAGGACTTCAAGAGGTCGTCGACATAGAAGTTGTCTGCCACACTTCTCACGGCTTCCTTGGACGTTGTGTCAGCAAACCTATTCGCTGTTTCAAGCAGTGCGCGTCCTGCCAGGTATGGCGAGGCTTTGATGCCGAATACGAGCCTCAGGAACTCGAACGCTACGAGGTTGCCGTCCTTCTCCCACAGAAATCGATGATAGCACCTGTCTTCAGGTCTCAGCCTGACCTGCAAGAACATTTCCGAGATATCTGCCGCAAGAGCCACGGCATCCTTGCAGAACCGGAGCAGAACATGGACCATGTTATTCTGCAACTTCGGCCCAGCGTACATCAGCTCGTTGATGCTGGGATGGGTCCCGTTTCTAGCCGCTCCGTCGAAGACGATTCTCACTTTGGTAGTTGCCTTGTCTTCTCTAACAACGGCGAAGTGCGGAAGGTAGTTCTGGTTGGCGCTGACAGACGGCACGTCTTCCAGAAGTCTGATGTAGCCTTTGCTAAGATAATCCTCCAAGACTGCCGCATACCGTAGCTTGACGTCTGGCTTCCTCTCCAGCATCCGCATGAGGCTGGTCAGCCGGCCATTTGCCAGTTCGAAATTGCTCCGAACCTCTGGTCCAGGTCCACCGCTGTGCCACGGGATGCCGATCTGGAAACGCTCACCGTCATGGCTCAATGTTGCCGCTGTGAGGTCGTCCGCTGCCTTCTCGTCAGGAGTCATTGCGGGCGTATGCGGATGTGGCTCCATTCCCACAGCCTCCAGACTCCAGAACTTCTTCACTAGCTCATCCAGCTCCTCCTCAGCTCCGGAGCTTTGAGAGACGCCGAGTAGAGTAGTGCTGCCACTGCTAGACTTGTTGACAGCATTTGGGCCAAACAGTACCCAACCGAGGCGCGTCTTCCGGGCTGTCGGGCCTCCCTCCGTGGGGCACGCACGCTCCTCAAGAGACGCATGCATCTCTGCCGCGTCTAATCCGATCAACAAGTCGACGGCAGTGCTGGGATCCACCATCGGTGGCAAGCTCTGCAGGTGGCTCCAGCTCGCCTTCTGCTGCTCCCACTCGACGGGTGGCACGGCTGCAGTGATTGTGGGTAGCACCCATGCCTCCAGCTTGCCTTCGTAGGAACCGTCCAGGCTGGCGATAACAAGGCTGGCCTTTTCCGTTTCCCCGACGATAGAGCTGCCTCCGAGCACCGTCGTCTCCATGCGACACTTCTCTGTCGTGATGCCGAGACTTCGAACAAGACCCCCAGTGACATAGCTGGCTGACGAACCCGAGTCCAACAGTGCTGTGGCTTGTGCTGCCGTACTGTTTCCGTGGACTGTCGTCTGAATGGTCATGAAGGCTATGGTGTGGTCGGCACTGGTTGTACAGGCACTGCTGCAGGAGTCTTTCTGCGTCTTCTCATCAGGTTGGCTGGCCTTCTTTTGCTTGTCGTAGTGCAGCAGACTGTGATGGCCACCTGGGCACTTCTTGCATCCGGCGCTCTTGCACTCCTTCGCAAAATGACCAGGCTGCAGGCATCGCAAACATAGCCCCACCAGCTTCGCCAGGTCCCATCTCTTCTGGACGCCAAGGGTCAGGAAGTTGGAGCAATCTGCAAGAGCATGGCTGCCTCGACACTTCGGGCACGTCCTCCTGTCAGAAGCTGCGGTTCTGGGCTGAGCATAGGCAGCTCTTGATGGTTCAGGCTCCGTCGGCTCGGCTGCCTGACTGGCGTTCGACACCAAGACCCTGTGCTTGCGCTGCTCTCTTTGAGCTGGCTGCTGATCACCGCCAGTTGAGAGGCGTGCATCAACGTGCCTCGACTGATTCACCCGTCTCATCAGCCATTGTGACAACTCCTGGGCATTGCTCCTGTTGTCGTCATGGCAATCCATGTAGCGTGACAGCATGCCACGTGGCAACTTCTGTGTGACCGCTATATACAGCTCCCTGCCTGGCTGCATTCCAGCAGTTGACATGTTCACAATGACATTGCGGAGCTTGACAGCGAGCTTTTGCAGCGACTCAGTGTCTTTCTCCATGACAATTCTGGGCAGACTCATGAGTTCCGTCTGCTGACGTTCTAGCTCGCGCTCACTGCTTCCGTACCAAGCTTCCAACTCCTCCAAGGCCGCTCTATATGCACCAGGCCCATCCAGCACCTCGCATATCAGTTCCTCGGCCTTGCCACCATCTAGCGCCTCTCGTAAGCGAGCCATCTTATAATCCTCGGACACGGAGTAGTCATCATCCACCAGTCTCATAAATCTCTGGCGCCATCTTACGTAGCTCCTCTGCATGCCATCAAATCTGGGCAACTCCAGAGGCTTGACCTGATGTTGATTTATTCCTGCTGGTACTGGTACCTGCACTCTGTCAACCCAGTCTTGCACTCTCCTAGCACTGGCACACTGGTTGGCAGAAGGAGCCTGCAGTCCGGGATCAGCAGCCCTAGCAGTAGGAGTCTCAAAGTATGCACCACGTGCAGCGGCAGCCTCCCTTACAGGTTTGTGTGAGCTGGCAGGCTTGGACCTAGACTTGAATGCAGCTTGCACAGTGTTGGGTGCATGCCTGCTGTCACGGACACTTGAACCTGTCACTCCTGTGGTCAGCTCCGTGCTCTTGTCTGCACTCCGACTTGCACTGGTCTCAGCTGGATCACGAACACGTTCCCTGTCCCCTTTGTGCAACACAGCGGAACTCGGATCTTGAGCACACTGCAGTGACTGCACACGGCTTTCAACAACTACTTTTTTCTCGTCGCTTTTCACTTCATCAGCTCCGTTGGCTGCATGTTCTTCAACGACAAGCACTTCTTCCTCTACGTGCTGCTCTACTAGCACATCACTCCCCTGTAGTTCAACAGCTTCCATAGCTGCACTATCCAGCGGAGCTTGAGGTTGCTTGGGAAGCCCGGTGACACATGTTTTGAATGTCAATCCCGAACTTTCATCGACTGGTGAGCTCGACCGCGATGTCGATGAGAGAGAGACCTGCGCAGCCTCCATTTCCAGACGAAATATCCTTCTCTCTTGCTCCATTTTTTGCTCCAAGAAGGCTCGCTCCATGCGAGCCATTCTCAGCTCTGCCTGTACAACACTTGCTCGTCGCAACGACGACGCAGACGAGCTGATACTACTGCCAACAACACTGGCTCTGGTTGACACACTGCTTTCAGACACGGAGTCCACGTCCGACAGGCTTCCTGGGCTCAGACGACTTGCGGGTTCATTTCCCTCGTCCTGAAACCGTACAGGCAAGACACCTTGGTTGGATCGCGAACTTCTTCTTGGCGCAGCCATGTCAATCCGGCTCGAAGGACCATATGTTACTGAACAAATCAATGACTTCTCCAATCAGACTGTATTCAATATTCCATCTTCGGACAACAAGCACTAGCTCAAAAAAACGGTTGTGTTGAACTCTAAGCTGGTTTTTTTGAGCTAGTGCTTGTTGTCCGAAGATGGAATATTGAATACAGTCTGATTGGAGAAGTCATTGATTTGTTCAGTAACAGGCTTGACTTGACTTCAACAGACAGAGCCAAAAGAATGAAGGGGGTATTTCTTTCGGGCAGGTACTTATTTACGAACTTTTACGGTAATGTGAAGAACAATGATAGGATGGATTTGGATGGAGAGCCAAGTATAAATTTATAGAAAAGAAAAAGGACCAAGGAGCCACAAGGTATGCTAGAGCTTGTGCTAGTGCTGGAGCTGTTAGCCAGTTAGTTGTACAACGTCAGTGCCGCCGGTCAGTGTCGTGCAATGTTATCGCATGAGCTGATTGTTTAGTACAGTCGAATGTCACTTATCCGGTCGCCAGTTATCCGAGCACGTCGGTTACGACAAGCCCGGGAGTGGTAATTTATGACTCTCAACAGTAAAATTCTAAAAGATTTTTTTTTTTTTAAATATTATACGGTGTAATATGCATTTACTTGAAGTAGATGTGGTCAAGTACACATACAGTCAACTTCGCCAATAACGACATTCGGCGGGGCATCAGAAAAGTGTCCTTATTCGCGAAGTGTCCTTATAACCGAAGTCCCATTTGAATGTATGTGAACCCATATTTTGTATAGTATGATATGCATATCAAAATCAAGCTCTTTTCTTGCTCTATGTCAATGTGTACTTTATTTTCATATTGCAGTTGAAAGGAACTAAAAATTCAATATGCAAGGGAAATCAATTGAAAATATGCCTTTTTGAGCCATCTACAGGGCCAGAGATATGTACATGTACATGTATGATGATTACTGTACAATCATGTACATTGTATACATTATTATAATAGGTGTGCTGGTAAATCCAACAATTTTGAAGCCAACATAAAAAAGGAAGAAAAAGCCCCCCCCCCCCTTGGCTGCATTTTCTTGCATGTGTGCAATAATATCCATCACCGGTGCACCATAGCATAGGTTCTGGTACTTTTGCATGACAGGTACTTGAAATAGCTGGCAAAAGCCCAGAAAGTCGTTATTCAAGCAGTGAATATGACCACGGGGCACTAAAAGCATGTCGCTATACGCGAATTGTCGTTATTCAGATAGTCGTTATATCCGAAGTTAAATGTATACAGTTAGATGGGACTTTGCTCTGGGCATGGAAATTCGGTCGTTATTCGCGAATTGTCGTTATATCCGCAGTCGTTATTAGCGAAGTTGACTGTACATGTACATGTACATGTATGTGTACATGGAGCAATTCATGAATATGCATGAATATATTTGGGTATTGTGTACATAAATCAGTGAAATCCAGCCATATATGCACATAAAAAATGATATCAGTTATCCAACATATTCAGTTATCCAACATGCCTGATTCCCGAAGTGGTCGGATAAGTGACATTCGACTGTAACTGGTGGTGTTAGTGGACATTTTAGTGTAACTTGTAGTTCCTTGGTCCTTTTTTCTTTGCTATAAACAATGATAGGAACGATAAAAAATATAAAAAATGCATCGAACTAGCTTTCTCACAACGCTCATCAGGAAGCATCGTTGTACTGATTAACAAATTGCAACACAGATCATTATAAAGGATGAATAGTGATAACTAAAATAACACCTAAACAATGCAAAAAAAGTATCATAAGGTACTCTTGCAAGATACCATCACGGTGCGTGAAAGATGACAATCAAACACTCACAGGGACAAAATTCAAGTTCAAAATTCAAAACCTCTCAATAAAACCTTCATAAAAAGAACCAGCTGAAGCGTCATTTAAAGGGGAAGTTAAGGCAAAAATTAAAATTTCACCAGTTGTAGTCTTCGGGGTGCTGAGTCGAATGGTCTTGGTCCGAGAAAGCTGAGGCGCTCCCTTCCTACTTGAATCCCAATGGAACTCGCGCACTTCCACCGAAACTGGGTGACTGCGCCCTACTAGATGGGGATTTGTATGCAAAATGTCACTAAAAGCGCCATTTCGTTCTTATAAAAGCACGGATGACCGCGATTGGCCCATATGTTGTAGTCTTTTGGACGCTGAGTCGACTGGTTTTGGTCCGAAAAGGCTGCGATGCAGCGTTCCTCCTTTATTCCCAATCGAACATGGTTGAACAAGTGGTCACGTGCTCCTGGGTGCCCAAATCACCTGGTCACCACGCCAGCAGGCGACAACTTTCACACCAAGGTTCAACTCGAGTTCAACTCGAGTGACAGGACTGCACCCAAAAAAGGTCAAACAGGCTAGTAAGTTGTACCCTGCAGGCGCGGTGACCAAGTGACTGGTGTACGCAGGAGCACGTGACCGCTTGTTCAAGCATGTTCGATTGGGAATAAAGGAGGAACGCTGCATCGCAGACTTTTCGGACCAAAACCAGTCGACTCAGCGTCCAAAAGACTACAACATATGGGCCAATCGCGGTCATCTGTGCTTTTACAAGAACGAAATGGCGCTTTTAGTGACATTTTGCATACAAATCCCCATCTAGTAGGGCGCAGTCACCCAGTTTCGGTGGAAGTGCGCGAGTTCGATTGGGATTCAAGTAGGAAGGGAGCGTCTCAGCTTTCTCGGACCAAGACCATTCGACTCAGCACCCCGAAGACTACAACTGGTGAAATTTTAATTTTTGCCTTAACTTCTCCTTTAATGACGCTTCAGCTGGTTCTGTTTATTGCCGCTGAATCCTTAAACTGTTGTCACCGTGCCTCGCCGCCTTTTCAAGTAATAATACTAGTACAGCACGCATACAGGTCATATGAAAAAATAAAATGAGGGTCATGCATCGGGTGAAGTTTTCATTTTAGGGTGAACTTCCCCTTTAAACTCAGGAAAAGGAACGCAGTTTGGGTTGTGTTTTATTGAAGACTCCGACCCGAGGTCGGACTTTGGAGAGACTATAGGTATTGGGTGCCCTGAGCCCTAGGGTATAACTCAGTTATACTTGAAACTGAGGAGCTGTGGGTTGTTAGAGTCAGAAGGCAAGTGCCCTAGTAGATCAAAGATAAGGAAATTGTGTTTGGCATTAGTCTTTAATGCCTGCCTGGGTTCTGCTGTGGCATCCTGTGTTGCTTTCTTGCACGCGTTGTTCCGCCCAATGAACGGATGGAGTGCAGGCCGCAAGCTGCTTCTGCACGGACACGTGCAGCGTCCAGTGTCAGCGACACAGACGCCGAGTCATTGGCCAGCCGTGAGCTGGCCACATCGCCTGAAGTGGCAAATATGATGCCAACAGCAACAACTGGACAAATGGACATGCCATCAGCATCAACACTAACAACGGCAACAACAAGACCAGGACCAAATAACCATACCACAGCCACAGGCAACAGTCTCCAACAAGCCGACAACAGTGATAACACTACTGGTAGTGATAATGATGAAGACTATACGTTTCCCAGCTCGGGTATCTTTTCCCCCACACCAGCTGTGAATACTTACAGTGACGGCAACACTATGGCTGAAGGTTTGGACCGGGCCAGCGAGACCGATTCTGCGCCGTCTCCTCCGCTACTGCAGGGTGCTGATGAGGACGAGTACGATGGTGCATTCACTGCTGCAGAAGTGGTAAGCGCCAGCAACGCTCCTGCTCCTACTCCTACTGCTGCTGAGCAAGGTAGACGTGCACGCACGGTCACAGCGCGTGCTGTAAGCGGACCAGCCGCCGAGTCCATCAGGCGTGATGCCCAGTCACGACATTGGGTCACATCTAGGTAAGTGTCACAGTACCATCACTGAGTACAGTCATAGTGTACCATCACTCAGTACAGTCATATCAAGAGTACATAACCCCCCAGAGTGTGCAACGCCTGATCCAGCTCTGCATAGGGTCTTGGTCGAGCGGAATCGGATCTTTGCGTCATAATACCGTACACATCTGAGGGGAACCCGGGGAGTCGCGGGTACTCTCGGATCAAAAACAATGGTGCCCTGCCTCGAGACCGGCCTTGGAGTGTACGCATGACATCAGAAGATCCGATTCCGCTCGACCAAGACCCTATGCAGAGCTGGATCAGCGTTGCACACTCTGGGGGGTTATGTACTCTTGGTCATAGTGTACCATCACTCAGTACAGTCATAGTGTACCATCACTCAGTACAGTCATAGTGGTAACTCCACACAGAGCACGCAGCTCAAACCTCCGCCAAGACTCTTTTTTCCCAGAAGTACGCCATTAGTCTTGATGTATTGCACCTGACTGTATGATGTATTGCACCTGACGGTATGATGTAATGCACCTGACGGTATGATGTAATGCACCTGACGGTATGATGTAATGCACCTGACGGTATGATGTAATGCACCTGACTGTATGATGTAATGCACTTGAATGTATGATGTAATGCACCTGACTGTATGATGCAATGCACCTGGCTGCGTGATGTAATGGGCTTGTTCTTTGCTGCAGCAGGAAACGGCCAAGCACTGTGCAGGCCTACGGCAGTGACAGCACCGGTGCCGAGGAGAGTGCAGATAGCAGACAGCCGCCTGCAAAGCAAGCCTGGACACGCTTGACACCAGGGAGAGCCACTGCTGGCGAGCAACCAGACCAGCTACCAGCAACAGAAGGTACCAGTAATCAGCAACGTGACAGTGATCAGATGGATGCCGAGGAGGACTACGCAGGCGAAAGGGAGCGTGACTTGGAAAGCAAACTGCGCGAGTCTGAGGAGTGCTGCAACCAGCTCACACAGGAGATGGGGAAGCAGCAACAGCAACACGATGACCAGTGCAAGAGACTGCAAGACCAAGTGGCGCATCTGGAGGCAAAGTTGCGGGAGCGGACCGAGGAGCTGGAAGACGCAAGACGAAAAATTGAGCAGCAAGAGGCTGAGCTAAGCAAAGCCAAGACTAAGACACGACAACTGTCACGCTCGACTACGATCAAGAGAGAGCCAACAGCAGTCATTTTGTTGGGGTGAGAGGGGAGTGGAATGGAACGACCATGTCGGGTATGTCATCTGGACTTGAACCGCAAACTTGATCACCTAACTGCCAGCCGGTCCGGCTCTGTGCTGACACGGGCATGCTTGCGACGGTGTTTGGAGTAAAGGACAAGGATATGGAAGTATAGCAATGGCACCGGAGAATATATCACTAGATGTGTTTCCCGCAGTCTGACACTGGACAGTTGAGCAGATCATGTCAAGAAGAATAGGATAGCCACCTGATTAGATATTCATTTTTTTAAGACATTGTTTCCTTCATTTGCCGTAGTGTTGTCACGAGTCAATATTCGATAATGATACTAACGCACATTGCAGTGAGAGCTATCTCGTTTATATCTTCTTCTGTATTTTGCTTTTTAACTTTTTTTATGGTCCCTGGTTAGAGTCCTGGTGATGACAGCCAGCTTTTTCAAACTTCTCCCCTCTTTCAACTCCATTAATCTTTGAATGCGCGGGCTTTTAGATTCTACTTCTTTAAATTCTTGATCAGAATTCTTCTACATGATTGGATCTCTTATGGTGGGTTGGATCTCTTATGGTGGTTGGATCTCACTGGCTATAGCTAGAAAGGTCGGCCTGTGGCTGTACTGTCTTTTCAGTTCATCGCTAATCTTTGAATGCGCCTGCTTTTTAGATTCTACATCTTTTTAATTGATCAGAATTCTTCTACATGATCGGATCTCTTATGGTGGGTTGGATCTCTTATGGTGGTTGGATCTCCCTGGCTACAGCTAGAAAGGTCAGCCTGTGGCTGTACTATCTTTTCTCGTCACTTCTACTTCTGACCTCAGTTGGAACGGGTGAACCCGACCGAATCGGCCATGAGCCAAGGTTCGTGTGAGGCTCAGTTAGACTGAGATTCTCCTCACCGGCAGGAACGCCACCACCCTCTAGGATCAGGAACGCCACCACCCTCTAGGATCAGGAACGCCACCACCCTCTAGGACCAAGGTGCAGATGCAGCTCATCATGCATGAGCAAAACACCCTGAAAAGTACAAATGCAGGTTCCACTCGACGGAAAGCCATCCAGGACGGTGCTATGATTGCCACCAGGGAGTAGGTATTTTACTACTCCCTGCCACCAACAGTACTAGTACCAAGAGTATGTACTCTTGCTAGTACTCGTACTGTCCTGTTGTCTGTACATGTATAAGGATTGTCTACTTCAGTCTTGTGTTGCTATCAGGGAGAAGTAATTATTTTACTACTCCCTGGTTGTTACTGACAGCAAGAGTAACTGTTATAACCCCTGGGGGGGGGTTATAATTATTTATACTCTTGCTGACAGACTGTGGAGTCAGGGAGTAGTCAAATACCAATACTGGCAATAGCATTTTGACGACTCCCTGGTCTACAGCCAGTGTACAGTGTAGTCGTAGGCACTGGTCAGGTGATCAATCCACAGAATCACTGTCCACAATAGACGGAGTTTGGGTTCGAAAATTCAAACTGACTGTGCATGCCCACATCAAGACAATCAAGTCTGGAGTACACGCAACACAAACAATACAGATACATCCTGTCAACGTGCTGCTGCCTTCGGGTTTTGATTGTTGTATCTAGTCTGAATCCGACTTGCATCTACTTGTCCTCATTTAACCCACGAGTAGTAATATAATTGCTGATTGTTATAAAAAAATTGTGTCGAGTAATATAATTATTAGACACCCTTAGCAAACAACGGTAACGCTATTTTTTACGGTACTCGTACCTTGATCACCCAAATAGCGTTGAAGCTGCAGCGTATAAACGTTATGGGGGCTGATTTATCGTTGTGACCAACGGTACGTGTTTTGGCCAAATATTGCATAGTCCGTACGCATTTCACCTTGTATCGCGTATATGGTGACAAAAATGGTTGTACCGCGCGAAATCGAAGCTACTCTCGTGGCAACAGCGTACTAAAAATAGCGTGCATCTTGCTAAAGGTCGAACCCAAATCACGGTATTTTCCCCCTTACGATAATACCGTTACAACATAACGTTTTTTGCTAAGGGTGTCTACTGTACAGTAGTAACGTTATGCATGAGTACATGCCATCATGAATACAATAATTATAAAGTCCTGCTGTATGTACATGTATGAGTACATGCCATCATGAATACAATAATAAAGTCATGTATGTATGACTATGAGCACTGTACTTTTAAAAGTCTTTTGACTCTTGAGTTAGTGTGTGGAGTGCACAATCCCAGCTCCAACAACACGAGTACAGAGACCCTGGTCAGGGAGCTGGTGTCTGCAGGCACAGCGTGAAGTGCACATACAGACCTCGCAAGTAACCTCGGATACAGCAACAACTCGCGAGTGACGGCACTATTCAGACCTGCGATCAACATCACGAATAACAACACGTTGCCCATGCCCGTTCGATGATCGTTACTCACACGGTTGACAGTTACCAGTATCTCTATTCCCAGTCATAATTGTGAGTCCACACAGCAGTTTGACTGCACGGCATGGCCGCCAGTTGCACGTGCGTGCGCGCGCACACACTACACACACACACACACACACACACACACACACACACACACACACACACACACACACACACACACCAACACACACCAACACACAGCATGGCCTGCACCCGCAGTGGGCCACAGTCACAAGGCACAGCCTAGTCGAGCACTGTGACGTGCATAGCACAGCATTCATTCATAAGTTAGTCGACCAAAACGATTTGCCCCAGAACAACCACAAAACTAAAAGGCAAGATTGAGATCTTTAGCAAAAAGTAATAATCAAAATAATAATAAGCAAGCTAAAGCATGTTACTTAGCATACAGTCAGCCAATAAGCATGATAATTTAAATAATTAGGATGCATCAAAAAACATGATCATGAGTGATGATAGGTGATACCAATACTGGGCTATGTACTCTCGATGGTGCTGATAGCGGCCATGCACTTATGTTGTACACTTAGGTTAGGAAGCCGGCGAAGAACATGATCATGAGTGCTCATAGAAGTAGGTGATACCAATAATGGCAATATTGGGTAATGTACTCTTGGTGATGCTGGTGGATAGCGGTCATGCGCTAGGTTGTAGTACGACTACCGGTATTCACATCATTCATGCACGCGCGGGGGCGCAGCGCGCAAAGCAGGATCAAAAGAGAAGGTGAAAACGTGCGAGGTCCAAACAAAAAGAAGTAATTAGTTAGTTAGTTCTTCTCTTCAGATTTGTTCTGTCCGAAACCGGTACACATATAATAGATCTACGTGTTATCAAGAGTAGATCTACATAAGCGTATTATACTTACACGACTGGTGCATCATCGCAACTGTGTCTGGGCAGCCAATACCACTGTCATCAGGCTCGACTCACGCTGCAAATTCACCCTCGACGATGTGAGCTGCGGGAACATTGGCACCTTGTAGTGGCCTGGATGCCACCTCCATGGCAGAACTGGGCCTGCGGCGCCGAGAAGCACGTCGATGCTTCGGCCTGCTTTGCGGCAAAGCGCCAAGGCTGTCGCTGCGATACAGGGTGCTTCTTGCAGAAAGCGATTCCGATTCAAGCGGAGAGCGCTCAACAGGATGACGGTCGTCGCTGGGCCTTGCCTCGGAAAACGCTTGAATCATCGTGGTCGACTGCTGGTGGATCGACGGAAGCTGGAGTGCTGCATCACTCAGTTCCCTGCTTATTACAGATGGTGTACCGCATGACGAACAGCGATTCATCGACATCAGCATGGATGCGCCAGTCGAGTCGCTCGCATGAGCCAGGCCGATTGGATCAGTGACGCTGTCACGAGTTGGATAATATACCACCGCGATTGCTCCCGGAGGAACTCGTAGATCGACCGAAGAGCTGTTATTAGCGTTGTGAGCTATGGACACAGCTCCGCTAGACAAACGCATACCACTCATTCGTAGGGTGAGGGCTGCCGGACAAAACTCGCAGGAGGATGAAAACGAGCTGGAGGAGGGGCTCGTTGATGTCGACTCTGTCTCGTTTCTGCGTCGTCGCGGGAAACTCCGTCTACGTGTCGTACGAATGTGGCGTTGGATTTCCTGGATTGGTTCAAGTCGTTGTTGTCGATGCTGAGATGCATCCTGTGCCGAGCTCAAGCCGTCAGACGGTGAACAGTGCGTTGTGGTTGAACGGGGTGACGACTGATCGGTGGTCACCGTGGCACTGACTGTACTGTGCCTCTCCACTTGCTGTGGTGTCGATGCACCACCGGAACTACTTGCCGACGACACCTGCAGCGCTGGGTCAATGAGGGTCAGAGTACTGAGCCCAGATTGCCGCAGCTCTGGTGAAGGTTTGCCCAAAGGAGGCAGGACATGCGCTTGTACAAGCAACCCTGGTTTCTTGCTTGGACAGAGAGCTGGTGGAGAACAGGATGAGCCTGAGGGAGAGCTACTGCTCGAATAGCACGGCGGGAGAAAAGATCGCCGGACAAACTCTGCGCCGTTCCCAGGCCGGGATTGCGCCGCTGCTTCGGCTTTGAATGAACACAGCTGGCAGGTGGTTTGTGATTCCAGCCGTTGCTTGCCACATGTGCACGTTGTTACCTTCACAGCATGGACTAGAGGTACTCGCACGGGTATCGGCTGTGCTGCGCTCGCCAGTTCTGTTCGTTCGTTCACTGTGCTCTCGCCGGAGCTAGAGGTCGCTGCCAGCCGGACGCTGAACACTACCCAGTCGGCATACCCGCTTCTTTGTAGCTGATGCTCCTGTTTCGCATCTTGGTAGTACATCTCAGCAGAAGAGCCCTCCATGGCGCTAATGTCTGACTTCTCCATCCAAGTACATGTAGTAGCTGTGGTGGTAAAACGTAACTGATGGCAAGCAGAATCGCTGAAAGGCTCTTATACAGTATTTTGCTCCTTGTGGAGGCTTGGCTGCGGCACTGGTTTCCTTTATTCCGATCAGCTGATATGCTCCGAGTCATTGTTGTACTTGAGCTTGTGGCAAAATGCTGACGACATGGTGCTTGTTTCTGGGAGCGCTCGAAGTTCCCATCATATGATCATATGATGGCACGCTGCCAGTAGTCCTAGGCAGGCATTGCTCATGAACATGCAGTCCGGCAGCAGTGTGGATATCGGCAGAGCAGAATCTGGTGAGGCACAGTATTTACGAACTGGCCCCGCAAAGCCCAATCGTCTGGCTCACTGCAAAGACGAAGTTACTCCGCCAGCGGCCATACCTCCGACTGGCCCAGCAAGCTGACAGCACATGTCAGTCATCACGTGAAAATCTGGCACAAGGTCCAAGGCCCGGGTGTCCGCTACAACTGAAGTGACCCTCCGTGTGGCTGTTGTCGTGTTGAGCGAAGATTTCATGCAGAATGAAAAATGGTACGGGGGTTTCCCTTGTTTACATGCAGCAACGTTAGTGCCGGAACCAGCACCGTTTGACATAGTGTTGACAGACTGCATTGGCACCTAACTTGAGAGATGGGCAACCTACACCACACACAGGCCATCCGTCCACATCACATCTGATGGCTAAGGACTAGGAATGTCACACTCTCAACTCCATGACTTCAAGCGGCCTTTCTTCTTGCAAGATTCCTTCCCTGGAGCCCTACATAATATGTGTGGGGCTGGCTGGCTGGTTTCTTTTATCCATGATTGGACAACATTCTACACTCGCACAATTCCTAAGTTAGTTTCTTTCAGCGAGCTGTGACTCCTGGGTGGTACGAGATCAATACAGTGTACGAGTACACTGTGTGTTATTGTCGACGTGTGTGTGTGTGTGTGCAATACAAAATAGGCTTGGTAGGGTCCGTAAAGGGGAGACAACGCCATTACGCTGATAGAATTAGACGATGGTGCTTGATCCACACAAGACATTACACTGCCAATGCAGTCTGCAACGCCCGGGTTCTAGGTGGTATTACGCAGTGGAGTCGCAGGCCAAAGAACTGTGACGATCAGTCAGGAATTACTTCCCCGCTCCATATGCTAAGAACATAGGTGTGAGGTTCCCGTCTGGCCATAAAGTCTTCAAGTGTGAAATGCGTACACCATTCTGATCTGTGTCTAGGAGCTCTGTGAGGCTCGAGGGGTGGAAGTGACCAAACGAGTGCCCATTTCAGGAACCTGGCTCGACCATTCCATCTCAGCTCGGCCAAATGAGAACCATGCTCTTGGAGGAAGAGTTCGGACGGCTTCACTGCACTGCTTGGACATGTCATTAGGCATGCATTTGAACAAGCTAAGCTCTGCAGATCACGCAAGCCATCTGTCAAAGTACAAGCACAGCTAGTTTACAATCATGACAATGTGCTGCATCAGCCTGCATCATGCATGACAACTATTTGTCAATGACGTCATCATTACAATGTAATGATGTCATCAAGTTGAAGTTTGAGGATTGAAGTCTAAAGCAACTTAGACCAGTAGGTGTGGTGTGCAAGAAAGTATGATCAGGGTCATCCTTCTCATGCAGTCTACAGGAGCATTCTGCACTGTGGCATGCCCACAGCACCACCGGCGCACCTTACAGACACAACAAGAACATACGAGTACAAATGAAGCGGACACACTGCAGTGCAAGTTTTCCTGTTTTCACGAGCAGGTCTAGATGGTACGAAATAGTGGTTGCGACTTCGGCGATGATTTGTAAGAAAGGATTTGCTCCACACACTGGAGCTCGCGCTATTCCGCCGACTTGACTCGTCGAAGTTGAAGTCGGCGGAATAGCGCGAGCTCCAGTGTGGGGAGCAAACCCTTTCTTACAGGTCTAGATGGTTACAAACAAAACTATACTACTAGGTATACATGATTGGCAATGTGGTGATGATGGGCGTGAAGTGCAAAGAGAGATGCTTGCTGCTGTCCGGGGCATTTGGGCGGTGAAGCTAACTTCAAATGAACGGCTAGTGCATGTGGTGATGACAAGCAGCAGAACCCTTGCGTACCTTGCCTGGCCTTGCCGACATAGACCACAGCTCACGTACCACTCTATGTTTACAGAACACCATCACGATCATCAAGAGGAGGTTTTGCACTCTTGCCATCATTCATTTGATGTGCAGCTGGTCCACAGACCGTGTAGCCTGACAGCTTGCTCTGCATGCCAGTGCAAGCTGCAGGGCGAGATTCGTTCGCCACATCCGTTTGTGCTGCATCGCCAACCAACTGCACTGTGATGATAGCCTGCAAGCGTGTGACCACTGGTGACAGGTCTACAGGCTGCACAGCACCACCGAGCAGACACAGGCAGTCCGATGATTCATCACTCTACCCCTGGTGGACTCCGTGCAGAGGAATCCTTCACCAACACGCCTCCATGTGCCCAAGTGCCGGTATAAAAAGTAGACGTAAAAAGAGTGCAATAGTCCACTGCAGAGCGGCGCGTAAAGGAAGACCGGGATACTGCTGTCCAGTTTGCACCGCAGCAGACAGAAACTGATAAGCACAACACACACAAGCATAAGAATGAGTAGCTAAAGTAAATATGGAGTAATGTTACAAGGTCGAGTAGAGTACGGAGATGAGATTCGCGGGGTCAATCACACAGCATGACGATACGGAATGGCAATTGCACGCAGCATTGATGGATAGGTTCACACCATAGTTAAAATTAGTTATAAAGAGAAGTATACCGTCTGCACACTATACGTGCACATGCAGACAATCACGAGAAGGCACCAGACTGGTTGAAAGACCGGCGGGATAGTCGTAGCGGGGCTAGAGCATCCAGCAGTACCCTGGTAACTTAGCTGACCTAGGCCCTATGGTGTGACTGGCCAAGTGACTTTAGGCTAAACAAAGCTGCTACTACACCGGTAGCAGGGTTCATGCGGTGGACTCTTGTGTATACACTGATGACACAAATATCGGACCTCGAACTATTATCACACAATGTCCTCGGAGATCACGCCAAGCGAATAAGAAGCTTGAATCTCTCCGCTACTAGTTCTACAAACGGGACGGAACTGACGCAGGCACAACATGCCGCTGCGCTTCGTGCTGCCGCCAGTCCTACGCGTCGACGGTGGGGCAAACGACAATGAGCTGATCAGCTACACACCAAGCAGTACATGCACGGTGCTAGGTGGAACCAACCACCTCACGCACCCTGGCCATGAAGAAGGCCTCGAGAACGTTGGCAC